ATATAAATATATTTATTAAGATTATATGCAAAATTTAAAGTTTAAAAATCAATAAGACATAAAAAATAAAAATGTAAAATGTAAAATAATATTATTTATTTATCAAATTTAACAATAATAATTGTTTTTATTTATTTTATTTATAAATGTCCAATTACAAATTACTTATGAAAATGCCTCAATCAAAACTGGCTTCAAAATGTTTAGCTCTTGAAGAATTATTATAAAGGTATTATGAATTTGAAACAGCTCATTACGATTTATAAAGCAAATATCAAATCTTATTAGAAAAATATGAGAGTATTTGCAAAAAAGGTTAGTAAATTAATGACCTTCATACAACTGCAAGTTAATCAAATAAAAAAGATAAATCAGAAATTGAAATTGGAGATAGAATTGAAATTTATGCGTTGGAGGATATTGAAACTAACCAATTCATTAAAAGTCTTTAAGATTAAAATTTGAGAATGCAAGAATAGTTAAAATAGAGTCAAATTGAATATGAAAAATTAAAATTTAAGTAAATATTAAAGTCAGATTAGATTTGATCAAACATATTCATCTCCTGAGAAAGATAATTAAGAAGGTATAATTTCAACTTTTAAGTGTGAAATAAGCCGACTAAATAAATTAGTAATTGAAATTTAAATATTTATAGGTTTCATAGTTAAGATTAGAGATTAGTAATTCCAAAACAAGAGAAATGGATGAAAATTGGCTAAGATAACAGCTTAATTAATAAGAATCATTAAAATAAGGAAAATTATTAAGTCCATAGTATGAATCAAATGAAGTAACAGAATTGTGAGTATTTTAATGATTTTATTTTTCAATTATTTTGTAAATCAATCCTATGTATAACTTAACTCTAATGGATTCATGAATTTATTAATTTTTTAAGATGATTTTGATTGAGTAATTTCTGTTATGAATTTTTAATGTTATATCAATTTCGATGGAGTATTCTTGAGAATTATATTAGGGTTTTGTATCGATTAAATTGAATTATTATTATCTTTAGAAAACTATCTTTAAAAATGATATTTTGAAGATTTAGTATGACGGATACTATTACTATTTCTATCATCAAAGGAGATGCTTCTGTGATTGAGATTTTAAACTTTTTAGATTCTTGTACATACTTATTTTTCTGAAATTTCCTTTAATTTTATTCTTAAAGCATGTGTAGGTTGTAGTATGAATTCTGATAATGTTTTAGCAGACTAGATGATTTTTTATGCTTCTTCGTTTTTTTTGAAAAACTCCATTTCTAGACTTAAGTTATGATATGCAGCAATTAAAATTTAGGCTCTATCAATCTTCAAATATTCATCAAATTATAAATTAGTTCTCATAATATATATGCATAATATACCCTTCAGATAGTAAATTACTTTACATTCTTTAAAGGTTTAATTAGTTTTACAATTCTATATTGTATTTCAAACCTTCAATTAATAATTCATGTTATAATAGTATTATGGATAAATATATGTTCTACAATGCTACATCATGGCATTCTAAAGATGATTAAATGGCACTGATATTTAAATAAGTGTTTGCTAAAGATGAATCAAGATTTTATCTTTGATATAATAAGATTAATTACGCATATTACATTTTCAAAGCTTGGTTTAAATAATTTAAAGCTCTTTGTGGTTAGTTTAATTTTTAATGATATAAAGCAAGATTATTTATAGTTTATAACTAATATGATTTTGCATATATACTTTAAGGTTTGGTACTAGAAGGCATATTTATTAAGCCTTCTGAAGGTGATAATAACAAGATTCTAATTTGTTTTATTTTAAGTCTGACTCTGCTTTTTGATTTAGCATCATTCCAAGTTATTATTAATATTTAAAGACCTAGAATGAGGATTGGATTTAGATACAATTTTTTTTTATTTGTTTGGGTCAGATTTAAAATGCCTGATTTTATTTTCAAGTCTTGAAATAGAATCGACTAGACTAAATTCGTTGTTATTAATTTAATTTATCATTGATTTTTATAATTAGAAGATTAACTCACTAAAGGTGGTGGTGAAGGTGGCATTTCTTTTTTATTTTTTGATGTATTTCCAAGCAGATTATCATTGAAGTTAGGATCCATAAAATCTGATGATGAAATACCTTAAAAAAATGGTTAATTCTATTGAGGATTTTGTAATTGGGAAAAATTCATACTAAAACCTGAATTACCCATAAATTATGGTTGATAGGGTTATTAGCTATAATTTATAGATGGTTACTATTAAGGTTATTATTAGATTGGTTTAGCTTCTTGCTTTATCTATTTTCCATCTTAACTATTATAAGCAGGAGATATCTAGATTATCTAATCTACTAAAGCATTATAATCTTATTGTAATTCTTATTTTCCATCTTTAGGTAATCTCATTAATTTATTATATAATTTATTTAAAACCCTGGGAACAATTTTCAATGAACAATTCATGTATTTCTATCTCCATAATTCTAAAAGTTATTTTTTAAAACTATTATAAATTTAAATGTTTTTATTACTCTTTCTAACAATATTATTGAATGTGATCAGTTATTAAAATTATTTCTTAATCATTTGAATCATTGAAAAAACATTTGATTGTATATCCACAACATATTAAAAATAATAATAATTTCTTGAATCCTTCTACATTCTAATTCTAATTAAATTATTTTTAATATTTAATTACTTCTTAGTTGCTCAAAAAATCTTATTTAAAGTAAGCTTAGAAATCTGAAATCAATTAATCATCATATCTCCATTTCTATTCTTCAATTGTATGTAAAAAGAATATGATTTCTAATTCATTAAACATAAATTTTTTAGTAACACCTCTTAACATTTTAAATAATGGATATTGAGTAGCTATTGTGGATGCTGCATCTAATTGTGAAAATCTGCTTAGTAAAACATTTGCCAAATATGAATAATCTTCATTCGCATATCTTATACTCCTTGCATCATATTCTTTCTAAAGCACTTATTTCGATTTCCTCTATTCCACCTATATTATAATTCTTATTAGTTACTTCAACACTATTACCTCCTAACTCTGAGCCTTAACTAATAATTAACTTTTTGCCTATATTATCATCAACGTGATATCCATGGATATAAGATCTATTATGATTGCTCACTATGAATGTCTAATTTTGTTTGTTCATCTAAAAATTAGCTGCATTATAAAAATATATGGTCAGGTATGAAAGGATGATAATAATTAATTAATTTACCTATGCTATCCGAGGAACTCTTAAAGGAAATGATCAGAAAATTAAATAATAATATCTAATTAAAAAATATATCTCTTATATAGGTGTTTCAATTAAAGATTCTTGAAAAGAATTCTTTTTCATTTTCAATATTTTAATATTTTAATCATACTCTTATACTATAAATATACTATCTTTAAGGAGAAGAATACAAATCTGAATTCTATATTTTATTTTAAATTTGTTTCAATTCTCTTTTTGATTCTATTAGAATTAAATTATTTTATCTATTTTAAAGTAATTTAAAACATCTTATTGTAGTATTATAATTAAAAACTCAGAATCTAAAATAATTTTAAAAATAAATATTCTATTTTATAAAGGATAATGATTTTAATATTCAAATAATCTCATTTTCTTTTACTTGTTCTTTTAAATCTTAACAGAGATCAGCCAATTACTTATCTAACTAAGTAGATTTAAAATATTTTATACAGTATTCATTTCTTTAAACAGGTCTTCGTAATTTTCATTAGCTTATCTAAATAAATCAGCAAGCTATTCCTAATTTTTTTTTTCTTCATCTTCTAATTCTTAATCCTATGGTTCTAAATTAAATTCTTTAAAAATACTATTTTTATTTTTATTTGGATCCTTTTATGGTTTTTCTTATTGTTTTTCTTATTGTTTTTCTTATGATTTTTCATTATGATTTTTACTTATATATGGTTTTTATTTTTCATCATATGATTAACTTGGATTACTATTTCCCATATTTAGTATGATTATATTGATTTATAAAAAAATTAATAATTATTTATTTGTTTTTATACATAAGTATAAATATAAAATTTTGTATAGAATTTTTAGATAGATAGATATATATATATATATTTTAAAATCTCAAGTAAACTCATAATTATTTTTTGAATTTCATCTAAGAGGAATGATTAAATTGAGTATTCATTTTTTGAGGATCTAAATATTAGAATGGTTTGTCTAAACATTCTTTAATGAATAATTCCCAATTTTCTGGTTTTATTTTTTGTTTTTCAACTTATTTCCATAAAACTGATACAGGAATTTTTTAAGCTGGATTAGATTATGGATAATTTAATTTAAGATTTAGAACTTTTGAATAGAAACATCTTTGAGCAAATGTTTTTGGATTAGATTATTCATCAATACTTTCAGCATATTGTTCACTAATATGTGTTAAAATTTCACTTTTTTATTATTATTATGTTAATCCATATTGAGAGATTGGGCTATTTTATGAAAATTTAGTAATATAAGTCATTCTGGGATCAGGTGATTAACATTGATTAAGTTTATTAAGACGATTAAATTTATCAGATGACTCTAACTTATTTTGAATTAAATTTTATAAGTTGTTATTACTAGTCGTTTGAGTTGAACCTGTTGAATTTTTGGAATTTTTTGAGATGAAAGTAGTATTTTATTAAGGATAAAAGTTCTATTGTGATTATGTAGGTCTGATTGCCTTGAGGTTTAATTGATTTTGAATGATACTCATCCTTTATAGAACAAGTGAATGTAATCTTTCAATGTATAAAGATTAATTTATAGATTGACTTGGTTCTTAACTTAAGTTAAGTAATTCTTTTTCGAATTCTTTTAAAGATGCTTCTTCTACACAACCAATTGTATTGATTTAAGTAACCAATTCACAAATACGACATAATCTTTGAGTGTGTTTGTACGATTTGTTCTATAAATTAGCTTTCAATTTGCTTAATTTGAAATCATTCTCTTCAAAAAATACAGTTGATTATGAATATTTAAGAACTTTGTTAGAAACTTGAGTGCAAATTTAGGCATGTAAATCAATTTTATCAAATGGTATAAATTCTTCACAATTAATACAGGGTGCCAAAATAGTACTTTTTTCTTTGGTTCTGGTTGGAACTGTAGAACTTTTATTGGTTCGGAACATCTATAAAAATAATAATGAATTAAATTGAATTAAATAAATCTAAAAATTTTGAACAACTATAGAGATATATTAATAAAGTATATTATAATGTATACATAACATTAACTATATCTTAAATATTATATCTATTTTATAATCATACTTAAAAACATATATTATTTTATTAGAATATAATATTAATAAATATGGATAAAGATGATTCAGGCTCATTATTAGAAATATCTGAATCAGATCGATAAACTAATTTATTACTCTCTAATAACTTAACAGACATCTTTTGTTCAGATTATTATAGTCGGTTTAAAAATAGTACCAATATAAATGAACCTTCTATGACAATGTCTAGAGTTTCATAATTAGATAAAATTTCAGAAGACAATTCCAATACTACTCATATAAAAATTATACACATCACTGAAAGGTTGACCTCTGAAATCTAAAGAAATCAAGTACTTCTTATTTATTATAAAGCTGTTAGAAAATAAAATATCTGCATAAGATATAAGAATTAAAGAATTGCAAGACTAATTATAAGCAAAAGAGTTTTAACTAAAAGACACACTTCATTTAAATCTAAAATTATAAACTTAAATAAACAAAGAGCAAGATAAGATAAGACAATATATCAAATAAAATAAAGAACTCAAATTTATAATTAAGTATCATTCTATTTATTTTAGTTCCCTCTAAAATCCATCAAACATTTCAGACCTAAGAACTGAAACCTTATAATCTACTTTAGAATGTCCTTCAGTTAGACCCATATCTCAAACAAGAGGAAAAAGAGCATAAAATAATTCTCATTCATACTCTTCATCAAAGGCAGTTTTTACAAAAATGCTCACTGAAGATTCATAATAGAATTTGAGTGAAAAAATAAAAGAAGCTCTCTCATTCTTAAATTAAAGAGTTGAAAATTAAAAGAGAGATCAAAAAATTAATGATAAATCCAAATATTATAGATCACAATCTAATTTTTGGTCAAGTGTTACTACTTCTCCAAATCCTGGAAGAAGCAATCATACTTAGAATAACATAAGTTTAACTAAATTATAAAGTACTGATAAAAAATTAGACAATACTTTAATATTACTTAAATCAATTAGATAATAATGTAATCAAATTACAACATAAAAAAAAGGATGATGAAATCTAAAATTTAATAATTAACATTAAACTTTATGAAATATTTAATATATGTTATTTATTTTAATTACCTTTTTAAAAAGAAAAACTTTAATTATTATAATATTATATATAATAAAATTTGTAGTTAAACCTTATTCAAATGAATATTTCTTAATATTTCAATATATTAAATAAAGTTAATTTAGAAAATGTATAATTTATGTATGAATAATAAATTTTAATATATAACTGAATTAAATTAATTATTAAATGTCAAATTATACTAATGTTCCTTAACATAACTTTTTGAACAAATAATACTCTCGTCTATCACCTAATTCTACAGAATGGGCTCGTATTGAATATTTATTGCAATTATCATCTGGTTATACATCTGCAACAGTGAAAAATATTTGGACTATTACAAATCCACATATGACATAAACTTTTGAAAAAGCAAGCAAAGTATATATATTTATATAAGAAATTAGGGTTTGTTAACATTAGATTCTTGGTTAGAGATTTCTTTATTGGATGAAAATAATAGGATGGAAAAAGTATGTACTAAAGGATTTGAATTTCCATAAACTGGACTTCGTTTTCCAACTGGACATATTAAACTATAGGATAACATATAACCTGGTAGAGTTTATGAATTATTATTATTAAAGATTGCAGGTAAATACTAAAATATTTAGGTATTAGTTGGTAAATCATATTGTCTTCCAGATAAAACATCAATGAAAGATAAATATAAGTTAATATAAGGATTTGATAGCATATACTTATATAATGAAGATGAAGATTCCATGACAGGCACATTTAAACATGATTATGTATTATTTGATAATGGAAGAGTATTACCATGTTATGTTGTATAATTTGAATTTGATTAAAAAAAGGAAGACAATTTAAATGTAACTTATATTATTGAATTAGTCTCCATTTTGTGATATTTGTAATGATAATACAGCAACAATATATTGTAAAGCAGATGATATGAATTTATGTTATGATTGTGATGAGGAACATCATTTAAAAGGAGGTAAATTAGTTTCAAAACATTAGAGAATACCTATAAATGAAGTAATATCTTATTTTAATTTATTAAGAAACCAAAAACATTTGGTAATTGTTAATAGCATCCTGATTAAAAGTTAGAGTTATTTTGTACAATTGATAGAACTCCTCTATGTTTATATTGTAAAATAGGTGGATCTCATTCTTCAGGAGAGAGTGCAAATCATCCTTTGGTTAAGATTTCAGATGCATATATGAAATCTTTGGTTGAATCTAAAGATATTGATCCATTAATAGAGAAACGAAAGAATTAATTGGCAGAATATCTATAATAAATTGATTATAGTATTAAAGAAGTTAATAAAAATGCTTCTATTATTGAAGGCAGGATTTATTAAGTGTTATAAGAAGCCTTATTATAATTACAGGAAGAAACATAAAAGAAAATGAGTTATTTAGTTGGTGATTAATTAGAATTAAAGAGATAATATGATTAAATATAATGGTTAGAATCATTTCTTAAATATTAATAAGAAGTATTAACTCCTGCTGATTATCTTAATGCTTGGTCAAGACATATAGGACTTAGGAATGAAATACTCAATATTTCTAATGTTCCATAATTAACAATCGTGGAACCTGATTTGAGATTAGAAGGTAAGTTAAGTGTAGTAAGTGATTCAGTATAATTTAAAGATACTAAAGAATAATAAGATGAATAAGATTTTATTGATTAGTAAATAAATTTATTAATTTTAGAAATTCTTTAATTGGTACAACTAGATTTAGATCTAATATTTTTGGCAAACATTAAGTAAGTGATAAAAATCAAAGATTAATGAAAACAATTATTTAATAGAATGTTTAAAAAGAAAGTTAAGGGTAATAATTGCATTATTATTATTTAGACCTTAATTATTATTATTACAATAAAAATAAAAATTGTAACAATAAGCATAAGCATCTAGAGTTTTCCAATAATTATAAAATGATACTATTTAAGAAAGCTAAATTAATGATTCCTAAAATAGTTCATTTGCATAATGATATAGTTACATACTTGTTTATATAATAAATCAGAACATTACAATTAAGATGCTAATGTTGTCTCTTGAGCCATTTTTCAAAGCAAACTGTAATAGCTCTTTTGTCATTTCATCAGAATTCTTTAATCCTTTAGTTATATCAATTGCTTTCTATAAGAATTTAAATTAAAGAGAATTACTTAATCATCTACAACATCCCAAAGTCCATCAGAAGCCATAATTAAATATTTGCATAAGGGTGTAATTTCTTATACTTTTAGGTCAGGTTTAACTGAAACACCAACAGTTTTTAAATCTAGATCTCCAAATGCTCTTGTAACTGCTAACTAGCCCATCACTCTACCTCTCACAATTGTACCTCCTTCCCGCCTTTAGTAAGCATAATTATATCATTTAATATTACTTAACTCTAGCTTATTCTTCAGGATCAATTCCTTTATGATCGACTGTCATTCTAACTGCTTTACCATCAATATTCATCACTGCTCTTGTATCACCTAAATTTGCAATATAACATTTTCTTTTATTATCTTCTTTCCTTAATAGAGTTAAACAACAAGTGGCACCTATTTCTGCAGCTCCAACTAATTTTAGTTAATCATCAACTTTTTTGAATATCTATTCAAAATAATCATTCGGTTTCAATATATTAAATTACTTGAAATCTCTCAGAAAGGTCTTTATTTATATTTAAATTAAGCTACTTCTGGTAGAATTTTTGTGATGTATTCAACTACATCAGTCCCTCCATGACCATCAAATACAGCAAATAGACAAGCAGTACCATCTTCAAAACAATTATCTTTATAATAATGGGCTGATCTTATTTAGAGTATTGTATACAATCTTCCATTTGATTTCGTATAGGATAGTTGGTATCTTCTCTATAAGCATATTCTGAACAACAAGCCAATTTTTGCAAAAATTCAGATTTGACTTTACTATTAATCATTAATAGATAAAATAAATACTTCACTTTAATCCCATAAAATGAATTAAAAAAAGTATGACTTATTATTAATAAATATTCTTCATTAATATCATGATGATTAGAACCGTGTTTCACATGATCTTAATGATTTCACTTGTTTTACTGATATTAATATTAATAAATATTTAGTTGATGATAAAAATTAACACCATCTTTCGAATGAAAGCAATGATTTTAAATTCGTTACTGAAAATAACTTTTTAATATTTAGTTTTTTTAACAAATATTTACTATATTTAGTTTATTATGATATGAATAAAATTATCCTAAATTTTTTTATCATTTTTATTTTAAATATCATTTCAAATCCAAACTTAAGAATATATTTTTCATTTTTAATAAAAATTTTATCTTATTCATGATAATGACATATTTTGACAAATTGTTCATCCTATTAATAGTGGTGTAAATATTCTGAATATTATAAGAAAAGTACAAAGTTAATGCTAATTTTTAACATTTATGCCACTTATAAATCCATCAGACCCTAAAGAAGTACACGAGCAAAGCCTATAGGAAGAAGTAGTTTAAGGCTAAAAGAATGTAGGATTTGGATTTTGGATTAAATATCAACCATTTATTGATATGACAGATTTGAGTATATATCATAATATACTACAATAGCCGATAGGACTTCCTAAATAGTTACATCTACTAATGGTTAAATTATTATTCAGGGAGGATAGTTTATATATTCTATGGAATAAAGTGTCAATAAGTTTAAAATGGTAGTTGTTTCAATTAAAATTGATACAATTACTTAAACTATATAGCATAATATATTTTATTCTTTTAAATCATCCATAAATACTCTATCTTTTACATTTGATAGTACAATTTATGAAGGTTTATGGGTGATGTTTTATGCATATTATGATTAGATTTTAGGAAAATCTACATTCGGATATTATAATACTTTAGAAAACATACCATCATAAACTATAAATGATATACCTCCTTTTGTAGTTCTTATAAAACATAACATAGGTGGGTTTTATCAATATACAAATTAAGATGGAGCAATTGTTGTATTAAATTAATTTACTGGTTTCATGTCTACTACTTTTACAACTAATGAAGAAAATATGTTTTCAAATCTTGCATCTTGTGACAATATTCTTGAATATGATACTTGTTATGATTCTTCATACACTGTAAGTGAAAAAAATCAAGCAATGAATGGTATAGATATTATTAGAATGTCAACATATTCAATTAGAGATTCTAGGTATGTATTGAAAGGATGGCTTATACTTGAATAACTAAGCTAAGCAGAATTAAAAACTGTGATATTTAGAATAACAATTAATAAAGATTATAGTGATGATATGTATATTGGAGATAGGGAAGTTCTTCTTTAATATTTTTAAAGTAGTTTACCCTTTAGAAATGGTTTTGAAATTTCAACATATTCTTATACATTCCCAGCAAAAGGAAGATATAAGACATAAGAAGATCACAAAATTACAAAATTTGAAGAATAATTTTCAGAATTATTTATAAAATGGCATTATTTTTAATATGAACTTGGAACTTAAAATAATAATGGAAAACCTATGCTCTCTTTATATTTTCCTACAATTTAATAACTTCAACAATATAAATGGTCTCTTCCTGTTAAACATTTTACAGGAGTTGTATATTATGTATCTTTAGGAGGAGATGATTATTCACAAAGAATTATGAAAGGATATGTGAGTGATGTCGTAATAGAAATATTCTGTTAACCAGTTGAAGCATTATTAATTCCAACATGTCATTATACTTGTTTAACATGTGATGGTCCAACATAATATAATTGTTTAAGTTGTCCTGATAATAGTTTTAGATAACTTTAAGAAACTGAAAAGACTTGTTTTTGTTAATAGAGATTTGTTGATTAAGATGGTTAATAAGAATGTAAATCAATTTATTAGGCATTTCCTCATATTACTAAAATTGAAGTTGAATTGAAATGTTCAAAACCAGGATATAGTAATTGTGTTAATTAAAATATTGAATGTAATTTTGGATATTTTTAATTTGAATAAAATTGTATTTAATGGTATTATATTTGCCTATTTTAGTCCAAATTATTTTGATATTTTTACTAGAACAACATTAACATGCTTTGATTGTATAATTGAACCATAGAAATTTGCAAAAACACTTAAATGTACTCAAGATGCATAAACTTATCATTCTCAAACTGAATATACATTTACAATTTCTAAAAGAAATATTAATGATGTTAGTTATTTTGAAATTACAAAGGATGGAAATGAAAACTATACTATTAAGTTATGTAAAGGATTTATAGGGAAAGATACTTGTAAAGAAGGATATTTTTATGAAAATAATTAATGCAAATAATGTTTAGATGGTTGTAAAACTTGTATTTCTAATTATAGATGTAATGAATGTTTACCAGGTTTTTATTCTGACTATGAAAAATTATGTCATAAATGCCTTAATTGTAAAACTTGTTTATTAAATAATGGAATTGTGTGGTGTAATACTTGTTATGGAACATAAGAATTATAATTTGGTAAATGTATATCATGTGGTATTAATTGTAAGAGTTGTAATTCTAATGGATATTGCAACTATTGTAATGGATCACCATCTTAATATTATATATCTTTTGATGGTAAAAATTGTGAACAATGTAATATTGAAAATTGTATTTATTGTTTTTAATATATAATAAATGGAGGAATATATATTTCTACTTTAGATATTTAATTTAATATAATAAATTTTGATGATAGATAAGTGCTTTTGGGTTGTGCTTTATGTAAATAAAACTATTATTTTAATTAAAATACTTAAAAATGTGAATTAAAACCAGTTAATGAAGATTGTGATTTTGCATTAATTTTAAATGATTCAACTTAAAAATGTATAATTAGTTCAAATAATAATGATGCTGTCTAATATATTGATTGTCCAACTCTCTCATTATGTAAATAATGCATTAAAAATTATATTGAAAGTGATAGTTTTTGTATTTTATGTGAAGATGGCTATTATTCTGGTGTTTTGACAGGCTAATGTTAGTAATGTATACATACCTGTAAAACTTGTATTCAATAAAATAAGTAATATCGTGATTTCTGGAAATGGTAAATTAAAGCTTTCTATCGATTCTTTCTTAATTCTAATAATGATCATTCTTTTGAAACCTATGCTTCCACTAATGCAGAAGCTGATCTAGAATTAATATGTACTTCATGTTAAATAGGATATGTTTTGCATTAAAATACATGCATCAAGGATTGTGATGAAAACTGTAAAAAATGTGAAATTATAAATGAAAAATCTATTTGTGTTTAATGTTATGAAACTTCATCAGGGTTTCTTAAAAGCTTAAATGCTTAAGGTTCATGTTTAACATGTCCCTCTAATTGTTTAGCTTGTTTAGAAAGATCTTTAGAAGATATTTATGATATAAATCCTTATTTTATATTAACTAATTCAAATGTCTAATTTACTCGAAAATGCTATGAGAAGTCAAATAAGATTAATTTATAAGAAAATTATTTTTATGATTACTTCACTTAGATAATATCAATTTGCAACTAAAATATTTAATGTTATAATAAAATTTAAATTTAATAGAATATCTTTTGTGATGAGGATGATTATTTTAATAAAGAAAGAGAATCAAATGATGAATTTTTTCTATAAAAGAATATTAAGATTAATCAATTTTTAGATGATACTTACTTTGGTTCATTTGAAACATCTTCTCTTTATTAATATTTAAATGAGATATCAGTTAGATATGTTGAATATTAATTTACATTTATTTAAGGAAATCAACCTAATTGTCAGTTTAAAGATGAACTTAAAATTTATTCAACCTTATAATAAAATGTATTTGCTATATAACAAGTTGATTTAATATTAATTGGATAAAGTAATCCAACCTAAATATAAGTTCCTATTGAATTTAAAATTAGTAATTATACTACAGTTACTTTTCAAAATATCAAGTTTAACTTTGCAAAAAATCAAGATATATTAAACACTAATTCTATACTATCTTTGTTTAATATGAAATCAAAATTAAATTTAAAATTGATAAACTGTGGTTTTATTACTTAGAATGAAACTGATTAAAATTATTCTTTTACAATCAATTCAAATATTCCTTATTCATTATATATATAAGATTTAATTATTTCTAACTTTTACATTTACCATTCTGATATTTTCACATTAAAAGCTCAATAAAACATTATATAGAATACTATTGAAATACATAATGTTATTATAAAAGACTCTTATTTTTTCAATTCAACTTTCATAAAATATTTAGCTCAACTGAATGACTTATCTTTAAATTCAGCAATTAGTGAAATTTAAATTAAAGATACTAAATTTATAAAATCAAATTTTATTTATAGCAGCAGTTTATTAAATTATACAATTGGATCATTAGATATTAATTCTATTGCTGTTGAAAATACAATATTAAAATGGAATTCAAATTTTCTTGTATTTACTTGTGTTGATTAGTCTCTAATATCTAACTTAATTTTAAATAACTCAATTCTAGATTTTGGTTCAAGTTTTTATTCTTCAAATATTATAAATCTTCAAAATATTATTATCAATAATACAAGTATTATGAATAGTAGTTTAATAACTAATAAAGTAGATTATACAAAGTCTAATTATGCATTATTATCATCCTCAAATATATTTCTGAAGAATTTATAAATTCTTAATGTTTAATATGAAATTTAATAGTAAATTTTAGTAATCATTTAATATGATGAAATAAGTAGTTTAAAATTTTCATTAATAGAATTCATATTACAAAATTGTTAAATAACCTCTAAAATTTAAACTTAGTAAATTTCTTACGAAAATTCAATGATTTATATTGAATGTTAAATTTGTTTTTTGGAAAATATTAAAATTGTAAGAGGGTATGGATTACCAGAAATAACTTTAATGAATTCAGAAAAATTGGATATTAAAAATTTAGTTATATCATAAAATTCATAATTTTTACCAAAAACTCTACATTCTTCTTTTGAATGTGTAAATTAATTTGCTATTTTAAATATGCACTTTTTCATATATATAGGATAATATAAGGATGTACTTATTGATTAAGTAAGTGTTTAAAATTGCTTAAGCTTTAATAGTCCATTCATTATATTCTAAGGATATGATATTATGTAAAAGTTACTTACTGAAACAATTATAATTTAAAATGTCAATTTTATTGAGAATATTCTCATTATTTATGATTCAAATCAGCATACATCTTTGATTTCAATAGAGTCTGAATAAAAATCTAATATCATTTTATCTCTTGCATATTTTGCCTACAATCATTTAAATGAATATATATAGGATTTAACTAGAGTTTCAGCTACAACAATATTCATTACATTATAATAAGGTACAGTTTTATTGGATTAATGTTAATTTTACTAAAATATTGTTACTAATTCTAGTGATGCAATTCTCTATATTAAATCATCTACTTTGTAATTATAAAATTCTTAATTTTAAAATAATGGTTTGATTAATCTATCTAAAATTAGTAAGCATATACTATTTTCACCATCTTAAGATTAAAATAAGATGGATTATTCTTCCATATTTTAAATTAAATCTAATGGAGGAAATGGATTATTTATTATCCAAACCTTAAATGTAAATAATATTACTATTAATACATCCTACTCATATAATGGTGGAGGATTTTTTATAGCTACTCAAGGAGTAAGTACAATAATAATAGCTAATTCATTTTTTTACAATACAATGTCTTCTTTAGATGACTCAGTTTATGCAATAGGTGGATGTTTATTTATTGATGCATCTTCTTCACAAATCACTTTTAAATTACATGACACTATAATAGATACATCATATAGTCGTCATGATGGAGGAGTTATTTATATTACTCCATCACTCAGTTATAATTATATAGACATTTATAATTTAATTGTAAGAGAATGTTTTTCATTTTAAAATACATTTTTCTCATATACTCTTTCTAAGATAGAAACTATTTAATCAAATGTTATTTTTAAGAATATATAATTTTATACAACTGAAGATGGTTTTTAAAGATACTTTTCTTTAATTTAAGATTTATCTGAAGATGATGCTTCAAATATTGCTCATTCTAATCCAATGATATTTATATAATATGGAAACATTAGTATAATTAATTGTAGCTTTCTTTCTACTTTTATGTAATTCCTAATTAAGATTGAATAAGCTGAAAATATTATTTTTTCTAATGTAAAAGTAATTAATAGTACTGTTTTATAGTCACCTATATTCAAAATAAATTTAAGAACATGTAATAAATCAATTATATTATTTAGAATTTCGTGGATAGTTATAAATTTCTAATTTATAATTAACTAATGTTATTCAATAAACAAAGAACTATTCTAATTATTGCACTTAATTAAATAGTACTTTTCATTTTGAATTGCAATGTCCTTCTTATTTACATTAAATTCCTTTAAAATTATATGAAATAGATTAAACAAAATAAAAATAAATGCAATTAAATTGTAATTAACTCTTAATATACTCAAATAAATAATTTAATTACAGTTTAATTGAAATAGATAATTTTAATATAACTCATTAATTAAAAGTTGAAAAAATGGAGTTATCAAATATTGTATGTGAAAACTGTTAATTTGGAATATTTAGAATTCTTGATATTTATTAATAGGATAAATAAACAATGAAGTTATCTTAAATTACTATTAAAAATAGTAGATGTGGAAATACAGGTTGTCTCTCCATTATAAAAAGTTTTAATGATTAAATCTTTAAAATGAATTTATTGGGATTGACTAGAACACTTTAATAACATGATTATGATAACCTACGTTTTAAATTAAACCAGTAAATTAATATTGAAGATAGTTTATTTTTAAATAACACTTCATTTTATGGAGGATCTATATTAATAGTAGAACTTGGTACATTAATTAAGAAATGCATTTTTGAGAACAATTCAGCTTAAATAGGAGGAGCTATTTATTATTATTCATCAGAAAGTTAAATTTTTCTTCTAGATTCTTAAATTATATAAAATTCCGCTAAAGTAGCTGGAGGAGTGTTCTTAAATTAATAATCTTTGTAATTAACAAAGGAATTAGATTTTCAATTATTAAACAATAATTCCACTATGTATGGTTAAGATGTACTTGAGAATCCTCGGTCATTAACTCTTTCTATAGATGGAGGAGAAACACTATTATAAAAATCATTAGTTTAAGCGACCGAGAACAATATTATAGAATAAATTATCATTAAACCTTATAAAGTTTTAGGTTATTCATAAAAAATGATATATTTAACATTACCATCTGGTAGGAAAATAGGAGAATATAAATATTTTGATTAATATACATCTACTATAATTCCATATAATCTGACTCTTAGGATAATTGCTTTAGATAAGTTTAATAAATAAAATAAAGGATTATCGAATTCATATTGTATTATAAATCCTATTGCCTTTAATATATCTTCTCAAACTGAAGAACCTAATATTAATTACAGTCTTTCTTATTAAAATGTTACTTTTAACGAAACTTCTGGTGATTACAATTTAGATGATTTAGTTATATATTTTAAACCAAATTTAACTAATAATCTTGTTCTTAGATTATCTATCGAATGCAATTAAATAATTATCCCTTTATATAATGAGGAACCTCCATTTCAAATTACTAAAAATATAACAAATTATAAATTAATAATTGATATAAAAACATTATAATGTTAATTAGGTGAATATTAAAATGAAACAACAGGTGGTTGTATATTATGTGATACAATATAAAATTAATATTAAGTAAAATGGAGTGCATAAAATTGTAATTATAAAGATGATTAAACTATGAAATCTATAGAATCTTCTATGATTGAATTAAGATCTGGTTATTGGAGAGCATATTATTATTCTTAAACAATAGAATATTGTTATCATTTAATATAAAATTGTTAAGGAGGATGGAAACCAGGTGATTAATCATGTATATAAGGACATATAGGTGCATTATGTGAATAATGTGATTTATATAATATAATTGGTTAAGGTTCATATTCTGTAAGTTCTAAATATTCATGTGGAAATTGTGATTAAATAATAGGCAATGTGTTAACAATCTTTTTTATAAGTGTCTGGACTCTTATCTCTATATTAATGTCAGTTAGCAGTACTGTTGAAATGATTGAAGAATTTATAGCAGGATTAAGATTAAAAGCCTTTGGGTTTACTGTGCTAATTAAACCAGCTTCAACCGCTATTTTTATTAAAGTATTCACAAATTATTTACAAATCATATCTACTATTGCAACATTCTAACTTTAAGTACCTTCTGGATTAGCCTCAATTGTTAATAGTGTAGGAAATCCTATTGAATCTATGGCTTATTCATTAGATTGTTTTCTTATTCAAATTACAGACATTGAAATTATTTACTTTAGAATTATTTGGAGTTTGCTCTTGGCCACTTCATATATTAAAGCTTTTTTTATAATTCAGGGCATTCAAATATTGACAAAATCAATAAAATATAATACCGCTTTTGTTTCAACTGCCTTAATTTATGTTTTTATTTATTTACAACCTAATTTGATCGGTGGCTTAATATCTCTCATTTCATATAGAATCATTTCTGATGAATATTGGATTTAGGGTAATGTTTCTTATAGATATGATACATATTAACATGCAAAATGGTTAGTTTCATTTTGTTTTCCTCTACTGTTATTATTTAGTATTTTGATTCCATTATATTTTTGGTATGGAGTAAGGAAAAACAGAGGTTAATTAAATAAGACAGCAGTTCGTTAAAAATGGGGATATTTGTACAATGAATATAAAATACATGCATATTATTGGGAAACCATTAAAATTTTATAAAAAGAACTAATAATTATTGTACTTGCATATTATGATGATCACATTGCAATAAAGGCTTCTCTTGTATTTTTAGTATTATTTGGTTACAGTTTTGTAACAACATCATAAAAACCATATATTAGTGGTGAATTAAATTANAAATTAATAATTGATATAAAAACATTATAATGTTAATTAGGTGAATATTAAAATGAAACAACAGGTGGTTGTATATTATGTGATACAATATAAAATTAATATTAAGTAAAATGGAGTGCATAAAATTGTAATTATAAAGATGATTAAACTATGAAATCTATAGAATCTTCTATGATTGAATTAAGATCTGGTTATTGGAGAGCATATTATTATTCTTAAACAATAGAATATTGTTATCATTTAATATAAAATTGTTAAGGAGGATGGAAACCAGGTGATTAATCATGTATATAAGGACATATAGGTGCATTATGTGAATAATGTGATTTATATAATATAATTGGTTAAGGTTCATATTCTGTAAGTTCTAAATATTCATGTGGAAATTGTGATTAAATTGCATTTAATATCATTACTATTTTATTAATAAGTTTATGGACTCTTATTTCAACTTTGATGTCTGTTAGTAGTACTGTTGAAATGATTGATGAATTTGTTATTGGACTCAGATTAAAAGCTTTTGGAGTAACTGTTGCCATTAAAGAAGCTTCAACAGCTATACTTATAAAAGTGTTTACTAATTATTTATAAATTGTATCTACAATTTCTACTTTCCAACTTTAAGTTCCTATCGGATTGGCCTCAGTTGTTAATAGTGTTGGCAATCCTATTGAATCAATGGCTTATTCATTAGATTGTTTCCTAGTATCTATTACTGACATATCAATCATATATTTCAGAATAATTTGGGGCCTAATTATGGCTGCTATGTACATTACAATATTTTTTGGGTTAGGTGGTGTTACTATTTTAATTAAACGTGCCAAGATAGATTTTTCTTACATTTCTACTTCACTCATATACTTATTCATTTATTTGTAACCAAACATCATAGGAGGACTTATTTCATTATTATCATATAGAAAGATTTCTGATGAATATTGGATCTAAGGTAATGTAGCATATAGATATGATACAATATCACATGCCAAATGGGTGATTGGTTTTTGTTTTCCTCTTTTGATTATCTTTTGTTGTATCCTTCCCTTTCTCTTATGGTTTGGAGTACATAAAAATAAACATTAATTAGATTTAACAAAAGTAAGAAGAACTTGGGGATATTTGTACAATGAATATAAATCAAATGCTTATTATTGGGAAACAATAAAAATTTTATAAAAAGAGGTAATAATTATTGTACTTGCATATTATGATGATCACATTGCAATAAAGGCTTCTCTTGTATTTCTTGTATTATTTGGATATAGCTATATGACAATATCAAATAAACCTTATATGACTGGATAATTAAATCATCTAGACACTCATTCTATTGTAGTTTGTGCTGTTTCAATCATTTTGGGTAGTTCAATATATACTGCTTAATAATAAAATTTATAAGAGATAGTTTGGCCCTTTTATATTATAATTGGTATTTTAAATGGTTTGTATATTACTAAAATGCTATTATAGATTTTATTTGCATATTTTAAAAAGCTAAATGATAAAATTGATATTCTTAAAGGCTTTATTACTAAGAATTTTCCAAAATTTGCCAATTAACATCCATATCTAAAGTAGATCTTTGAAAGCCGTAAGACATAATAAATAAGAATCAAAGGAAGATATGCAAAAATTCGAGAATATCTTTTCCCTTAAGCTAGAAAGATAATAGAGTTTAAAAAGTATTATTATATATTTTTCTTTAAGGTAGAATAACTTTGAATTGCCCTGTATGATTGATACTTAAAAATCATAAGATAAATAGAATGAAAATTAAGAATTTGGTTATGGAGATATATAAAGTTTGAATAGTCCCAAATAAAGTGAAATAATTACTGAAAGACAAAATTTAAAAACATTAATGAAGTATCCAAATAATATCTTGAATGAGAGATCATCTGTCTTTTCATTTCCAAGACCAACTGGAAATAGAATACATCCAGAATCAGATTTTGAATTAGAGAGTGCAAGATAAAGTGCTGATAGATAGATTATTTGATTAAATAAAAAGAAATATTTAAATTTTACTAACTTCTAAACTAGGTTATAAAAAATATATATTTTCTTTAAAGTTTAAATAATTATTTAGAAATACATATATATAGATTATAATAAGTTAATAAATTATATTTAAATAATATATAGTTCATTAAAGTATTTAAATCTTATTCGAATTTCAACTTTGAGATTGATGGATACTTGATTTTAAACTATCTTAATTCAAATAATTAATAATTAATTCTGGGTATACTTTAGATGATTATGGTTTTTTAAATAAAGAATCAACATTAGCTTCTTTATCATAATTACTTTCTGGAGATAAGGGACTATTTATACCTAAATTAATCCCATTATTTTATTCTCTTTTTGGTTCAATTATATCTTCATCAAATTCAGATAATATTGTTTTAATTTTACAAGGTAAATCTAAATTATTTTATCTATAAGATTATATATATATATAAATTTACTTTTTATATTATAGAATCTATTTTGCTTAAGGTAGCAAATGATGTTTAATTTTGGCAAACCTTCCTTTGACTCTTGCTTATTACTTTTTTCTGCTTTCAAATAATTCTTTTATAAAAGGATGTTTTTGTATTAAATTGGGAAAAAACTTTATAATTAGTTCTTTAATTTTATCTATTTATTCATGCAATTTATCGAAATAAGCAAACAAAATTTTTATTAACATTTTAATGATAAAATATGCATTTAAAATACCAATAATAATATAAAAGGGCCATACTATTTCCACTAAATTAGATTTTTAGGCTGTATTTATAGAACTTCCTAAAATAATTGAAACTGCACATACTATTGTTGATTATGTATCTAAATAATTTAATTCACCACTAATATATGGTTTTTATGATGTTGTTACAAAACTGTAACCAAATAATACTAAAAATACAAGAGAAGCCTTTATTGCAATGTGATCATCATAATATGCAAGTACAATAATTATTAGTTCTTTTTATAAAATTTTAATGGTTTCCCAATAATATGCATGTATTTTATATTCATTGTACAAATATCCCCATTTTTAACGAACTGCTGTCTTATTTAATTAACCTCTGTTTTTCCTTACTCCATACCAAAAATATAATGGAATCAAAATACTAAATAATAACAGTAGAGGAAAACAAAATGAAACTAACCATTTTGCATGTTAATATGTATCATATCTATAAGAAACATTACCCTAAATCCAATATTCATCAGAAATGATTCTATATGAAATGAGAGATATTAAGCCACCGATCAAATTAGGTTGTAAATAAATAAAAACATAAATTAAGGCAGTTGAAACAAAAGCGGTATTATATTTTATTGATTTTGTCAATATTTGAATGCCCTGAATTATAAAAAAAGCTTTAATATATGAAGTGGCCAAGAGCAAACTCCAAATAATTCTAAAGTAAATAATTTCAATGTCTGTAATTTGAATAAGAAAACAATCTAATGAATAAGCCATAGATTCAATAGGATTTCCTACACTATTAACAATTGAGGCTAATCCAGAAGGTACTTAAAGTTAGAATGTTGCAATAGTAGATATGATTTGTAAATAATTTGTGAATACTTTAATAAAAATAGCGGTTGAAGCTGGTTTAATTAGCACAGTAAACCCAAAGGCTTTTAATCTTAATCCTGCTATAAATTCTTCAATCATTTCAACAGTACTGCTAACTGACATTAATATAGAGATAAGAGTCCAGACACTTATAAAAAAGATTGTTAACACATTGCCTATTATTTAATCACAATTTCCACATGAATATTTAGAACTTACAGAATATGAACCTTAACCAATTATATTATATAAATCACATTATTCACATAATGCACCTATATGTCCTTATATACATGATTAATCACCTGGTTTCCATCCTCCTTAACAATTTTATATTAAATGATAACAATATTCTATTGTTTAAGAATAATAATATGCTCTCCAATAACCAGATCTTAATTCAATCATAGAAGATTCTATAGATTTCATAGTTTAATCATCTTTATAATTACAATTTTATGCACTCCATTTTACTTAATATTAATTTTATATTGTATCACATAATATACAACCACCTGTTGTTTCATTTTAATATTCACCTAATTAACATTATAATGTTTTTATATCAATTATTAATTTATAATTTGTAATTGTATTATTAATAGAATAAGGAGGAGTAGATTCATATTAAGGTATTGAGATGATATTACAGAATATTGATAATTACATAATAACTTCTGCCTCATAAGTAGGATTAAAATAGATAATTAAATCATCTAAATTAAAGTCGCCAGAAGTTTAGTTAAATTTTACAGTTGTATATGATAAACTTCCAACTAATCCTGTGAGGATTTCTTTGCTAGTATAATTCATAATGGTTGGAGTAATAGTGCAAGTAGATCCTTCTAATTTCTTTTCTTAAGTGTTATATTTGTTAAGAGCTATGATTCTAAATGTAAGATTGTAAGGAATATACTGAGATGTATATTGATCAAAATATTTATACGATCCTATGGCTCTTCCAGATGGAAACATAATAAAATTAACTTTTTAAGAATAACCTAAAATCTTATAAGGTGTAATGACAATTTATTCAACTAATGATGTTGAAGTTTTGGATATCAATTTTTTTGCTAGAAATGTTTTTCCTCCATCAACAGACATTGTTAAAGATCTAGGATTTTCTAAAACATCAGAACCAAAAAGTGTTGAATTATTATTTGATAAATAAACATCAAGTTTAGTTGTAGTTTGTAATGATTAAGAATTTAAGTATAATCCCCCAGCTATTTTAGCTTTATTTTCAAGTATTTAAGAATCAAAAATATATAATTGGGCTTACTTTGAAAAATAATAAATAGCACCTCCTATACTAGCTGTATTATTTCTAAAATAACAGGCATGCAATATAGATGTTATTTCAACTATAAAGATTGATCCTCCATAAATAGCATTATTATTAATAAATCTAGAATTAATTATTTTTGCTTAATAATTTAAATTGTAAGTTAAATTATAGTAATCGTGTTATTAAAGTACTCTTTAATTAGTAGCAGATGATAATAAATCACTTCTTAATATTGCATTACTTTCATATTGAAGTAATGATATACATCCTGTTTAACCGCAATTACTATCTCTTATAATTACATTTGAAAATAAGATATTTTAAACTTCTAACTTTTCTATCTCTTCAATTGTAATAAGTCCATATTAGCAATCAGAACATTGAATAGAATCAAATTATAAGTTTTCTGCTTAAAAATGATGACTTACCTTAAGATCATCTATTTCTATAAGACTGAACTTATAAGTGACATTTTAATAAATAAGGTACTTATTACATTCCATTTATAATTACTAATTTTATGATGTATCATAATCAGATAAATTTTTACTTTAAGATGGGAATATTAATGGACAAGTTAAAGGTTCCTTAATTANAATTGTATTATTAATAGAATAAGGAGGAGTAGATTCATATTAAGGTATTGAGATGATATTACAGAATATTGATAATTACATAATAACTTCTGCCTCATAAGTAGGATTAAAATAGATAATTAAATCATCTAAATTAAAGTCGCCAGAAGTTTAGTTAAATTTTACAGTTGTATATGATAAACTTCCAACTAATCCTGTGAGGATTTCTTTGCTAGTATAATTCATAATGGTTGGAGTAATAGTGCAAGTAGATCCTTCTAATTTCTTTTCTTAAGTGTTATATTTGTTAAGAGCTATGATTCTAAATGTAAGATTGTAAGGAATATACTGAGATGTATATTGATCAAAATATTTATACGATCCTATGGCTCTTCCAGATGGAAACATAATAAAATTAACTTTTTAAGAATAACCTAAAATCTTATAAGGTGTAATGACAATTTATTCAACTAATGATGTTGAAGTTTTGGATATCAATTTTTTTGCTAGAAATGTTTTTCCTCCATCAACAGACATTGTTAAAGATCTAGGATTTTCTAAAACATCAGAACCAAAAAGTGTTGAATTATTATTTGATAAATAAACATCAAGTTTAGTTGTAGTTTGTAATGATTAAGAATTTAAGTATAATCCCCCAGCTATTTTAGCTTTATTTTCAAGTATTTAAGAATCAAAAATATATAATTGGGCTTACTTTGAAAAATAATAAATAGCACCTCCTATACTAGCTGTATTATTTCTAAAATAACAGGCATGCAATATAGATGTTATTTCAACTATAAAGATTGATCCTCCATAAATAGCATTATTATTAATAAATCTAGAATTAATTATTTTTGCTTAATAATTTAAATTGTAAGTTAAATTATAGTAATCGTGTTATTAAAGTACTCTTTAATTAGTAGCAGATGATAATAAATCACTTCTTAATATTGCATTACTTTCATATTGAAGTAATGATATACATCCTGTTTAACCGCAATTACTATCTCTTATAATTACATTTGAAAATAAGATATTTTAAACTTCTAACTTTTCTATCTCTTCAATTGTAATAAGTCCATATTAGCAATCAGAACATTGAATAGAATCAAATTATAAGTTTTCTGCTTAAAAATGATGACTTACCTTAAGATCATCTATTTCTATAAGACTGAACTTATAAGTGACATTTTAATAAATAAGGTACTTATTACATTCCATTTATAATTACTAATTTTATGATGTATCATAATCAGATAAATTTTTACTTTAAGATGGGAATATTAATGGACAAGTTAAAGGTTCCTTAATTATGAAACTTGTTACTAAACAAGGAGTATCTACAATCTATAATTTTTATATAACATTTTAAATTGTAAGATTTTTAATTATAAGAATACCATAATAGTCTAAATTTAAATAATATAATATTTACATTATCTTAAACTTAATTTGAGGAGTGGTGAATATAAAATTGTAGAATTAATGATTTCAATATTCTATAAATAAATATTGATGGCAGATTCTATGTTCAAGAAATATGAGAATTAGGTAGATGAAAAACTACAATTGTTTATATTTACACTTGCATATTTAATTGATATCAAAGCATTACTATTACGAATAGAATCAAGATCTGAAATAGTTGGAGATTATAAAAGTGATATAAAAGTATTAAATCCTTTTTAAGTATTCTCAAATATTATGCCACTAATATCAATTTATGATTTTATATTATCCAAACTTGATGATGAAAATGATAGAAATGAACTTTTTATGGAATAACAATCTATTACATTTAAATTAGACATTTCAATATTATTCTCTTATTAAGATGGAATAATATATATGCCTCCTCCTTCTAATCTACTAAAAGAGGAGTCAAAAGTAGTTGATTATATAATTAATGTTAATTTTGATAATTATGCATCTATATAAATACAACCTCCAGTTGAAAAAGAAGAACTAATCATTGAAGTTTATGTATTTAAGAATTTCGAATTTTTTATTATAATACTGCTTATACCTTATGTATTAATATAAAATCCTCCTCCATAATTAGAAAAAGATTAATCTATTCTCACTTTATCTAAAGTAAGATATGTTGCAATTAATAATCCATTTCCACTTTTAGAACTAATTGGTAAAACATTAATTAAACTTTAACCATCAATATCATTATTATCATCAGGTAACAAGATATTATAGCCAATTATAGAAAATTAAAGGATGTTATTTTTTTGAAATTTCGTATTTGTTATTCCTATGCTTATAGCTTTTAAATACAAAATAGAATCAGTGGAATTAGTAACCAAATTTTGTTTAAAATAAGAATTTTCAAGATAAAAATTACCTTATTATAATTGAATAAGTAATGTTGAAGTTGATTATCTTGATAAATCTTAAAAATATTGATTAAGATGATTATAATAGAATTTTACATTGCTAAATGTGACAAATGATGATTATTCTGATAAAATTGATATGATAGAAGTAGCTCGGTTGGCCTTTGTGATAATAAGCATATTAGAATCAAAAATAGAATCTATTATATCAATTTATTCATTTTATATTTTTTCCATTAAGTCATATCCTTTAATGATAATAAAAGGATTGTTATATGTAATACTATTGCTAAGTTATAAATTCTTTATTGTAATATTTTAGTATAATCCAATATACAGAAAATGAAACATCTGAGAATAAGCATAATTATTAACACACTCAAAAGATTAATGCAAAGTTTTAGAATAATAATTAGATGATTAAGAAAGATACAAATTCTTTATATTTAGATTTTATGAATGTAATATTGTGATTTCAGGAAGTCCATATCCTCTTTAAATATAAACTGAAATCAATTTACATTAATAACACTCTATATAAATATTTGATTCTTCATATGAAATATAATTTGGTATTTCATTAAGTAATGATATACTATTATTGAGTGTAAATGAATCAATTTAAAATATCTAATTATTAATCTTTTCATATAAAATTATTCTTAAAATTGATTATGCATTTGTATATTTAAGATTCTCTATTTTACAATTAATAATTGAAATTTTAGCAGCATTTAACATTGATTCATCTGAATTTGCATAATTTACATCATTAGTTATGAGTGTACTATTTTAAATCATAGTGTTTTTAAATTATAAGTCTGATATCTAAATAATATTAGAAAAATAAAAATAAGAATTATTCTTAAGAATTAAATCTATAACTGTGACTGTTTTTGTTATAAAAGATGAAGCACCTTAGATTGAAAATATTGTTGATCTATCATTTAAAGTAACAGCAATTAAATTCAAATTATTAATAGTAACTGTTCCAATATCATATTCAAGTTAAGTTTATGTGTATATTAAATTAGATTTATCAAATTGAGTATCAGTTATAGATATTTAATTCATTTAGATATTAGCAAAGAGATCATTAGATTTGGCTTAAAAATTAAAGAGGTTTGTATTTTTTAAATATGAAGTAATAATTTATAATCTTGATATTATAACTTTTTATTCAAAACCTGAAGAAATTTAAAATTAAAATACTTATGAATCTTAAACTTTAAAGTCTCTAATGATAAGATTTTCAATATTTAATGAATATCCTTAATCAGAAATAAATTAGAATTGCTTCAATTATTGAGTTGAATTAGTTGTAGTAAATATGCAATCATTTATGATTAAGTTCATTTTTAATTAAGTATTTATCAAAACAATATGAGATTATTAAGAATTATTGTTATCTTAAATAGCAGTTTGAAATTATATATTTTCAAATGTAATAGATCCAAAATTTTTTATTTATAAAATTTTATCTATTATTATAGTAGTAGGATATTTATCACCAATAAGTTTTAAATTAACTTACTAAATGGAAAATACATTTTGTTATATTATATTTAATAATTTAGAATCTTATTAAATATAACATGATAATCCATTTTGTGAGATAAATCTAAATTAAAATTCAACCTCTCTGATTACTTTTTCATTAAAATAAGTATATAAACTTGAAGATTCTACTATTCTTAAATATCCAATTTCAAAAAGTACATCTATAAATATGTTGTTTTATAAAAACACTTATTAATCTGTACTCTACTATAAATCAGAATTATATAAACTTTATTAACAATACACATTTTATTTAAGTATAGCTTTATGATAACATTTATCATATTTTTCACAAAATGTTATTGTTTAGATATTTTAATCATTGTAGTATGAACCTTCAGTAGTATCTTATTGAAATTCTTCATAACAAATTCTTGTATATTTAATATTATTCTATGTAATAATAAAATAGGGATTAATATTTTGAATTTCTTCTGTTGATCTCTCTAAACAAGCAGCACAATAATTTGGACAAGTTAGACATATCCCTTTAGAATCTTGACTCTTTAAATATCCATATGGAGTTTCTAAGCATTAAGTGCATATTGAAATTCCATTAATTATGTTACATTCTGTACAATCTTCATTACAATCTTTAATACAAGTGAATTCATAAAGAATATATCCTTTAGGACATGATGTACAAATCAATTCAAAATCTGATTCAAAAGTTGATGTTGCATATTATTCAAAAGGATGAGAGTCATCTTAATTAAAAACATATTTATAATAAGCTTTAATTCCCCATTTCCAAAAGTCTTAGTATTCTTTATTTTATTGTATACATGTTTTACAATTTTATTCACATTAAATGCATCTACCAGTTAAAATACTTGAATAATATCCATCAACACATACTATACAAAATGTACTGGCAGAAAGATAATTAGATATACACTATTAACAATTAATAATTATTGAGCAAAAGATATTTTGAGTTGAAGTTACACTGTATTAACTTATTAAACAATGACTTGTACCTAAAGAATCTATTATTAGACCAAAAGTGCATGAATCAGTTGATACTTCATTAATCTTATCATTTTAATCATTAGGAGGAGCAGGATCACTAGGATTAGTAGAACCATTTCCAGAGATTAAAGGTGCTATTTCACATTATAATGTAATTAAATTATAGTAATAGTTTTATTGACAGAGTGCACAACCAATAAATAATTAAGATTCAGCCATATCAATTATAGATGTATTTATATCAAATTTTGTATGTGTTATATCATTTTTAATAAAATAATGATAACAAATTTAGCAATTAGGAATAGTGCAAATTTCACAATTTTTACCATCAAATGATAAGAAATATGTAATAGGATTATCACAATAATTACATTAACCTTAGTTGTTACAACTAGCACAATATTATCCACAAGATTAACATAATCCTTCAGAATTTAAATATGTTCCAGTTTTGCAAGATCTACAATGTGTATTTTTATTATAGAATGTACAATCACTACAACTTAAACATTATTAACATAGATAATCATCTGTTAAAGCATAATTTGAAAAACACTTTTAACAAATTCCTTTTTTAACACAAGTTTCACAACCATCTAAACAAGCACTGCATTATTTATTAGAATCCAAAAAAAATCCTTATTTGCATGTACCAGATTATACAAATCCATATTATAATGTCAATTCATACTAACCTTCTAAATTTTAATTAGCTATATAAAACTCAATTTCTCTATTCTGTCTTTAAATGGTGAAATATGAATTATCTTCATCATATAAATAAGTATTGGTATCTTCTAAACATTATAAATTCTAAGCAAAACTTACAGAATCAAAAAAACAATTTGAACAAAAGATCTAATATCTTGTACTATACAATTAATAACCAGGACTTATTTATTTATTATAAATACCATTATATGCAATTATCTCTATATAAAAAATGACCGAAAAGACATTTTTATATATTATTATCACAACTATCAAAACATCTTTTGTTACATAAAACTTAAATTTCATCTTCTTCAAGTTAAGGAAATTTAACAACAACTGGTTAACATATTGGATCATTTTCAATATCAACATATTTATTTTTACAAGTACATGTCTTTTAAGTAATAGATTGAACTCTAAAACTGTTGATTGGACATGATAAACAATTAGATATACCAGGACCATCACATGTATTACAAGAATAATGACATTTAGGATTTAACGTTATTGTTGGTGTTGTACAATAAGTAATCAAAGTTAAATCACTTAATTATCCAATTAGATAATTTTTAATAAAATTGTCACCTCCAACAAAATAATATAGAATAGTTCCAGTAAAATGATTTATAGGTACAGTCCATTTATATTCAAATACTTTATCTAAAGATGGAAAATATATTGAAAATAAAGGTTATCCATTATTATTATTTGTTCCAATCTCATATTATATATAATGCCAATCAATTAACAGATTTTAGTATTATGGTCCTGTTACCGTTATGATATCAGTGCCTGAACTCTATTATTTTGTTTCTACTGGAAAATTGTATGTGTAGGTTGTTATTGAAAAACCATTTTAAGTAGGTACAATACTTTAATAATACTTTAAATATAATTCTTTATCTCCAATTGTCATATCATCATTATAATTACTATTTATTGAAATTCTTAATATAACTGTTTCAAGATAATAATCATCACTTAAAAATTCCATTTTAATCCAACCTTAAATAACATAACTTTGATATTCTAATTGACTTGTACTATTATTTGTGAATCGATTTCCAGTAAATACTTAATTATACCCTGATAACAAATATGTTTTTATTAAACAAGATGGAACTATCTCACAAGTTGATAAAAATTAATTTAAATCTAAAAATATATTTAATTGCTCTTTGCTAAATAATGTTGATATTCTTCCTTTAAATTATTACAAACTCAAAATCTCTCCTAATTAATTTTTTATTTCTTATACTCCACCAATTATATGTCTAACATATTTTACTAAAGAAGGGATGTCTTATAATTACTATGTTTTTGTTGATACAGTTTATTCTGCTTAATAAAAACCTACTGTTGTTTATTTTTACAAAAGATCATAATATACATAAAATAAAATCCATCTTCCTTCATATTCATCAAATTCAAAATTGAAAGAAATAGTCCCTGTTGTTGATTAAAATGAATAAAATATATTATGCATTATTTTATTAGTTGTCGGTGTAATTGTAATATAAACAGTTAACATATTAAATTTTGTATCCTTTTATTATTACATATATATAAAAAATCCTGATTCTACAGGCTCTTTGAATATAATACCACCTGTAGATGAACTTGAAGTCGCTAATTAATCAATTCAAAATCATACTAATCTAAGAAATAGGTACAAAAGGCTAATACTTTATCCATAACCCATAACCAATGTTTGAAGTGCCTAATAACACTATATTATCTAAATTGATGTCTAGTTATTATTAAGGGTCAGTTAAACTGAGTAAAGTAGATCCAGTTTTTAAGTATCCGCAATCAGATAAGCATAATCTCTTATTAAAATGATTATTACTTTAGCAGACCAAAAACAATAAGTATAAAGAGATTAGTACCTTATTGATTCATTTTTTAAAACAAAATTATTTAATTATTATAGTTAATTATATAATTACTTCTGAAATATATTATGTTTTCTAATTAAAATTACTTAGATTGAATCAATTGATAAACAAAACGGCTTGTAATATTTCTCACTTTATTATGAATTTTTCTTTAATTACACTAATAATTTATTATTCATACTCATTATTTTAAAGAGATAATTAGGTTTTTCATTTGATATAATTATCAATCAGACATTAGAAAATACTTTTAAAGTATGAAAATCAATGGAAGATCTTTTATATTTTGATGATTCTAAACTAATTTAAACTTAGTTTTATTAATAAAAATCAAATTATTCAATCAAATTTGTTAGGATCAATAATAAAGAACAACAATATAAATTAATGTTGAATTTCAATTACTTTTTCCAACTACAATATGTATTTAACAAATCATTCATCAGTAATTGATTTAATTATTTATTTACAACTAATATTTATAATAATTAAATATTTGAAATTCGTTAACCAATCAAATTAATTTATTTGGTCTTATATGAGAGTAAATGGAAATATCATATCAAAAATGATATTTAATAATAGGAAATATAATTAATAAACAATATAATAGTAAACAAGAGATCATGTTTTAAATATTGATTATCAGATAATCTAATGAATTTTTATGAAATAAATTGCTATACATTTATGATTAATTAAATTTGATAATTAATTTTACCAATTATTAAACTAAATACATCTAATGAATTTCTTAAACCTTTTACAAAATTTATATTATACGATAATTATATAAATTATATAATAATTATAATTCAGGAAATTAAAAATTTAAATCTTGAATATTAAATAAAGTAATTTATATAATTAAAATAAAATGTAGGTTTAATAAGACATTGTTTTGAAATTTCTCCTTGTAGGGGAACCTTCTGTAGGGAAATCAGCTTTTCTAATCAAATATGCTAAGGATTAGTTTATTGAATAATATATTCCTACCATAGGAGTAGATTTAATGGAAAAAAATCTGGATTTAAATGATAAATCAATAAAGATGTAGGTAGATATTTAATTTTAAATTAGATTTGGGACACTGCAGGATAAGAAAGATTTATGGTCATAGTATAAAGTTATTTTAAAGGAGCTAACGGGATTTTTATAATTTATGATATTACCAATAGAGAATCATTTAATGCTCTATTGAAATGGATAGAATGTATGAAAATTTCTAACATTATAGATTCTGAAAAGTATGCAAATCCAGGTGTGCTTAAAATGTTAGTAGGGAATAAATCTGATTTAAATGGATAAAGACAAGTAACTTTTGAAGAAGGATAAAACCTAGCCAATTCAAACGGTATGCTTTTTATAGGTATACTTTTTATAATTAAATAGAAACATCTGCAAAGGAAGGATTTAATCTAGAATAAGCTATTAATAATTTATTACATGAAGTCTTATCATAATAGGAAATAAAGAAAAAGGAGGAGAAAATTGAAAACCAATGACAGAATTTAAACGAACATTAAAAATTAAAATTTTTAATAATATCTCTAATTTCCAGTTATATTTTATAATGTTGTTTATCATAACATTATAAAAATCTTTATAATAAGAATTTTTTTATTAATTTAAGCTTTGCGTTATTAATCTTAATTGAAATGTCTATAATTAATAATTCTATAAATTATAAATCAAATAATATTTTATCAAGTTAGTAAAATAAAAACTACGAAAATAATTTATAATATAATTTGCATTACCAAATATTATGAAATATAAGATCTCATCGAAATTAAAATGACCTTCAAAAAAAGTTTTGATTTTCTTAAAATTAATCTGATTAGAAGATATAGTCATTATTTGTTTGTCCAATATTAGTGCTATTGAATTTAATTATTAAACAATATATTCTGATTAAAATCTTACTTATAATTTGGATTACCTCTAAAAAATTAAAAAGAATATTACATAAATTTAATCAAATTTAGAAAGGATATTTTTACAAAAGATATTGATTAACTCTAATTTAATACTTTACATTAAGTAAAATATATTTTCTAAAAGCATTAAAATTAAGTTAGATATTATTAAATAAACCTTAATATATTGCAGTATAATATAAAACTGATTTACATTAAATGCCTTATTATAATTATAAATATTCATAGTTTATTCTGGATTTATTAATAAATAAATATTATCAATTTATATTAATTAAAAATAAAAATGAGCAGAAAATAAACTCGTCCACTTTTAATATTAAAACAAGAAAATGAGGATTTCCCTTTTGATATCAAAGATGTTAATATAAGTGACATTAAACAAATCGATTATTTTAGAATGTACAATTCTTTAAAAATGGTGTTGGAAAAGCTAATAGAAGAACAAGTAATAGTATTAAATTTATTTAGCCATTGCAATAAAAATTACAAACTAATATAGATTTTGCATTCCAAGTCTTTTTGCAAAAAGATTAAATATCATCTTAATAACAAAAAGCCGGAAAAAAAAATCAATCATAACCTTTTTTAAAAAAAGAAATCTTATAGCTAGTTGAAATATTATCTTAAATGGGATTTTCAGATAAATAAATACAGGAAAGGTTATAATTGAATCCTGGGCAAACATTTAATGGTATTACCTAACATTCAGAAATTTAAGAGGGAGATTAATAATCAGGAAAAAAATATAGTAAAGAAAAGTAAAAGTAAGGATAAATTATTGACAAACAAAAACTCTAATAAGAGCAATAATTCCATTCTGATGATGAGCCTGAACAAAATTGAAGGAATGAAATATAATGTTTTAATTTTCCTCGTATATTAATAGTCGACATTTATACAATAAAATATATAAAATTATATAAGAATTTCATGCTTATAAGTTTATAAAGAAGAAAATTTCTATTTTTTTCAATGATTTTATTAATCATAAACCACTAAGTCTTTAGAAAGTACATATCGAAATTTCAATAAAGTAATTACAAATTCTTAAGTAAAATGAGGATATTAATACATATATATTCAAGATATATAATAATATTCCTTATTTATTGAATATTCTTTTAGAATTATTGTAATAAGAGCAATAATGATCAACAAGAATTAAAACCCATTTAATTTTATATTAATTTGATTATAATTACAATAGATTAATCATTTTTGATACTATATGAATATTTATAAGCATATTAAATTGTACAAATCTAAAAGATAATGTTATTAAAGAATCCTAAATACATAAATATAAAGCTTTTGAATTTTACCAATCTATCATAGAGAGGGAAATTTGATTAAATTAAAGAATTGTGTGTAAGATTTTTAGACTTATTTAATAATAATTTCTTGGATGAAAATGGTTGCAAATATTTTAACAAATTCTTATAACTTAAACAGTTAAATTTACCTTTTTTGTTGATTTTACTACAAGTACTTAATGGGTGCATTTTTAGAGTTTTGACAAAGCTTATATATTATAAATTATCAAATCTAAATAGAGTGTTCTAAAATCCTTAAATTGAATTTTTGATAATAGAATTATAACATAAATTTTAATAACCAATATTGTAGACAATAAGAAAAATTGATAATGGAATTCTTTAAAAAGACTAAATAAATATGAATTTTATATGAAGAGGATATTGTCTTGATTTGAAAATAAATATATTTTACTATAATAACAATATTTAATAAGGTTTAAAAATGAAAGGAAGAACTCTATAAGAAATTGAATTATCATTTTTGTATCTTTAATAAGGCATTGCTAAATGATTTAATATTCTTAAAAACATTGAATATTCTCTGCAATTATAAAATACCATTTTTTTTAAGTTCTATTTAACTAAATATATTTATATATTTATTAATAAAAATAATGGGATTCGGCACTAATCCATATTAAAATGAGAATCATGAAGATAAGAGTTAATATGCAATCACTGGAAGACCTTAATTGAATGATGTTCATTCAATTTATGTAAAAGGAAATTAACCTTGGTGGAGAAGATGGTGGGCTACTCGTGATATGTTTTAGGAGCATCACTGGGAAGTTCTGTATATCATATACATTATATATCATTAGCACATGTGCTAAGTATGCTTATAAAGGAGCTCTAACTGCCATATTAGTAGGAGCTACTTACTAATTCAAACAATTATCAGTAAATGCATTGGCAATCAATAAAGGAAGAGTGTTTGCTAGCAAAAATGCATTCACAGGTCCAGCATTTCTTGCCCTAAAATAAGCGTCAAGACATGGAACACTTGGTGCTTTATTTGGAGTTGCCTACTTTTTCTGGTTTTATTAATTAGTTTGTTCAAGAGGTCATTAACATACATTTAATGGATACCTTTTTGGTCATGCATTATATGGAGCAGCATTGGCATCATTTTTCAGTATTAGAAGAAGTGGAGTTGGAGCTTTGGTTGGTGGAATAATTGGTAAAGAATATAAAAATTGTGTAGGTTGGATTTATTATAATACAGCTCATGGAAATTTATAGATTGGTAATAAGGCAGAAGAAGGAATCAATTTTGAATTCAAGGGATTAACACCTGAATAAAGAGAGGCTATTAGATAAAGAGATTTGATAAGTCATTTGAGTAGAACACCAGAATTCAAATTAAATTTATTCAATAAAGTATGAAAATTACAACATATAATATAATAATTTAATATCATGTCAAGACATTCATAAATAAAATAGTAAATCATGAATTCATTCAAAAAATGCTTAAAGATTATGATAAATAAATCTTTGTAAAGCCCATTTATAAGAAAATTTATAAGAGTAATTATTAAATTTTCATTAATTAAGTTAAATACTCTTATTGTACTAAATAAAGAATAATAGTAATTAAAGAAACTTTTGTTTACATTTAACAAAACAAATAATATTAAAATGATCAAATTTTGAGGCCTTTAAATTTTTATAAGATTTTGCATATCAAGAATTTGACTATCTGACAATAAGTAATAGTAAAAAATTTGATAAGAATGAAATTATTTATATATAAGTAGAATAGGTAGAATTTAACATATATTTAATCCTGTGATGTTAATATGAATATTAGCTAAATCAAACAAATTTTGATGTATTGTTCTTTTTTGATTATCCCAAGTATTTGCTAGCATTTTAAGTACTTTAATTTTAACTGACACCAGCTGATGCTTTATTGATTTACACTAACAATGAAGGATTCTTCAATTTTATCAAAGAAGCTATATCATTCAATCTAAATGAATTATATTTATATATACCTATTCTAAACAAATTATAATTTTGCTTTCATTAAATTATATCTAAATGAAACATTTTATCTAATTGTCTCTTCAGAAGCAGAGCTGAATTCTAATGACAACATTTCCATAAATTTGTATTCTAAATTTTCAATAAAATCTAGTCTTGCAGCTCCGTCTTATTGCATGAATAATACGGAAAAGAAACTGAATTAATATATACTTTTACTGATTAGGTTCTTTATGACATGCATTTAACAGCTTAATCAACATTTATAAAAATTATGGATATTCAATAGTTAGTTTTTATTCTTCTCTTATTTTTTTATAAGTCTCCTTATTTATTCTATATTCAATTTAAATTATACATTGTAATATAATTGAAAAACAAATCTGTTTCACTTGTTAATTCAATTTTCAAATTCTCAAATGCTTATTATTCACCCTAGATTTAATTACAACAAAATAAACTTAAACTAAAATTTTCACTCTAACCTATTCTAATGTGCCAATTTCTTATGGACCTGTATTTGCATCCTAAACTCTAATTTTATTATTATTTATTCAAATCTACCTTGTTTCTATGTGAATTTCACGATCAAATTGTATTTTAAAACCTCCTTCTAAACTAGGATCAATGTCTTCTAAAGCTCCCAAATCTAACTGTGAATCGTCCATTTTATTTTTTATTTTTATTATATCAAATAAAACTTAATGTTAGAGAAATAATTTAATATTATATATAATATATATATATATATCTAATTAGAAAAAAAGTAAGAGCAATTCATTTTTGAATAATTATTGTCTCAATTTATTAAAAATCCTTAAACTAATTTCATTAAATCAATAATTGGAATCTTATATGTAAAAATAATCACTAAAACTTGATTATGGTGTTTTCATAAAGATAAAGATAAAACCTAATTATAATATATGAATTTTACTATTCTACTATTCCAAAACTCTTTCAATTAACATTTCTTTACTTTTATTGAATATCTCTGATTGAGGAAGTTGATTCAAACCAATTATTTATAATGTAGCATTTTATAGTTAATTTATTCTGAGTTATAAAAATTATCCATTGCTTGTCTTTAAAATTTCTAATAAAAAAATTATTAATGCATGCTTCAAAGTAACAAATTTTATATCTTCATTACAAACTATATTTATTGCATTTTTTGAAGTCTAAAATAATTACACACATTTTTATAGTAATTTTTTTATTGTGACTATTTTTAATTCACAAACTTAACTTTATTAATAATATATTTCTATTAATGATATTCTTAAATTTGTTAATAAAGGATGATAATTTTCTTTTTATAATGTTGCCAAAACCTTATTAATTGGCATAATTTATTAATGAAAGAATTTCTTGTATATTTGAATCTATTGTAAATATTTAAGTTTTTATTCCTTTCTTATTGGATCTTCTGATTCTATTATTATAGCATAGATAACTTTTTCAAATTAATAAGCTATAATAGAAATTGAAACTTTTTTATTAAGATAATCAACATTCAGATACTAATTGAAAAGACATAAATTATCACTATGTTTTATGCTTTTAACAGTCAATTGCTATATGTAAGCTTATAAGGATTCATTACTTGAAACTTTTGATTGATACAAAAATGTAGTTAAAGGAGTTTCAGATTCAAAGTATTCTTTTAAATATGAAGAGATTATCTAATATGCATTTTCTTCTTTGTTGAAAGAAAATAAAAAATAAGGTTTCTTCAAAAAAAGAGGAATCATCTTTTCTAAAAAATATTTTTGTAATTTCTTACCCCAAGTGCTATCTTTCAAAGACAGAAAAAATGAATTCCTATATTACTTTTCTATTTCATATTATATGAGAATATAACATAAACTCAATAAAATTGTATAAACATATTGCTAAGCAATCATTTTATTTTCATAAAGCTATACTATAAGTATTTTAGAGATAGTATGAGTCAAATTGGCTAATATTCCTTATTTAAGATCATTAGCAAACATTAAGATTGTATGAACCAACATTTGATTACTACCAAGTAAATATCCATCATAATATGTTTTGAGAGGATCTGGATTTTCAAATTCAAAGGCTATAAAAATTAAATTACAAATAAGTAAGGCATTATTGGAGTACTTTCTAAATTTTACATATTTTCTCAAAATGATGTATTAGAGAAAGAGATAAAATGAAACAATTCCATTTTTTAATGCATTTTAATACTTTTCAGAGACCAAATAAACAAAAAAGTTTATTATTAAAAGTAAGGATCCTCCTCCTGTTACATAAGTTAATGTAGGAAATTGTAGAGTATTACTTCGATGTATCAAATATTATTCTTCAATTTTTGAGTCTTTGAATCTTAAGGTATATTTTTACATAATAATTAATGATCATTTAAATGCAATGATTTCAGAAGTTTAAATGATGAAAAGACATGTTCGACAATAATATAGTTTATATTGCAAATTGTAGAATTTAAACATCTCTTTTATAAAAATTAAATATACTAGTCAAATAATTTGCTTGAAATCATAGGGATTATATAATAATAATTATTATCTATTTAAGTATTTTATCAAATATGTATGCCCCATTGAATATTTTATTAATATATTACTTTTTCTCGGATAATTATAACAAAAATAATTAATTTTATTTAAAATCTTTTATATAATTCATTCATTTATACTAAATTGATTATATGGTAGAATGAATATTACAATAAATATATATAATCTAATTATATTTATTATTGTTGATTATTTATAAGGGAAATTGCAGTAAAAGGATAACTTTTTGGTTTAATCTCTATATTTTATGTTTTAATTTTAAGGATTAACTGTTTTAATCAATATATAATAATATTTTGTTTTAACTTTAAATCTTTTTCATTAAGTAATTTTTAGTTTTTTTGACTAACAAAGAGATTTTTTAAATTTAATAAAAAGACAATCAGACCAAGTAGAAGTTTATATTTTACAAGGTTTATATTATATCAGCTTATAGATTATTATTTATATAAAGTATATTATTCTATTAATATATAATAAATTTATATAATTCATAAATATATATCAGATGAGTATAATTTTTTCATTCTCTTAAGATAAAATTTTTGTTCTAAAGGAACTTATAGGATTCAAGTATGAATTCATTAGATACCTAATTAAATTATTAATTACTTTTAATTTTCTATCTATACTTTAGATTAAGATAGTAAATATAATTTCAACTTATTATAATTCTTTGCTATTTGTTCATTTTTTGTCTTCCATATTGATATTTTATTTCCCAAATAACGTGAAAATTTTGAATTAGTAACAATTCTTTATAGATTTTATAAAATGAAACTCAAAATGACAATCTTATATTTTTTCCAATATGTAAGTAAAATTTTAAATGTAAATGAGTAGAAAAGTTTAATCCAAAGAAGAAATATGAATATCTATAATATGACAGAATAAAATTGATTACTATTTTACTAGCTTATATATTTTACTACTGCTAAAAAAATAGTTAAAGAGCACAATTAACAAGTTTAAATGTCTAATTTATTTAAGCTTTTAATTATTAATGGTTATTAATTTTGAGCTAATGATTAATATAATAACAAACATATTCCCAATAATGATGCTTTCAAAAATAAATTTGTCTCAAAATAAACTATTATTACTATTATCACAGTCTTTTTCAAAATTTTTATATATTCCCAAAAATAGCTAGATTGATTATATTCGTTGAATAAATAACCAATATGTCTACGAAGTTTAATATTTTCAAATTTTTCTTTCTTTAGATACATTAATAAAAATAATAAAATTGGTATACCAAATCCAACAATCACTACTCCTGGAAGTAGAAAAGTTAAAATCCATTTATAATGAGTTGGTGACTCAAATTTTGATGAAACATCTCCTTAAATGAAATCAATATTAGAAATTTATCTCTTTGCTAATAATGATATAAACCTAATTTTATCAATATAATTATACTGCTTAACCAAACTTGCATTATTTTAAAGATATAAATATAAAATAATGTTAGTAATTATGCTTGTTCTTAAATAATAATCATTGAAAATTGAATGAAGTTTAAAACCAATACTAATAAATAATAATTGAACAACTATCAAGATTAGCATAGTTATAATTCTTGAATATTTTAATTCTATCATCTATTCAAATTATGATATAGATAAAAGACAATCTAAACTATTAGCTAAGACAAAAGAAGAATTACTGGCTGATTCAAAAAATGTTATTGAAATTGAGAATTCAATATTAAAACTAAAAATAACTGAAAAAATCCATAAGTAATTGAGTAACATCTTAATTAAAAAACTTTAATGATCTAATAATATTTTAAATGAATTATTACCTTAATTAAGTTTAAATATTATTCTTCTAAATTTCTATTTAAAACTTAATGAAGAATATAATTAATTTGTTTTTTCAATGCTTCTTACTGATAATAAAATCGATAATAGAGACCTAGATAAATTATACAGAATTCTTATACCATAAAGAAACAAATATAAAGGGTATTAAATTAATAAATTCCTTTGGACATATGTTACATTACAAGTTTGATTAATTTTTAAAATAATAACCAAATCCTCTAATATTATATATATCACATTCTTCACATAATCCTCCAATATGACCTTATAAACATAAATTATCACCTACTTGCCAACCTCCATTACAAAAGATTATATTTTTAAAACATAATTCAGTTGCATCAGATAAATAAGTTGGTCTCCAATATCCAAGATTTAAATTAATTTAATTAGATGTGATATTTTTAAATTTATTATTATCAAAGATTGAACATTTAGTTGCATTATAAGTAACAGAATAATATCCATAAATAGATTAACATTATTAACACCCTTTATCAACATAATACTCTCCTAATTAACATAAATAACTTTTTGCATAAATTATATATCTTAATCTTTTATTACTATTTTATTATAAAATACAATCTATTTATATTTTTAGTTATATTTTTTAATCTGAATAAGGATCTAATTGAAAAATTTGAGTTCCTAAATCAAACCCATTTTTATGATTATTAAAAGACAATTTTGATAAAAATTATTATTCTTTTATTATTAACCCATCTTTGGATAAAATTGTTTAGCTTAATTCACAAATTGAATCACTAAAATTTGTTAATAATTCATTCATCTAATTCCTAAGAGAAATAGAAATTTCATTAATTTATTCATAGCAATCTAATTTTGATGGATTGTACAAACAATAATTTCCAATTTTTTAATTGCTTGGTATTAATAAATGTTTAGTTTTCAATTTTTTACCTTATTATATTGTTATGTATTCATTAAGTAAAAGATTATTCGTAATCAATTCTATTTCTTTATTTTAATAAAAGTTCATTTCTTTATTGTTAAGTGACAATCCTAAATGATTTGGTACTTCAACTAAATTATTGCTATATTCGTAAGCTTTATTTAATTATAAAATAGAGTTAATAAAATTATTTTCATTTAAATTATTATCTCCATAAAAATAAATTCCACCTGCAACCTAGGCTGAATTTTCCATGATTGTAGTTTAAATCAATTTTAATTAATTTTTATTTGATTCAAAATAAATTGCTCCTCCAAATGAGGAAGCATAATTGTTGAGAAAAATACATTTTGATATTATCAAATTAATATTATATGAAATANAAACTTTAATGATCTAATAATATTTTAAATGAATTATTACCTTAATTAAGTTTAAATATTATTCTTCTAAATTTCTATTTAAAACTTAATGAAGAATATAATTAATTTGTTTTTTCAATGCTTCTTACTGATAATAAAATCGATAATAGAGACCTAGATAAATTATACAGAATTCTTATACCATAAAGAAACAAATATAAAGGGTATTAAATTAATAAATTCCTTTGGACATATGTTACATTACAAGTTTGATTAATTTTTAAAATAATAACCAAATCCTCTAATATTATATATATCACATTCTTCACATAATCCTCCAATATGACCTTATAAACATAAATTATCACCTACTTGCCAACCTCCATTACAAAAGATTATATTTTTAAAACATAATTCAGTTGCATCAGATAAATAAGTTGGTCTCCAATATCCAAGATTTAAATTAATTTAATTAGATGTGATATTTTTAAATTTATTATTATCAAAGATTGAACATTTAGTTGCATTATAAGTAACAGAATAATATCCATAAATAGATTAACATTATTAACACCCTTTATCAACATAATACTCTCCTAATTAACATAAATAACTTTTTGCATAAATTATATATCTTAATCTTTTATTACTATTTTATTATAAAATACAATCTATTTATATTTTTAGTTATATTTTTTAATCTGAATAAGGATCTAATTGAAAAATTTGAGTTCCTAAATCAAACCCATTTTTATGATTATTAAAAGACAATTTTGATAAAAATTATTATTCTTTTATTATTAACCCATCTTTGGATAAAATTGTTTAGCTTAATTCACAAATTGAATCACTAAAATTTGTTAATAATTCATTCATCTAATTCCTAAGAGAAATAGAAATTTCATTAATTTATTCATAGCAATCTAATTTTGATGGATTGTACAAACAATAATTTCCAATTTTTTAATTGCTTGGTATTAATAAATGTTTAGTTTTCAATTTTTTACCTTATTATATTGTTATGTATTCATTAAGTAAAAGATTATTCGTAATCAATTCTATTTCTTTATTTTAATAAAAGTTCATTTCTTTATTGTTAAGTGACAATCCTAAATGATTTGGTACTTCAACTAAATTATTGCTATATTCGTAAGCTTTATTTAATTATAAAATAGAGTTAATAAAATTATTTTCATTTAAATTATTATCTCCATAAAAATAAATTCCACCTGCAACCTAGGCTGAATTTTCCATGATTGTAGTTTAAATCAATTTTAATTAATTTTTATTTGATTCAAAATAAATTGCTCCTCCAAATGAGGAAGCATAATTGTTGAGAAAAATACATTTTGATATTATCAAATTAATATTATATGAAATAATTCCTGATCCTTGACTACCAAAATTATTAATAAATTAAGAATTCTTGATAATTGCTAAATTTGATTAAGTAGAATTTGAACTGAAAGTCATACAACCTTTATTTTTAATTTTATTTGAATAACATAGTAGGTTAGTTATTTTTATTTATTTAAAATTTCTGATATTAAAATTTATTATTCCATGTTCACAATTTAAACAATCATTATTTGATATTGTAATAGTTTATAATTCAAATTTTGAATAATTTGTAAAACTTAAGAAACTAATTAAAGAATCTACAGGTATATCGTTTTCAATTATTTATTCGATTATTGTTTTTAAATTAAAAATCTAATGTTAAATCTCTACTGAAAATATTGGATTACAATATAAATTGCTATTTTTAATGAACAATGATGTTTTTTTTAATTCTATATCTTTTATATTTTAAGAAAAAGAAATAGATTGAATATTGATTTATGATAATGCTACCGTTATATATTCTGAAATAACTTATCCAATATATATTAAATCAAAAGGGAAAAGAATAGAGACATTGTAAAAATTACATTATTAGAATCGAACATTATAGCAATCTAAGATTTTTAAAACTGAAGAAATTATTGATCCTTCAATTTAAAATTTGAAAATTGTAATATGGCAATTAACTAAATAAATTATTGCATTGTCACTTGATAGTTTACTCACCTCTTAATAACTCAATGGCCCAATATTTGAAAAGAAGTCTATCCATGCAGTAATACTCTAAATTATCGTTATATTATGTAGAGAAACAAAGTTTTACTCTTTTTTCAACCTATCAAATTCAAGTTTAATTATCTAATTCAAAAATGATAAGCAATTATAGAAAAGTATGTTTTTTAATTAAATCTTATTATATTTAATAGAAGGGAAAATAGTAAAAATTGATGAACTAAATTTATTGAACACATTAATAAAACTAGCATTTAATAATTAATATTATAAAAGACTACTTTAAGCTAATATAGTTATACAGCCATGAATTGCTAAATCTTATATTAAATCCGCTTCAATATTAGATAAAACGATATTTTGTATGGATACAATGCCTTAATCTTTTGTTGTTATTTCAAATAAGGCACAATCTTAAGATAATATATTATCAAATTTGCCATTATTTAATATAAACATAGAAGTTGTTAATTTAAGCACTCCAACTTTAGTTAATAATGTTAGAAATTAGTGACTAGCTAATTTTATAAATTCTTCTTTTATTTATAACTAAAATTAAATGTTATAATATTTTTCTAGTAGATAATTAGATAAAATATTAAGATTTGAGACAATAAAGTTATCTATTAATGTAACATTTGAATTAACAAATTAAAAAGAGTTTGAAGTGTTGATTAAAATGTTCTAAAAACAATAAAAATTTAAAATTTCCACTTTACTCAAATATGAATCAATAACAGTTAAACCACTTGATGATTATGACAAATCATTAGTGTATTAGTGAAATATGTTTTCAGTAAAATTGATATCATGTATAGTAATATTTTGTTTATGTTTTGAAGATACTGTTAAAAATGTATAAATATTTCCAGCATTACTTTTAAGCAATACATTTTATGTGAATGTTAAATTATAGAAATAGAGCTATTCTTAAAAATCTTAAAAATTTTAAGTTTCTGATGTTATATAAATTAAAGTTTGATCAACTAAAAAGTAGTTTTGAACAAAAATATTCATTAAATTCAATAATTAAAATCCTTAAATTTTTAAAAACATTTTATTAAGTTATTAAGAATTCATACACTCTATATTTAATGGTATTTTATTAATCTGAATCGAATTAATTAGTTAAATGTCATCAAAAAATATATTATTGATGTAATATAAATTAAAAAGTTGCAAATTAAAACAATCAATAATTTAAAAATCGAATATTCTAAGACTTTGGCTATGAATATTAAATAAAAAACTCTCTAACTTTGAATAATTAATATTAATATTTTTTATCAAATAAGTATTATTTAAATAAATTGAAAAAGAGTTACTTTAGATATAAGAAGATATATCTGCTATTGATGAATTTTTAAATTAATTATTAATGAATTAATTGCTGAGAAATTTAATTTCTAATTCATTTTCTTATGTAATTTATTAAGCTTTAAATAAAAATGAATTAGACAATATATTAAATTTGAAATATAATTCAATCATTTTAAATTAGGAGTTGGAAAGAATTATATTAGAAAAAGTAAAATTACTGTAAATAATTGATATTTCTTTCATATAAAGCATTTGTGTTTAATAATTATTAATTAGATTCGACTATGTAAATATACATTCTTGAACATTAAGTTAAAGAATCTAAAGGTTAAAATTGATTTAATATTCAATTAAAAAATTAAAAGCAGAGGACCATAAAAATGTACATTAAATAAAAGTAATATCTTTTATTTGAATCTCACTTAAGTTTCCAAAAAAATGAAATATTGATGAATTTATAAATGTACAATTTATGAAATGTATATTAGATATTTCTATCTTGCCTCCTAATTAACTAAAAGAAACATCCCAAATAATAGAATCATTTATCTAAAGATTATTAAAGTTCAGATTTATTAATCTCAAATTATTAAAATCTTTTGCAAATGTAAGAAATGATAATATTTATTAATTATCTTAAAATCCTAAAAATTAAGTGTCTTCAATATTTAAATTTATTGATTCATCATTTTCAAATTTAAAGTAGAAATTTTTATTAATTGAAAATATCATATTTTGAATTTCAATTACATCAAAACCATTTATTATTAAAGAAAAATTAAATATATTATTTGATATATCTGCTTTTCTGATATTAAATCTAACTTATGTTAATGAAAATATTTTCTGTTTTAATTTGCTCTCTATTTTAATCATTTCATAATCTTGTATATTTTATTAATCATCTAGAGGCAATAAATATAGAAATATGATTCTCATTATTCTTATTCCTATTTGGTTTAAATAATTAGTGTTTATATCATTTTCATAAAAGAATTCTGGTAATACTGTTGTTAAGTGTTATTAAACAGTCTTATAATTAATTTCAAACTAAAAATATTGAATATCATACTTCATACTGAAAGAATTCTGTACAATTTTAAGAAAAACAATATTAGGGAGTCAATTAAGGTTGTCTAATGATGATATTTGGATCAGGTGCTGGATATAAACATTTATAAGTATATAATAGGTTAGAATCAGTGATAATAAAATGCTTATTCAATTGCTATAGAAATTAAGAAATATATTACATTTATCTCTGATATATCTCTAGGTTGACAAATTGCACATAGAGGTGAACATTTCAAACACTGATTTTCATATTTAGATCTTAAAGGTAAGCGATAATAATCTAAAGAGCATTTTTTGCATTGAAATTTAAAATTTATATCATTAGTTTCTTCGCAATCTAAACAGTCTGATTGACAGTAACTCTCACAAGTATTATGTTAAGTAATTTGATATCCATCCATACAAACTATAGGAAGAGGTGTTATTAAATAGGAAAATGGCATTGGATAGTAATATGAATTTGGCAAAAAACTCATAAGAAAACTTTATATTAATTAGATCCAACCATTCATTTATAATCGATCTCCTTCAATACTTATTTTTGAATTATTATATGGAGTTGTGTAGCATGAACCAGTTGTTACTGAACTTGTATAACCTTATGCACAAATTACACATTTAATTTATAGTGATGATATTAATACACATTACAAACAATTAATTATTAATTTTTCACAGTTAATAATTTATGATGCAACCCTAAAATCATCAATAGAAGATAGTGTGCAAATCTCTGTCCCATCTAAATTGATAAAAGATCTCAAGCAAAATTGTAAATTTGGTTTTTAATGAAGACATAATCCAACAGTAAAATCAAATATAAAATTATCTTCGCATAGTGAACATCCTACAGAATGAAACTCATCCTCTTAAAAAATTTCAAAATTATCATACAATGTACATTTTTTTAAATCATTCTTCTAGAACTCAAAACAATATCTACAATTCTTAATTTGACATAGTTTGCATCCTTTATTAGATGTTATATAATAAGGAGCTAAGCACTTATTTTTAACGAAAAAAGATAATTATTATTCATAATTACTTTCAACTACTTTTAATTAACATTATCCATTCTTTGCTGTAAAATTATCTAAGCAAAGTATACAGGCTAATCCTGTTTCAGTAACAGCACATTCTAGACAAGCATCTAAATTGCAACTATAACACTCAAAAACTACAAGCAAACCATAAAAAATTTAATTTCTCTAACAAAATCTTTACTACCTATTTATATTTGTAATGTAATTGTTATAAAGAGCTTATTCGTTTTATAATTATGAAAATGAGCAATATTCACACAATTAAAGTTAATCATCAATTATTATATAATATTAAATTGTTTGATCTTTAATAGTATTATAGGTATTATTATGAATAATATATATTAATGTTTAACAATAAGGATTATATTACCAATAAAGAGGATTTTCTATACATTCTAAACATGTTATAAGATTAGATTAAATAATTGAAGGACTATAAATATATAAATAATATATAATTACCATTTAATACAAGTTTATGAATTAAAATAGAAATATCCATATTAACATTATAATTAATTAGTTTAATATTAAATTAATTAAAATTAAAAATGTTAATATGAATAACAAAAATCTTAATCAATAGTATTATATTAACAAATACATGCTTTTTATAATGGTATATATATTCTATTTGAATTATTTTAACATGATAAACAATCAGAATTAGTAGGTCCATCACATAATTAACAACTTGAATGACAATTTTTATTTATTTATGAAATATCACAATTATAAAAATTGAAATTTTGTATTTAAATATTTAAATAATTATTAGATTCTTAATTTATATTACCATAATGAATTTAAAATTATATTTCATTAAAATGATAAACATTTATTTATTCTTAATATTAATATTTATTTAATTCTTAATAAAATGTTATTATTATTTATAATACATTTTATTATAATGTAACTTATAAATAATGCCATAAATAAATATTATTATTAATTTCTATTTATTTAATTATTAAAAATGGATTATTATTAAAATCTATATTTACAATAGGAAATCTATAACTATAACTCATTATTAATATTTCATATTATTATTATGATATTCTATATATCAATTAAAATGCTGATAAATTATCATCATTTAATTTTTAATTTTAACTAAATTTATTCATTTTCATAAATTTATAATCAAAATTATCATTTAATTTATTTATTTCTTTTATTCTTAACCATCCTGATAATCCAAATTAATCACAATTTCCATTTTCTGATGTAAAATATTTTTAATCAAGCCAATTCAGAATCTAATTTTCAATTTAAACATTAATATTAGATTAACAATTACAAATATAAAGATCTCCAAAAGTGTCTATAGCGATTTTTAATCCATTTCTATCAAAAGTACCAATTTATAAAGTTAAAAAATCATAATACAATTTTCCTGGAAAGAATGATAATTTTTTTCTACCTTAAATATTCTAAAAGAATTCATCATCATTAAGAAGCAATCCACCTCCAAAAGTTAATTGCTGATTGAAACTCCTGTAAGGACAATGAATATATAAAATTTTTTTAAAAATTACCTCAGGGTAGTGTATAAACATTAATTCAAATCTTTTTTATATTGGCCATTAAACAATCTAAATAAAATACCAATGACTTTCATATTCCCATTAATCTAAGGTAATATCATAGCTATGAAATATTCCATCGTAATCAAAAAATTGAATTACTTTTGTTATTTTCATTTAATCAACATCAAGACAATCAAAGTATATTAAATCAACTTTCAGAGTTAAGGAATCTGCTGCATTATGTAAATGATAACAATTACTACCAAATACACCCATTTATCCAATTTAACTTATTTATCCTAAAGGTAAATATTTATTCCATAACCCATATGTAAAAAATTTATTAGTGACTAAGTCTTCTAATTAAAGGTTTAACTATTAGGTATATGTTTAATAATCTTAACTTAAATCCACTATATATTAGCAAGAAAAACCAAAAATTAATATCAATAAAGGTATTAAAAGAGTCATTATTTAATGCTTAATTTTATTAATGAATTAACTCATTTCTTAATAGAGAATCAAAATGAAAAATAAATTTGAAATCTTTTTTTTGAACTTTAATTCAAGATTAAACCTGTATTATTAAGAATGAAAAATATATTGTCATATTTATTATATTTAAACAGTATTTTCTGAATATCGATAATTTATTTTCAGAATTTTCCTTCAAATTTACTGTCAATAAATTACTAATATAATTGTATTTATTTTTATAAATCAAGAGCTTATTGTAAGTAAAGAACATTAATAAAAACAATTAGATAAATAAATTAATAGAATGTATGAAAAGTTTCAATATAATTATCTTAATTTTTTTTTATAATTCATATTAATATAATATTTTATAAATAATTTTATAAAACTCTGTGATATTAAAGAGAATTAAGACTATAAATATCGTTGTCGGCCATACTAAGCCTAAAGCACCGGATCCCATTCGAACTCCGAAGTTAAGCGGCTTAAGGCGAGGTTAGTACTAAGGTGNATTTATTTATTTCTTTTATTCTTAACCATCCTGATAATCCAAATTAATCACAATTTCCATTTTCTGATGTAAAATATTTTTAATCAAGCCAATTCAGAATCTAATTTTCAATTTAAACATTAATATTAGATTAACAATTACAATTTTTGATATCTTCTAGAGCATCTAATGTTAATTGTTTTGAATCATAATCCTAAAAAGAACGAGAAATTTCATTCAAAGGACTTAGGTAAAATTAACCAGGATAATAAGCAAAAATTTAATTTTAATTAACATTTTAAAGAAATTGCAATGTTTCTAGATATAAACCTCCTCCAAATGTTAAGATTACATTATTAGTATTATAAGGATATCTAATTTATAATACAATTTGAGTAGATATTTCTGGTTATTAAAAAAAAAGTAACTCAAAATATGAATATTAAGGCCATGCTACAATTTAAAAATAAAACCACACATTTTCATAGTTAATTTTATCTATAGAAATGTCGAAATTGTGATATTAACCATCATCACTTATAAATTAAACTTACTTTTTAATTGTTTACAAATTATAGTCAAGGCAGTCAGAGTATAAAAAAATTACTTCATTTGTTAATGAGTTTGTTGCACTATGTAAATGGTAGCAATTGCTATCAAATATCCCAAATTTTCCAATTTAACTTATCTAACTTAAGGGTAGGTATTTACTCCAAAGACCATAGCTAAAAGAAAAATCATCAATATATTTTTCTAAATCTAATTAAAATTTAACATTTTCTATTTAATTATCCTTATTCATCTCATATAAATAATAATCGCAATTAATAGAATGGAACAAAATCATAAATAAAAAGTTTCCCCTCATATTTAAATTAATTTATATTAAATTATTAAATTACATCTTATCAAAGTTCTAAATTTTATATTATTTCATATTATTAATAATAATAAAATTCTTTACCAAGTACCAACATTATCTCTAATTATATTAATTTTTTTTAAATAATAATTTGTAAACAAATTAATGAAAAATTGTAATTATAAGAATTCTTTCTGATTCATAATTCAATTATAATATTATTAAGGTTAATAGTATAATTTTGGTAAATCTAACCCTTTTAAGAATCTATCAATAGTTCATCTTCTTAATTGTATCTAATAGCTCGACATGGAAATTATATTTTGTCCTTATTAATTTAATTTATTACTTATTGGTTTTTTGGCTGATAAGCTATTAAACTGTTGTTGATATCAGAAAAAGTCTAAATACTTTGATTTACAAAATCAATTAATAATCCATTAACCTTTACATTTAATAATAGAACAATATTTGTCAATATTGAAAGTTTATTATGATTTATGGAATAAACATTTCTCAAATTGTTCTGTCTAATTTGCTAATTGTAATTAATATAAATTCATTAAACTCATTTTATCAATTTTTGTTTAATAAGATATTTTAAATAGCTTCTTTAGTTAATCACAATAGACTACTTTATTTAATTTTTTATGCTCTCTACATGTTAAAAAAAGTGAACCTTTTAATAATTTTTCATTTACAAATATTAAAATAATAGAATATCTAATAAAGTAAGTATATTATTATTTTTATCTCTCTTTTAAAATCAAGTTAATAATAGAAATTATATATGTCAAGTAGAGTATTTTTTAATATCTTAATTCATAAATTCCTTTATTATGATAGTTCAATTAAGTGAACTAAAATTTTTATGGTAAAAAAGTTGATAAATTTATAAAATTTGAATCCATAAATAAAATGTATAAAATTAAATAATTTAAATAATGTTTTTTTAGTAATACAAATATTTAGGAATGCATTAATTAATTTACATAATTCTTAATAATAATTCTAAATTTCTTTAAAATTAAATTTAATCTAAATACTAATTTATTCAAGAATAATTTCTATAATCTATAATATGGTTGGAATTTAATAAATATGTAGCATATATATTTATATAAATGTTATATGATTGAAATTGATTATATATATAAGACAGAGAATAATTATTAGTAATTAATTAAAAATTAAAATCAAATCAATGAATAGAGTATTTGTGTATAGCATTTAGCATTTGCAACTAGAAGTATTAATTCTACATCACAGTTTGCTTATCTATAATTTAGAATGTCACTTATGTTTTATTGTTAGATTACATGAATATCATCGATTTTTTTATAACCTAATTAATGTTAGGTATATTAATAGATTTTAATACGATCTTGAATAGTGAATAGAGGAAGGTCTTTAAGAATTTTCATTCTTTTATTGAGTTTATGCGCCAATTTAGGAAAATAATCTCTAATTTAAGAAAATCCATTGATATTCCAAGAGAAATCTTCTGTCTATTCCTCGAAGTGAGGTTCAAGAGGTGAATGTTGTAAGGGCATATACTGTTCCCCTAATTGAATAGCAATAGTTTGCTCACATTACATTAGACTAAAGAGTGTATAAATAAGTATGAGTTATTATCTATTGAAATAATGAGTAAGATCATCTGGTTTTTACATTTGTTCCAATTTTTAAAGAGATAACTACAATTTCTTGTATTTCTCAGAGGTATCATCATAATCTTTCCATAATCTATTTAAAGTAATGCACTACTTAGTAGCACAAGAACAAACAAAATTTAATGTATTGTAATCTATATACATTTGATTGATGGATTTTTTGAATATAGAAACAGATGCTTTATAATACTTAGCATAAGTAACTAATTTGCATTAGTAGTCTAGGAAGCTTCGATTAAACAACCTATATGAATCAGATATCAATTTTTAAAGGGCTTTGATTGAAACTGGTTATTTGAAATCAATTAATGTATTGTTGGAGTGAAGAGGGTATAGAACTTTGTATAATTTATGAGTTTTGTCTTAATCAATTTGGAATATCTCTTATAGATCCAAATATGGAGCTTCTTCTGAGATTTTCTACATTGTCTATAATACGTAATCCTTGAGCTAAGGATATGAAACTATGAAATTTTAAAATTCCTATTTCAAATCCAAACTAAATTAGAGACGATCATCATAATCCTCTGGCCATATNAAAATGTATAAAATTAAATAATTTAAATAATGTTTTTTTAGTAATACAAATATTTAGGAATGCATTAATTAATTTACATAATTCTTAATAATAATTCTAAATTTCTTTAAAATTAAATTTAATCTAAATACTAATTTATTCAAGAATAATTTCTATAATCTATAATATGGTTGGAATTTAATAAATATGTAGCATATATATTTATATAAATGTTATATGATTGAAATTGATTATATATATAAGACAGAGAATAATTATTAGTAATTAATTAAAAATTAAAATCAAATCAATGAATAGAGTATTTGTGTATAGCATTTAGCATTTGCAACTAGAAGTATTAATTCTACATCACAGTTTGCTTATCTATAATTTAGAATGTCACTTATGTTTTATTGTTAGATTACATGAATATCATCGATTTTTTTATAACCTAATTAATGTTAGGTATATTAATAGATTTTAATACGATCTTGAATAGTGAATAGAGGAAGGTCTTTAAGAATTTTCATTCTTTTATTGAGTTTATGCGCCAATTTAGGAAAATAATCTCTAATTTAAGAAAATCCATTGATATTCCAAGAGAAATCTTCTGTCTATTCCTCGAAGTGAGGTTCAAGAGGTGAATGTTGTAAGGGCATATACTGTTCCCCTAATTGAATAGCAATAGTTTGCTCACATTACATTAGACTAAAGAGTGTATAAATAAGTATGAGTTATTATCTATTGAAATAATGAGTAAGATCATCTGGTTTTTACATTTGTTCCAATTTTTAAAGAGATAACTACAATTTCTTGTATTTCTCAGAGGTATCATCATAATCTTTCCATAATCTATTTAAAGTAATGCACTACTTAGTAGCACAAGAACAAACAAAATTTAATGTATTGTAATCTATATACATTTGATTGATGGATTTTTTGAATATAGAAACAGATGCTTTATAATACTTAGCATAAGTAACTAATTTGCATTAGTAGTCTAGGAAGCTTCGATTAAACAACCTATATGAATCAGATATCAATTTTTAAAGGGCTTTGATTGAAACTGGTTATTTGAAATCAATTAATGTATTGTTGGAGTGAAGAGGGTATAGAACTTTGTATAATTTATGAGTTTTGTCTTAATCAATTTGGAATATCTCTTATAGATCCAAATATGGAGCTTCTTCTGAGATTTTCTACATTGTCTATAATACGTAATCCTTGAGCTAAGGATATGAAACTATGAAATTTTAAAATTCCTATTTCAAATCCAAACTAAATTAGAGACGATCATCATAATCCTCTGGCCATATGTATGGTACCATATCTTAAATAGTTTATTCATTAATCATAAAAAATAGATTATAATAAATTATTAAAAATAAAATAGTTATATTGGATATTTTTGAAATGAAAGGTTAAATGAATATTGTAAAGGTTTAAGCATATTAATATTATACTTTATAATAAAAATAAAAAATTGAATTATTATATTCAAAAATAATAGAAAGTATATGAATGTAAATTTCAATTATAAATATCATTTCTTTAGTAATTCACAGATTCCATATCAAAATGACACCATCCTCATTTGTAGCTAAGAATTATAAGGGATAACACTTAATATTTATACATGGAGATGAATGAAAATGATTTTCAAGAGTATATATACATTTTCCACTTTTGATATCCCAAATTTTAATTGTGTTATCCCAACTTGCAGTAGCAAGTAATTCTGTATTATATAATAGGCCTAGTGTCCATATAGGTTATTCATGAGATGAAAATTGTTTAATCAACTTATAATCATTCTCTGTGTTCCATAATTTAATAATTTTATCATAACCAGTAGATATAAGTAATTTACCATCAAAAGAATATTCAACACAATATCCTCCATATTCAGCATCATGAGCCATCCATTATTTTAATATTTTGCCTTTAAACCATACAATTATAGTCTTATCCTTACCTGTTGATGCAATATGTTTATTATTTATAGTTAAACCATAAACACTATCCCAATGTCCTATATATTCTTTATAATTTTTAATTCCATTTTTTTTAAACTTCCAGACTCTTAGTTTATAATCGTCACTGGCAGTATATAAATATTTTGAGATGAATTATAATCTATTGATTTAGTTTAGATGTTAAGCTTTTAAGATAATAGGACTTTGTTCAAGATCATTACAATTCCAAACATAGACTTCATATGGACAAGAACCAGCTGCAGCTAATCTAAGTCCATCTGAAGAGAATTTAACAGCAAAGATTTCTAGGAATTTAGTTTTAAATGTTTTAACAATAATTTCTGAGATTGGATCTATTAAGAGTAAGGTATCAGGATGGCCTCCAACAGCAATTAAAGTACCATCTTATTTAATATCAAGAGAATATATATGAACAAGTCCTGGACATTTGATTTTTTTAGGATGACTGTTAAATATTTAAAGTGCTTCAGTGGAATTAGTATTAAATGTAATTTAATCAAACAGTACTTTTTGTACTAGATCAAACCTTTTAATTTAAACTAATGATTCATCTGAAAGTGTGATATAATCTTTAAATGTAAAAACAGTAATATCTGATGTTAAAAAATAAGATTTCAACAACAGCTATTTAACTCCTTTGTTCAAAATTTACATCTAAGTTGTTGATATGATATTCTAATGTTATAATAATTGTTCAGCAAATTCATTTAAATCATTTGGAGGTTTTAGATGATATTAATGTAATTTCTCCATTTCTTAATCAATAAGAATTTTGAATTGCATTTGTAATTTTTTAACATGAGATTTAATTGTCTTTATACTGTGTTAGAGTATTTCATTAAGTTTAATAATATGCATCTTAAATTATGCTAAATGTTCTTAGTGTTGCTGATACGCCAATCGTTCAGCTTCAATCAAATCAATTACGCGATGTCCTTAATGCAACTTATTATAACAATCTGTACACATTGCTCTGAATTATAGAGTGCATTGGCTGTCCACACATAAATACTTTATGTACATATCAAATTCTTGATGCTCTAACAGGTAGCACATTTTGCTCCTGCCTAATTATTTTAATTGCATTAATTAAAATGAATCTCTTTAAAGAATTCTTTACACAAATCGCACGTATTAAATCTAAGAATTCTATTTCTACTATTGATACACTTATTGCAATGTATTCTAAATGTTTTGAATATTATGACTAATAATAAGATCCAATCAAATACTATTTTTTGGAAAAAATTCAATATACTTTATCTTAAGATCATACTATTGAACATATAACTAGAAACTCTAATCGAACATAAACAACTAGAGTTTCTATTTCAAAATTAGATCCAGAATTACTAAATACTTCAATTAGATCTAAACAAACAAACAATCCATAAAATTAATTTTCAATCTCAACTCAATCAAGACACACATAATTAACAATTAAATACATTACTTGAATCACATCATACTAATACTATTCAACAAAAAGATGCAATCATTAGAGAAAATATACATTAATAAAATTTATAATTTAGAGAACGATTAAAGTAGAGACAATCACAAAGTATTACTAGATCAATTAGTTAGTGTCCCTCTTATGATACAATAATTTATTAAAAATGATTATTTATTATTGATGATAATTTTTCATCATTTAACTTCATTTTATCTTTTTTCTACTAATCTTTCAACTTCAGATAAGAGAACTAATTCTTATCTTCTAGCAGCTGAAGCATTTTCATATTCACTATTGAAGGTAGTGCAAAGTGCAGTAGCATCATCCAATAATCTTTAGTTTCTTTATTTCTTGTTACTAGCAGCTTATGAGATGGCAGTTTAAGTAGCAACACATCCATTCAAATCGGTAATTTAATCTTCAAGTCTAGTCTTTGATTTTTCTAATCTAGCAATATTCTTATCAATTCTTTCCTTTTAATTGTTATATAAAACAATAGCTTAATTGTTTTCAGCTGTGAATTAATTATAAGAATCTTCAATGTTGTTTCTAAATAAATTTAATTAATTAAATACCTTAAAGTTTATAACAATTAGATCAATCTGTCAACATCAGCTGAACTAACTTATTCAGCCAAAGAAATTCTAGCTAATGAAGCCAAAACTGCAGCATATTATCCTGTTCTCTTCAAACTTACAGAGTGTTACATCATTTGACCTGTAGCATCAGCTAATTCAATTAAACTGGCATCTCCAACACTGAATTTCTTAGCCAAATAGACTGATTCATCAATGACTCTCAATGCATCTTAGAAGATAACAGCCATTTTATTAAAGTTTTCTTATTCTGTTTTTCTGACTTCTTATATTAATGACAAGTGTTATTAATTCATGGTAAGTTAGTCTTCTGTCATACCAAATTCAGCCTTAGCCTTTTATCTTTAGAATGAACATAAGTTCAATTAGTTTGTTGAAGCACTCAAGATTTTGCTTGCATCTTGAATTTATCCTCTTCTGAAAGCTGTTTCTGAATCACATTCATTCTTTTATCTGGCATATAAGTCATCATGAGCAATTTATTCAGATGTGACTGAAGTTCTGAAGCCTTACAACATTGTGTTAATTGTATCGAATGGACCTCCTGAAGAAAGTTGGGCTTCAATTTACATCATAATTTCCATGATGTTTCTGTTAGGGATATGATGTTTGCTGAACATATCACTCTAGAAACCCTAGACAGATACTAAAACAACCAAGAGCACAGTCAATGTTGATTTCATTATTTAATTATTTATTTTCTCAAAAAACGAATTCATGTTTTATATTCAATAATTTGTATTAATATTAAGTTATAAATTATTCTTTTATGATTTGTAATTACAAGTTTATTTAATTATATATTCATATATATCTCATAAATATCAAACTAATTCCATGAAATATTATTAAAATTAGGAAAGAATTTTTAAAAATTCATTCTTAAAAACAAGTAAAAATACTTACCTTTTACTGTAAGATTAGTTAATTCTTATAATTATCATATTTAATTAAGCATTTAGTTTTGATATAAATTAGCCCTTCTTAAATTCTGGTTATTTACTCATTCCTCTTAAATGAATTAAGGCAGATAAATAAAAATATATTTTTCCAATAATTAAGATATTATTAAATAAATGCTTAAATATCAAAAGCCATAAGCTTGCTCTAAATAATTAATCACCTAAATAATTGAACGATGTGATATTTTTGGTATGCTACCATAATTTAGGATTTTAAAGAGATAAAAGTTCTCGACTCCATTAGGTTAAATTCTTACATTAATAATGTGCTGTGCTTATTTATATTACATTATTTATGAAATATTGAATTTAGCAAATAGATAAAGTCCAAGAGTTGTATTTTCTGAATTCCAACCTTCAAATACGTCAGTATGAATTATTAATAAATAAAAGCCATTGTATTTAACCAAGAATAACTTTACTTTTGCATTAACAATAACAAATCCATAATTAAGTTCATTGCAAACTTTAAACAAATACTTTACATTAAATGTTCAAAATTGTGTAAGAAATAGATTTCTGAATGAGGATGGTATTGCTTAAATTGATTACAAGTAAAAAATTTAATTCATTTATTTATTAGCTGTTCTACTATTCCTCTTGAACCTTGTCAAATGGATTAACATTTTTAAGAACAATATTAAAAAGATTATTTTCATAAATTTAAACTTGAATATATGTATTGTCCTTAGATTAAATAGTGGGACTAATTGGCTATAGTATATTAATGATAATACATTTAAAGGAACTCTAAGGATTTAGTCAAGAAGATCGATTTCAATTTTTAACAGTAACCTTAAATATCTGCAAAAATTCTACTGATTATTAAGGTTGTGCACCTCTAGAAGAAATAAATAGTAAAATGTAAGCAGGATTTTATGTATGAATTATAATTTAAACTTTTTAGGTATTGTACTTAAGTGATGCATTGATTCAGATGCATTCACCTTCTAAACCTTATCAAGATGCAATTTCTGTTTAATATACTCAATTTTCATTAACTAATTCAAAATCAATACATTCAACAATCAAAGTTACTGAAACTAAAACAGATTATGGTATTATTAAGACCAATTATGTAATGGATACTGCATTATCATAATCTACTATTAAAGAAGATAGTTCATAATATAATCAATAGTATTTGGTTCAAAATTCTATCTTTCTAGAATAAAGAAGAAATCTATATGAAAGAAATTATCAAAAACTTTATACAGTATTGGGATAAGTTGGAGGTTTATGGTAGATTACTATTCTTTTCTTAAATTGTATATTCTATCCTATATTGTTCTCTTCAATGAATTTAGCTATGGCCAATAAGATTTTTAGATTTGAAAACTAGGAATCCCTTGATTTTGATTTATTATCAGTTGCCAAATCAGTTCCAATAGGAAGTCAACTTAATAAAAGTGAAGTTAGAGATATTCAAGATGAAATAATTAAATAAGATAATAATTAAGTAAGGAATCCATTTGCTGAATTTTCAAAAACTTAACGAGAAATTAAAAATTTTTTAAGAAAAAAAAAATCTTCATTAAATTTTACTTTATTTGATAATATTAAATTCTAATTTGGTTGTAAGAAAGATAAATAAAGATAATTAAAATATGCTATGAATAAAATAATAAATAAATTAGATATTTGTTAATTGATTACAAAATTCAATGAATTAGATAAATTGAAACATATTTTATTAAACAAAGATCAATTAGCTTTATTTAATTATATTCCAAAACCTATGATACCTTATGATATGTTTGATGAAGGTTTTGAAAAAAAAATAAAAAAATTAGAGTAAAAATAAGAATATAAATTTATTTTGGAAAATGAAAAACCAGATGTACTTAGATTAGATGATGCTTATGAGGCATACTCTAGACTAATTATTAAATAAGAACTAACTTCAATAGATGAAGCAATTCTATAATTTATGGATGATGATATTAAGAGATTATTTTCAAGAATACACTCTAATTAATTCGAAATGATATGTTAAAATTTTTAATCATCGCAATTACTTATGAGAAATAATACCGAAAGAGTTGAAATTTAAGATGAACCACATATTTAATTAGTATTTGGTAGTATTACAAACAAATAATATTGAAAATGAATATATTATGGCAATTCGTTTTAATATACTAATCATAATCAAAATTAAGTTCTTCTGTATTGTGAAGTGACTGTTTATGATGTCTATTGAATACCACTTAAACGAGGAGCTTCAGTAGCTCTTAGATTTGTTGGTGTTTAATTAGTTAAATATCTAATACATAAATCTTCAAGATCTTAGTATGTTATCTTACCATCTTGATTTCTATCTAAAACTCTATAAAAATATATCAATTATTATTAACTTGTAAAATGAATCAATATCTCCTCTAGCAGGTGAGAAAATACGATTGAATGATTTATAAACATCTACAATCATTGGAACAACCTCAACATTATCAATTTATCCATTTCTATCTCTATCATAAGTATCAAATAATCTTCTTGCAACAGCCTATATTCTAAATTAATAAATTAACCTTAGCTCCCTCAACATCTGTTAATCCTAAATTTAATGGTTTTTGGTCTTATCCACTTACCACTTAAGTCTTAACAACTGATTCATAAGTATTTGAATACTACATATTAATATTTTATTTAAAATTATTATTCATTTACATAAATAAGAATTATAAATTCAGACGTAACTCAATTATTATTATGGTTTCATTTATTTATTTAATTCTTATTTGTATGATACCAAAATATTTAAAATATATATATGTAAATTATAAAATTTTCGGTAAAATTTAAATAATCAAATTAATTATTGATACTTATTATGATTCTCTAAATGAAAATGAGAAGATGGAGATTTTAAAAATTCAAAAGAAAAATCTAAAAATATATTATAATATTTTTTTACATTAACTTGTAAAATTACTTTTATCTATAAGAGTTTAAGAACATTTCTCAAATTAAGTACTTTTAGGTAATTACTTTAAACCATAGATCATCATTGTTGTTGTATTTTTTTAATTTACAAATATATATACTTATTGATTCTTTTCAATTTATTTAAAAATTTCAAAAATAAAAATAATTAGAGTAGATTTTATTGTTGCAAAACGAATATCTTCACCACAATCAATTTTTATTCTTGTATATGGAGTTTCAAATATTTTAATACATTTAAGTAACAATTTTTTCATTTTTACCAATTATAATTTTTGATTAGATAATTATTTATAATATACTTCAAATAAAGATATTCTAAGATCTCTTAATAAAGGACTAAATGTTTCTTGTAAATAAAGACCCAAAACTTTATTAATTTGCATTAATTAAGCATTTAATATATTTTTAAAATGTTATAAAGATTAGTGTAATTTTATATTAGTTTAATTTAATAGTGGATCTTCAGAATCTATAATAATAGCATAAATCAATTATTCAAATCTACAACACAAAATAGAAGTTTGTAATTTCTTCATTTAATATTCAACAACCAATTAATGATTAAATAAACAAGATGATTGTTTCCTATTTGCATGAAGAAGTGTTTTTTTAATTAAATATTTTTCAAGTGTCTATTATTTTACTTTGGATTTAAATAAGAAAGTACTAAGAGGTTTTTCAGAATTAAAGAATTCTTTCTAAGCACTCATGATAGTTTGATACATATTAGTTTCTTTATTAAAAGTAAAAATGAAAAATGGTTTCTTTAATAATAAAGGAATCAAAATTTCTATAATTATTATTATATTTTAATACCCCAATTATTGTCTTTAAATTATAGATAAAATGATTGCCTATATTGTTTTTCTATTTAATATTAAATTACCATAAAACTCAATGACATAATTATTGAATAAAAATATTATTATACAGTAAGATTGTCTGAGTTTTCAACTACTAAAATTATTCTTACAATCGTTAATACAATATTACTAAAGATGCCTAATTCCAAATTACAAGCAAACATACAAATTGTATGTACTAACATCTAATTAGATCCAAGTAAATAGCCATCATAATAATCGTATTAAGGGTATATTGAAATTTCAAAGGCTAATGAAGCAAAATTAGTCATCATAAGTGCCATATTACAGTAATTCATTCTAATTGATTCATTTCTTCTCAAAACTATATATTAAAGTATTATATATATCATGACTGCTCCTTTAATCAATGCATTTTTGTAATCACTGTTTATCAAGTTAGCAATTGAATTTGCAAGTAATAAAATAGTACCACCAAATGTCAAATATGTTAATATTGGATACTATATTACCTTAACTTTATGGATTATATATTATTTTTCTAAAATAGGATCTTTAAATCGTGTGTTATATTTATTCATCTGAATAATTATAATAAACTAATTGATCTTTAAATATAAGATAATTTATAATTAAATGTTATTTTACTTCTTTTCAGATTCATTTATCAATAAATCGCTTATTCTAATTAACTTTAAAATATTGTTATATTTGTTTTAATATTGATTATATATATTATTAGATACTTCTTCAATAATTTAGAGATTTGCTAAAAAGCAACTTAAATTATAAAGAATAATATTAATAATTAAAGAAAGAAATTTTAATGATTAATAATGATAGAAATTATAATAATATTACTATGATTATTTTTGAATTATCAGCATATATATGAATGAAAGAATTAAGAGATATTTCAATATTTTTGAATTATAATTCAATAAGCATTTTATCTATATTTTAAGTAATAATTATACTCTAATAAAATTTATTGAAATTATTAATTGAATGGTAGAATATTTATAGAAGTTATTAATTTAGATATTTTTAAATGGAAAGTCATATTGATTAATAGGAATTTTTTTAAGAATCAGAATTGTATAATTGATTAATAAAATTATAGAAAATTTTGATTTAATTATAAGATTTAATTTACATTGTTATTCTATGATTCAGTTAATTAAATATAGAATTACATGAATATCACAAATTTTTTTTAACTTATTTAGACATAGGTTTAGCTGAACTTACTTTCTTCAATAAATTTTAATCATTTATACTAATTAATTAAAAATTTGTATTCTTCCAATCATAGTAAATATAATCATCGAACTTTGATAATTTATATATTATTTACATTATCTTCAACTAAATTCATGTTTAGTAGTTTTTATCTTTTATCTACTTTACAGGATTTTGAATATTGTGAAGTTTATTCTTTAAACTCTAATCTAAATTTCAGAATTTATTTATACATTAAAGCACTTCTTCTTATTAAGATGTTACTAATTTTTATGTTGAGTTCATTTTTACTGATTATACAACCTCTTTTAATAATTAAATATTCTAGAAATGTTATGTTTCTCCATTCTAATTTAAAATATCACTAGGTTGTAATGAATTATTTACTAAGCTGGTAGTGCAGGAGTAGTAGGTTCTTATCTTTCTTCCTATAAAATACTTGATTAATTGTTGCTTAAATCTAAGAATAATGATATCGAATTTATTATACTTATAGGATCATCAGGAAGTTTTTCTGTAATCTGTGTAATAATTTTTTTTTTTAAACTAGGATGTTTAAGATTTGAACGCTCTAATTTAGATGATTATTCTTTTGCAAAAGTAATATTATTAATTTAAACATCATTTGAATCTTAAATTACTTCTTGTCCATAATTTTCTAGCCTTTATTTACAAACTGTTGCTCCCATTTAATCTTAATTTTAATTATAATTTTTGATTATATACACAAAAAACCTCAATGATTACAAAAATGCCCATAAGAATAGCAAGAACTTTATTTTCTGTCAATTTTCCTGGATCTTAAATAAGTATTCCATAATCAACAATTGAAAAAAGTATAGTAAATATGTTTATATTAAGATTAGTTATTTTAAGTTATAGAGAATGAAATAATGTTTGAAGTAATTCCCATTAACAACAATCAATAAAATTTAGATTAAACTAATTTGAATGGTTTCAAGATCTAAGATTTTGAAGATCAATAAAGAATAGAATTAAGTAAGAATGTAGAAAATGTTTAAATTTTAATTTGTATCGATTTCTAAAACACAGTCTAATCAAAAGAATAAGAAAATATTGATAGTCAAATAATCCAAATTCAAAAGACTTCAGAAACCTCTTTAACTTCATTTAAAAGTATTCAATAAATACAAGCCCCCTTTAGTGTTTATTTGACTAAAGGGAATGGAATCATTTCATGTTATGAATGTCTAGCATATAATGGAAATGTATAGAATATAATGAATTTAGATTAAAATTGTAATGGTTTAAATTGTAGATGATGTTGAAGAACATAAACTAATTCCTAGAGAAAATAGAGGATTGGAAGATTACAATGGAAATAATCATCATATCGAGGATTCTGTACAATATTGATAATAAAAAAGATATAATATGAAATGTTGAATTACTTAAAGACTTTTGAAATAGATTCAGAACTTGCTTAATTTGTATAGAATATTCAAATATACAAAGAGCATGTTTTAAATGTGAATTATTTGTAAGACAAGCCAATACTTCATGATTGATGTAATTAGTATAATTCTATATAAATTATAATATAATACTTTTCAATATATGAATACATCCATTCAATTTTTTATATAGATAATATTACAACATTACTAAAAAATATATTAAATAATGATTCAATAATTATACTACTGTTTTAATTTATACAATACAATATAATTTATTTATTATCAATAATGTCCGTAGTGGAACTTCCAGATGTAATTACTTCAAATTATTAATAAGATTAGACTTTATTCACATAAATCTCGTACAAGATCTAAAAGAAGCAATCTCGATTAATATCGTAGTTTAGCTGTCAAGAAATCAGTTGACAAAATGATTAAATATAATAGTATGTCTTCTGTTTTGGGATAAGATAATGATTACTATCCTAAATAATTAGAAGATTAAAAAGTATTTAAATACATATATTTTAATAGAAAATTGATGAAGCTCAAGAAGTTCATGCCAATTTGACAGAATTAAAAAAAAGTTGCGATAATATGAAAATGTCTGGTAACAATAAAGACAAAGATATTGATAAAATGAGAAAGGATATTGATCAAATGAATTATTAAATTGAATAATATAATTTAAGATAAAAAGATTTAGAAAAATAAGAAAATGAATACTCATAAAAATTATAAGAATAATAAAAATTATTAAGCTAAAGCAATTATGATAAAAAGATTTTTGAACATATGTTAACAAGAATGAAAAAAGATTAAGTAACTTATTAATTAAGAGCTAATTAATATGAAAGACATCTTAAATAAGCATTATCAACATGTTAATCGACAAGTTTAAAGTAAAATAAAATATAATAATTTAAAGAGCCTAATAAATTTAAGTTTTACATTAAAAAACAATGTTGGCTTTGAAAGAAGTAGCAGATGGAATTAAACAATAAAATAAAAATAGAGAAAAGAATATTAATAGATTTAAAAATGAATTAAAATAAAAATAAGATGTAGAATAAAAAAGAGATGAAAGAATTAAAAGATAATAAGAAATAGCAGAAGTTGCTGCAAATGATATAAGAGATGGTGCATTAAAAAAATGGAGAAAACTATTATTAGTACATAAATTCTTAAATTCTTTTTTAAAAAGTAAAATGTAAATAGGAATAAATTAATATTAAAATTTAGAAGTAGCTTATTAAAAAATCAAAGCATCTACAGGTATTTCAGATGCTAATGAAATTGTTTAAAAATTTATAGGTAGAGAATAAACATATGCTCATTTACTAATATCAATATCAGATTATGAAAAGAAAATTAATAATTTAAAATAGGAAAATTAAGAATTAAAAAACAATTTTAATCATTTAAAATAAGATTATAGTGATATGGATAAAGAATTCTTAGTTGAAAATCATAAATAAAGAAATGAATAAACAGATTAAGATAAAATGGTCATAGAAGTAGAAGAAAAAGCAACAATATCTGGTTTATTATAAAATAAATTGAATAATTGGATTGTAAGAAATCTCAAAAAATTGGCATAAACTAAAGATAAAGGATTTTAAGGAATTATTGATGCAATTAAGGAAAAATTGTTAAACTTATCTACAATGGTAATTTTATATTCCTAATTTTAGTAACAATAAGAATTACTTAATAAATCAATTCGTAGTTCTGTCTTAGAATTAAATGATTAAGAATTTTTAAAAAGAAACTTTAGAATCAAACCAAAAAAATAAAATTCTCATCTACATTCAAATAATTCTTAAGATTATTCAATTTTAAGAGATGATGATGAACTCTTTAACGAATTGCCTAGCAAAGATGAAGAATAAGAAGATTAAGAAGAAGATCATTTATTAAATCAATTAAGAGAGGAAGTCAAAGGAAAATTATTGAAGAAATGACAATCATGTTGAAATTAATTATTTCATAATTTACAAATCATAATTTATTTTATTACTCTTTAAATTAAATTTTCATTCAAATATTTATAGGAAATGAGAATATAATAAAAAGAATAGAATTTTATTAATATAAAGAAGAAAATATTTAATATTATTTATGAATTCATATCTATTCTTATTTTAGTCTCTAGTTTTATAATTATATTATTGTGTATTTTTGATTTCCAAAGAAAAAAACCCCATTATCAGGTTTGGTTTTAAATATTGGTCGAATTTATTAATGACTCTATTAATTTTTAAATCAATTCGTGATTGTGCTTCATAGATCATTTAATGAAATAATTTTATTAAAGGAAAATTAATAAATAATATTTATATGTTTTAAAAGAATAATAACATATTAATCTAAATAAAAACAAGGATGGTTTCAAAATTATATCTGAGTCTAAACTCAAGTAAACGTAAATAAATCTACTTATGCTCAAGTGATTTAAGTGAATGCATTTAATGAAGTATTGAAATAATTTTTTGTAAAAGTTTAAATAATCATAAAAGAATAGACATTAATAGTAATGTTATCAATAATTAAATGTTTTAATAAATAATTTTTAACTTATGCATATTGCACCAGTTTCTCTTTTAAATTTTGATTAAACCTAAATTAGAGATCCTATTATTAATTCCCCAAGATCATTAGAAGCTTGTAGAAGATAGGGAATTAAACCTGAACAATTGATAATGAAGAGTATATACGATTTAAAGAGAGAAAACAAAAATTTAAACTTAGATGATGAAGCTTGGAAAATGCTACTTTAACATGAAGAAGATAAGAGATAAGCTAGAGTATAAGTGTTAATGGCTGAGAGAGAGGAAATTATATAAAAATAGAAGGATGATTATAAGTAGAGAAAGTTTGAGAAGGTTGAATTTGAAAAAGAAAAGAAGAGAATGGAGATGATTAAAAAAAGAAGAGAAAAATAAATGCAGAAAATATTAGATGAGGAGCTAAAAACACAAGAAATTTAGAATTAATTACGATAAAAAGAAATGGAATTAAGATAAAGATAAAAAGAATAACAATAAGAATTAGAATAAAGAAGGAAAGATAAAAAAATTGAAGAAGAATTTAGAAAATAATAAATTGAATATCAGGAACATTTAAGAAAATAAAAGCAATATGCAGAATAAGATAGATTAAAATATGAAACTAATAATAAAATAACACCATAATAGAGAATATAATAAGAAAAGGAACTTAAAAAGTAAAAGAAAAAAAGAGACAAATAATTAAAAAAAGCATAAGAGGAAAGAGAAGAGAAAGAGAGAGTTCGTTAATAAATGTTAGAATAGTTATATGAAGCAAAACTTTAAAAAATGGAATAAAGAGAAGCCAGAAGAAAAGTCTTATTAGAAGAGGAAAAAGAACTTAGATAATAATTGATTTAAGAAAAATAAAATGAAGCTAATTATAGAAGAGATGAGAATAAAAGAAGGGCTTAGCATTAATAAAATTAAGTATATTTAAATTTTCAATAAAAACAATTAAATGCTGAATAAAAATTGATAGCAAAGTAGAAAGAAATTGAATTGATGAATAAGGAATAAGAGATGAAAAGAGAAATATAAAAATAAAAACGATAGTAAATACAACAAAAGAATATAGCTTAATAAGAAAAAAGAAGAGATGATTTGATTTTTAAATTTAAGGAGATTGAAGATAGATTTAAAATTAATGAAATGGATAGAGAATTAACATTATATCAAAAAAGATAACTTTAATAGGAGAGAGAACATTATAGACAATAAGTAAGTACAATTAGAATATTTTTAGTTATTATTAAAAAATGATTAGGAATTATAAAAAAAATGTGAAAAAATCAATATGGAAAGAGAAGCAAAAGAATTATAAGCAGTTAAAGTATTGAAAGAACGAGATGATATGATTAAAGAAAAACATCTTAAGGAATTATTAAGAAAATAAGAATAAGAAGAAACCTAAGAAAGAATGATGAGAATAAGAGATTATGAAAGAGAGTAATTAAAAAAAGAACTTGAAGATAAATCTAAAAGAAGAGATTAAATAATTAAAGATAAAATAGCTTCAGAGAAACAAAAATAAGAGTAAAAGAAAGCCCAAATAATGGAAAAAGAATAAATCAAAAAAGATTTAGCAGAATTATTAAAAGAACATCAATAATAAGAACCTAAACCAATAATCGTAAAACAGAAAAAAAGAGCTGAAAGTGCCCCTTAAAAGAGTAAAGGATTGTAAGAATAATCACAAAAAAGTAAACCGATTGTAATGGCACCATTTGATATTATGACTAAAGAGAAATAAATATAAGAAATAAAAATTAAGTAAAATTAAGAATTACTTAATGTAAATTTGAAATTGATTCTAGTTATTATAAGAAGAGGAAAATAAAGAATTAGAGAGACAGAAATTATTAAGATAAGTAGATGATCCGGTTGAAAGAATGAGACTTGAAAAAATATTAGATTTTGAAAGAGCTTTAACTCAAGATAGACTTGCACAATTAGACAATAAACATCAAAAAGAATTAGAAAAATTTGAATGAACTATACTTTAATAACCATTTAAATAAAAGTTTATATTATAATTAAAAGCATTTATGTTCTTGTTTATTAATTTATATATTTTTATATATATAATAATGTAAATGGACATTCCTAATATATCACGTACAAGTTTGAGTTCAAAAAAGTTAAGTTAAAGATTTCGTATTGATAAATAAGGTCATCCAATATTAAGAGGATTTAAGTTGCATTCAGTTACATTTATTGATGATGTAGTTATTGGAACAACGGTTCATCAGATAATTCTTGTTGACAGTTGGAAACATCATAATTTGAATGATTTTCGAAAAGACTCATCTAAATGTTGTGAAATTAGCTGAATAATGATTATGATTTAACTTTATATATCAAATTACTTTACTTAATTTTTCTATATAATTTATTTGAAATCAATTTGTTAATTTGAATGTAAAGAAAGATTTCTTAATTATAAAGAAAATGAGAAAATTAAATTTCTTGAAATATATATATATATGAGATTACAAAATAGAAGATCATAAAATATGATCAAAATAAATATTCCCTATTTGTAGCCTTATTATTATCAACAATCCACTTATGTAATAACATTTAATCAATAGATATTCTTTAATCTGGACTTTATTGTAATCCACTTTTTACAAAATCCTTCAAAGCAGGAGAAAAGAAATTAGGAAGATCAAATTTATTCTAAATAATTATTAAATAACAAAATACTTTTAATATGTTTTCCATGATGACTTCATCATCTCTTGGAAATTCTGAAAATGGAGTATTTCCAGCTACAAGTTCATAAGCTAAAATAGCAATTTACCAAGCATCACATCTTTCATCATAACCTTCATCCTTTATTACTTCTGGTGCTATGTAATCTACTGTTCCACAAAAAGTATTTCTTCTGTCTTCAAATTTAGGTATTTCTCTGACACAACCCAAATCACATAATTTAATGTAATTCTAAAATTATTTTGTATTCTTACAAGAGATAATAAAATATTTTCTGTTTTTAAATCTCTATGCATAAATCCTTATTTATGCATATATTAAATAGCAGATAGAATTTGCATTATTAAATTACTAGCTTCCTTTTCACTAAATCGTTTATTAGGTTATTTATATTGATGTTAAAATAATTCACCATTATTGCAATACTCTAACATCATATAAATATATTATTGATCATAACTCTATCCAAACATTTTGACTATGTTAGGATGAGATAATTTAGATTAAATCACAATTTCTCTAGCTAATTATTCTGACATTTCATGTTCTATAACAGTTTACTTTTTGATAATTTTTAAAGCAAAAACCAGTCCAGTTCTATTATCAATAGCCATATGAACATCACTAAACTTTCCTCTTCCTAAAAATGAACTTATTTTTAATTTCAATTTATTTTCTATTTAAATATAAAGTGGATTGGTTTATTTTGGTATTGTATTTTAAATGGTCACTTTTTAAGATTGATGTTCATCTAATAACTTTTTCGCATAATTGTTGTTCATATTAACATAATTTATAGCACTTGCTGTATTTAAAATAGTTGGGTTTTTACCAACACTTGCTGTAAATTTGAGATTGCCAAATGCATTACTACTCAAACTTTTACATACTTCTATTTTTGGTTGAGCCTTAAATGGAGAATTCAATTTACAAGTAACATTTACCTTCTATAATTTCATTCTTGATGATAAACCAGCAGCTGTAGATGTTGATTCTTTAGTTAAACGTTGATCTGGTTACTTTTTGTTTAGATTCATACTGATGTTGTTTTTTAGCAATACTAAATTTTCTTATAGACTCTTAGATTTGTCAATCAATTTATTCCAATCCTTTTCCATTTGTTCTCTTTGTTTTTTTACATTTGGGGATGGTTAGCGTAATTATTAACACACTGATGGATCCTCTATTGTAATATTTAATTCTTTTGATGTTTTACGAAAGGCTATGTTGCTATGCACTGGTGAATTGAATTTCATTGATGGACCATAAACTATTTGAGAAGCTGGATATTATATCAATTATTTATTTTCAGAAGCATCTCTTGTTTATATAGGCTAGATGATGTTTCGCAATTTTATACTTTGTCTCTTGATGTTTGTTGTTGTGAGAAATACACAGCAGAAGTAGCACCAAATTGATTCTAGTACTTAATTTAACTTTGATTTGGTTGAAACATCCTCAAATTTTAATATATAATGATCTTAAGAACACAAAAATGATTAATAATTGTTTATGTTTTTTAATTAAATAAAATTTATTTTAATTAATAAAAAAAAAGGGTTGTCAACACGAGGACTTCCCAAGCGGTCCCCCACCTTAGTACTAACCTCGCCTTAAGCCGCTTAACTTCGGAGTTCGAATGGGATCCGGTGCTTTAGGCTTAGTATGGCCGACAACGATATTTACTATCCACTTCTCTATTTATACATGGGGGTTTATTATAGTTTAATATGAAATAATAAAATGAATAATATAAACATTTTCAATAACTTAATCTCTACTTTGTGCAAATATAGGAATATGTTTGAATACATGAAATGATATCAAGTTCCAAACTTACATTAATAATTTGAAGTTTGTACTAATTTTTTCTTTAATTTTATTAGGCGGGCTGTGGGTTTGAATAATAACTCTGAATTGTCAAAAATGAATTCTGTTAGCTATTTATAGTTTGATATAATACTCTAGATCATGTATAGGAGATAATCTATAAATTATCTCAAATATTTTTGTGAATGAGAATTTTTCCATCTTCTTAGAAGGTGTTCAATTTAACAATAACCAAATTATAGAAGTACTTTGGAAGATTTTAAACAATTTATGTAGAAATTCAACCCTGTAAATATTGAAAAAAATAACTTATATTTTTCTTGTATATGATTAAACTATTAATGTTATTACAGAAGAGAAATAATGAACATTAAATTTTATTGATAAATGACATATTCTGATATAAAAGAGTTAAATTTACAACATTATTTCAATACTCATAGATCCAATATATTTTAGAATAATGTAAATAATTAAATTTTATTCAAATACATTGGATATTTTAGATATCACTTATATATTGTTATAAATATCTGCTTTATCCTATATGTATTTGATTTAATTATTTATTTATATTGACATAAATTCATTATAATTTTTTTTATAGATAGTAACACAATGACTTGATATCATATTTTTATAGATATTCACTGTTCACCCATCGATTTTTAGGAATTATACCTAATATATTTAATTAAAGAATACCATTAGATCGCTTTTGCCATAATAAATAATACATTTTGATGCCTGTTTATTTGATCTATGCAGCCTATCCTATTTTATCCAATTGATCTCCATATTCAAATCCTCCTTCATTAGGTAATTTAACCTCAGTATTCTTTTGAGATAATTCAGAAATAGAATCCTAGATATTCTCAGAATCCTGTTATTAATTTGATTGTTATGGTTTCTTTTCTTAAGGAAGAGTCTATATCAACTATATAATCTCTTCTTACTATTTTTTTACTTGGTTTAATTCTTGTTTTAATAAACTCACTTAATCTTATAGTTTCTNAAAAAAAAGGGTTGTCAACACGAGGACTTCCCAAGCGGTCCCCCACCTTAGTACTAACCTCGCCTTAAGCCGCTTAACTTCGGAGTTCGAATGGGATCCGGTGCTTTAGGCTTAGTATGGCCGACAACGATATTTATAGTCTTAATTCTCTTTAATATCACAGAGTTTTATAAAATTATTTATAAAATATTATATTAATATGAATTATAAAAAAAAATTAAGATAATTATATTGAAACTTTTCATACATTCTATTAATTTATTTATCTAATTGTTTTTATTAATGTTCTTTACTTACAATAAGCTCTTGATTTATAAAAATAAATACAATTATATTAGTAATTTATTGACAGTAAATTTGAAGGAAAATTCTGAAAATAAATTATCGATATTCAGAAAATACTGTTTAAATATAATAAATATGACAATATATTTTTCATTCTTAATAATACAGGTTTAATCTTGAATTAAAGTTCAAAAAAAAGATTTCAAATTTATTTTTCATTTTGATTCTCTATTAAGAAATGAGTTAATTCATTAATAAAATTAAGCATTAAATAATGACTCTTTTAATACCTTTATTGATATTAATTTTTGGTTTTTCTTGCTAATATATAGTGGATTTAAGTTAAGATTATTAAACATATACCTAATAGTTAAACCTTTAATTAGAAGACTTAGTCACTAATAAATTTTTTACATATGGGTTATGGAATAAATATTTACCTTTAGGATAAATAAGTTAAATTGGATAAATGGGTGTATTTGGTAGTAATTGTTATCATTTACATAATGCAGCAGATTCCTTAACTCTGAAAGTTGATTTAATATACTTTGATTGTCTTGATGTTGATTAAATGAAAATAACAAAAGTAATTCAATTTTTTGATTACGATGGAATATTTCATAGCTATGATATTACCTTAGATTAATGGGAATATGAAAGTCATTGGTATTTTATTTAGATTGTTTAATGGCCAATATAAAAAAGATTTGAATTAATGTTTATACACTACCCTGAGGTAATTTTTAAAAAAATTTTATATATTCATTGTCCTTACAGGAGTTTCAATCAGCAATTAACTTTTGGAGGTGGATTGCTTCTTAATGATGATGAATTCTTTTAGAATATTTAAGGTAGAAAAAAATTATCATTCTTTCCAGGAAAATTGTATTATGATTTTTTAACTTTATAAATTGGTACTTTTGATAGAAATGGATTAAAAATCGCTATAGACACTTTTGGAGATCTTTATATTTGTAATTGTTAATCTAATATTAATGTTTAAATTGAAAATTAGATTTTGAATTGGCTTGATTAAAAATATTTTACATCAGAAAATGGAAATTGTGATTAATTTGGATTATCAGGATGGTTAAGAATAAAAGAGATAAATAAAATAAATGATAATTTTGATTATAAATTTATGAAAATGAATAAATTTAGTTAAAATTAAAAATTAAATGATGATAATTTATCAGCATTTTAATTGATATATAGAATATCATAATAATAATATGAAATATTAATAATGAGTTATAGTTATAGATTTCCTATTGTAAATATAGATTTTAATAATAATCCATTTTTAATAATTAAATAAATAGAAATTAATAATAATATTTATTTATGGCATTATTTATAAGTTACATTATAATAAAATGTATTATAAATAATAATAACATTTTATTNGAATTAAAGTTCAAAAAAAAGATTTCAAATTTATTTTTCATTTTGATTCTCTATTAAGAAATGAGTTAATTCATTAATAAAATTAAGCATTAAATAATGACTCTTTTAATACCTTTATTGATATTAATTTTTGGTTTTTCTTGCTAATATATAGTGGATTTAAGTTAAGATTATTAAACATATACCTAATAGTTAAACCTTTAATTAGAAGACTTAGTCACTAATAAATTTTTTACATATGGGTTATGGAATAAATATTTACCTTTAGGATAAATAAGTTAAATTGGATAAATGGGTGTATTTGGTAGTAATTGTTATCATTTACATAATGCAGCAGATTCCTTAACTCTGAAAGTTGATTTAATATACTTTGATTGTCTTGATGTTGATTAAATGAAAATAACAAAAGTAATTCAATTTTTTGATTACGATGGAATATTTCATAGCTATGATATTACCTTAGATTAATGGGAATATGAAAGTCATTGGTATTTTATTTAGATTGTTTAATGGCCAATATAAAAAAGATTTGAATTAATGTTTATACACTACCCTGAGGTAATTTTTAAAAAAATTTTATATATTCATTGTCCTTACAGGAGTTTCAATCAGCAATTAACTTTTGGAGGTGGATTGCTTCTTAATGATGATGAATTCTTTTAGAATATTTAAGGTAGAAAAAAATTATCATTCTTTCCAGGAAAATTGTATTATGATTTTTTAACTTTATAAATTGGTACTTTTGATAGAAATGGATTAAAAATCGCTATAGACACTTTTGGAGATCTTTATATTTGTAATTGTTAATCTAATATTAATGTTTAAATTGAAAATTAGATTCTGAATTGGCTTGATTAAAAATATTTTACATCAGAAAATGGAAATTGTGATTAATTTGGATTATCAGGATGGTTAAGAATAAAAGAAATAAATAAATTAAATGATAATTTTGATTATAAATTTATGAAAATGAATAAATTTAGTTAAAATTAAAAATTAAATGATGATAATTTATCAGCATTTTAATTGATATATAGAATATCATAATAATAATATGAAATATTAATAATGAGTTATAGTTATAGATTTCCTATTGTAAATATAGATTTTAATAATAATCCATTTTTAATAATTAAATAAATAGAAATTAATAATAATATTTATTTATGGCATTATTTATAAGTTACATTATAATAAAATGTATTATAAATAATAATAACATTTTATTAAGAATTAAATAAATATTAATATTAAGAATAAATAAATGTTTATCATTTTAATGAAATATAATTTTAAATTCATTATGGTAATATAAATTAAGAATCTAATAATTATTTAAATATTTAAATACAAAATTTCAATTTTTATAATTGTGATATTTCATAAATAAATAAAAATTGTCATTCAAGTTGTTAATTATGTGATGGACCTACTAATTCTGATTGTTTATCATGTTAAGATAATTCAAATAGAATATATATTCCATCATAAAAAGCATGTATTTGTTAATATAATACTATTGATTAAGATTTTTGTTATTCATATTAACATTTTTAATTTTAATTAATTTAATATTAAACTAATTAATTATAATGTTAATATGGATATTTCTATTTTAATTCATAAACTTGTATTAAATGGTAATTATATATTATTTATATATTTATAGTCCTTCAATTATTTAATCTAATCTTATAACATGTTTAGAATGTATAGAAAATCCTCTTTATTGGTAATATAATCCTTATTGTTAAACATTAATATATATTATTCATAATAATACCTATAATACTATTAAAGATCAAACAATTTAATATTATATAATAATTGATGATTAACTTTAATTGTGTTAAGAATGTGAACAAAAAAATTTTAATAATGATTCTATAATATATCAAGATTTCTAAAATTCATTTTCAAATTAAAAAGAGCTATGTTCAATAAATTATTCAATAAATAAATTTTACACAAAATAATAATTTTGTCATTCCTGTAATCTTAATAATTGTAATGTTTGTGTTGTAAAAAATGATGGATATAAATGCCTTGTTTGCGAAAATCGTAAATCAATGAAAGATGGCTATTGCATAAGTTTAGGTGCTATTAATGGTTTTTTGAATACAAAAGATTGCATCCCTCCTTATTACAGAACATCAAATAAATAATGTAAGATATGTCCTATAAATCAGTGTAAATTTTGTTTTGAATATAAAAATAATGATTTGTCAAAATGTACTCTGTATAAAGATTATGAAGAATTTAATATGGATGAATATCATTAAATAGGATGTGCATTATGTGAAGATAATTTTTTATTTGATTTTAATAAAGGAATTTGTTTACATTAAAAACCTAAGATCCAATATTGTTTAAGATCTTTTATAAATTTAGAAGGATTAGAAATATGCACATTATCCTAAATTGATGATTTCAATATTGCACCTGAAATTATTAATTGTCAAAAATACATAACAAATTGTATTCAATGTTTTTTATCACCATAACAGATTATCAAGTGTGTTATTTGTAAAGATGGTTATAAGAATTCTGTTTAAACAGGTCATTGCACTCCTAGTTTTATTCCTAATTGTAAGATATCTACTGAAGGAATTATAAATGAATATGATGCTTGGGTTCAATTAATACAAAGTTTTTTGATTTAATTTTTACCTAACTAATACTATTACTATGTATAAGAAATAGCAGGATTTAATATAGAAGTAACAATTGAATGTTTAGAGGGATTCAAACCTATCTCTAATATTTGTTTAAAAACTTGTGATTCAAATTGTCTATAATGTGAAAAATCTTAAAGTGAAATATTAAGCTTTGAATGTAAAAGATGTCCTCTAAATTACTATAGATTACCTAATCGGTCAAAAAATTAAGGTAATTGTTTAATTTGCCCATAATTATGTTAGATCTGTTAATTAAGATCTAAAGAAGAAATATAAGTAATAATATTAATTAGATTTAGATTATTAATCCTTTATTCATTATAAATGAAAAAAATGTACATTTTACTTACAAATGTTTACAACCAGTATTTGATCCATATATTAAAATAAACCCAATTTTGTAGATTGCTAAATATTGTTTCAACAATCATTGTTAGATTTATTTTTAATATTAATATCAAATAAATTGTAATAATTATTAGGATAGTTTAAGATACGAAACATCATAATACTATTAATAATACATAAATAAAACCTACCTTAATTCTATGGGAGTAGAGATGATATAAATTATTTTTGATTTTTCTCAGCTAAGTTCTGATATTACTTGTGTTTATGAAGATACTATATCAATTGACACTAATTTAAAGGAGGAGGTATTTGCATTATAAATAATCAAAATGTCAATAATAGGTCTATATTAACTTTATTAAAGTTTTCAATAAAATCTAGATGCATAAAATTTTGATGTAGTTGAGATCTCTTAGATGTATTTTTACATAAATTTACCATTTTTTATTAATTTAAATAGTAAAATTATTAATTTAGTTATAAATGAAACTATATTTTAGGGTAAAGAACAATCTAATTAATCAACATTCCAAATACATGGATAAATTTATTAGGATTTCTTTTTAAATAATGTAACATTTAAAGATTTACGTATAAGTGAATCAACTGTGTTCAATATAAAATATAATAATATTTTAGGAACAATCTTTATAGATTACCTATAAATAATAAATTGTTCTTTTACTAATTCAAAATTAATTTAACTTTCAGGTAATCCAGATAAATTTATTATTAATAATTTAGAAATTATAAATTGCTAGTTTTATAATACTACTACTTTTAATTTTTTTGATATACAATCTTAATTATTTTATGTCTAATTTAGAAAATTATCTGTAATTAATAGTACTCTTAAAAAATCTATTCTAATAAATAATCCTCATAATTTTGATTTAAGTATTTAGGATTTGAGTTTTAAAAATAATTATCTTATTTTCTCATCTATCATAATTACGAATTTCAAAGTTTATTGTATAAATTTAAATATAAGTAATAATAATTTTCTAGAATCCATCTTTATTAAATCAGAATAAGTAAATCAAAAAAATGATATCAAAATAGATTTTCATAATCTTAATATTATTAACAATTCTATTAATAATTCTACTATAATAAAAATAAGTTCAGATTTAATATCAAATGGTTTTAAATTAACTTTAACTACTGTAAATATTAAAAATAATAATAATTATTTAAATTATTAATAAAAGTATTATTTATTTGATATTCATGCATAATTTTTATTGGTAAATGAAATAATTGTATAAGATTGCCCAAATCAAAATATTTTTTATATTTTTCAAACTTAAGAAATAATTTTTCAAAATATTTTATACACTAATAACTAATTACAACGTAAAGTACCTATGAGTTTATCATGCTCTGATGAAATTAATTAAAATTAGCAATTTTTGGAGTTATAAGGTTTTCAAAATTTAAAACTATTTAATATTTCAATTTTAAACCATTTCAATATTGATTAGAGTTTGATTTCTATTTTTTCAAAAATCATATATTAATCTGATCTTTTAGAAATGATAAATATACAAAATTTAACATTTTCCAATAATGTACTATTGAAGAACAAAATAGGCAATTTATTATCATTAATAGTTATTTATTCTGAAAAAGAATAAATAATTGAAATTTCTAATATGAAATTTATAGAAAACATATTTAATTAATATTCTGACGACTTGTCTATATCTTCCTCAAGCTTGTTTTATATAAATTCTTAATTAAGTAGAATAGTACTGATTAATTGCTTATGTTATAATAATATGCTAACAAATTCATCAAATTCCTTCTCTTCAATTTAATCTTATAATACTATTATATAAAATTATATAGTTAAGAATCACAATATTATAAATGAAGAGATATTAAAAAAATATTATAAAATAGATTTTTTATAATCTTTAACCTAAGAAGAAGTATTACTTGTAATAAAGTCTTATTTAAAGATATAAAATAAAGGAGGGGTTATGTAGATTACTACTTCTAATTTTTCATTGATGGATTGCACATTCGAAAATATTTTAGCTTAAAGTAGTGCTATTTTTGAAATAATCACAAAATTTCTAGGGATAATTAGTATCTAAAGAGTAAGTTTAAAGAATATCTAAGTTGATTTTACATAAAATTTAGACATACATGGTAGTATCACTATATACTCTTAAAATAGTTAATTACAGCTAGAATTAAATAATGTTAATTTTATTAATGTTTATAACAAATTTGGTTCTTCTTGTTTAACTCTGTTTCCATCAATGAAATAAAATAACTTATTATTTTATAATATTTATCTAGAAAATAGCCTCTCTTTAATGAATACATTCACAAAACTTGAATTTTAATAATAAATTATTAATTCCAACACTATTATAATTTAGAATATGACAATTATCTAAACAATGGAAGCATGGTTGAACTATTTTTAATTTGTTGGAACCTTAAGTTTAATAGAAATGCTTAAAACTCTTAATGATAATGCTATAATCAATGTATTTGGTAGTTCTGTTAAAATTATAGGTTTAAATGTTTAAGGAGTGCTTATTTCTTCAGTAGTAAAGATTATTGATGCTTATTAATTGTAGTTAACTAAAACTTATGTTACTTAAATTTCAACTTTTATTTCAGTCAATATTATTAATATAGGTTAGAACAGACTTGATAAAATTTAGATATTTATTAATAAGATAGAATTTAGTTCATTTGTATAATTTTAAATAGATTAAAATTAGTTTATAATTACAAATCTAATAAACTTGAATAATCAATTTTCACAATGTTCTTTAATTATTGATAAATCTCATTTTATTCGGTCCAATCATAATATATATTCAACTATAAACTAATTAAATTAAAAATAATCTAATATTGGATCTATGATCTTTATTTAGAGTTGGACAAATCACACTAAAATTTTATTAGACTCTTTGACTATTTAAAATAATTAATGCTCTAATTGTGAACTAGGAGTAATATATTTAGATATTAAAAATGTGAGTTAAATTAAAATAAATAATATCTTGTGTTATTCAAACAAGATATCAAAAAATGGATGTATTACTATTATGTCTAATACATCTTTATAAAGTTCTATTATTATTTAAAATTCTTAATTTATCAACAATTATGGTAGTTAAGGGTCAGGTATTAACTCATATAATATTTATTTGAGAATTGTAAATTGCATTTTTCTTTATAATTATGCATCAATTAAGGGAGGGGCTATTTTTTTTGAATCAAATTCAAATTAATTTTAATTTTTTAAAACAATTATTATGGAAAATGAAGCTAAGGTTGGAGGTGGAATTTATTTGAATGGAAGTAATAATTATTTGAATAGTTTCAATTTAAATAGATCTATATTGTAGATTAATAAAGCCTAAGAAAATTGTAATAATTTAATTGAAATACCAAATCATTTAGAATTAGAAATAAACAATCAAGAAATGAATTTTTATTAAAATACTTAAGATGGAATAATAACAAATACTCTTAAACTAAGCCCCTACGAAACTATTTAGCAAAGTTAAAAAATTAAAACTACATATTTGATGATACCGAGTAATTAATAAATAGGAAAATATGGTTTGTTCAATTTGTAAATATTGGATTATTAGGTATAAATTAATCATATTTTCCTCTCATTTAGAAATAGTATGAATGAAGTACTAACTAATGTTCATGATTAAATTTGTGAATTAAGCTAAACTGTTATATCTTTAGATGGAAAATTAAAAAAAGAAGAGAAAATTTTGTAAGTTCTATCAATTAATAGTTAAAGCTAAAAGTTTGATTTAGGAACTCAAATTTTTCAATTAGATCCTTATTCAGATTAAAATATATAACTAAAAATATAAATAGATTGTATTTTAGAATAAAATAGTAATAAAAGATTAAGATATATAATTTATGCAAAAAGTTATTTATGTTAATTAGGAGAGTATTATGTTGATAAAGGGTGTTAATAATGTTAATCTATTTATGGATATTATTCTGTTACTTATAATGCAACTAAATGTTCAATCTTTGATAATAATAAATTTAAAAATATCACATCTAATTAAATTAATTTAAATCTTGGATATTGGAGACCAACTTATTTATCTGATGCAACTGAATTATGTTTTAAAAATATAATCTTTTGTAATGGAGGTTGGCAAGTAGGTGATAATTTATGTTTATAAGGTCATATTGGAGGATTATGTGAAGAATGTGATATATATAATATTAGAGGATTTGGGGAATATACAAAAAGTTATACAAATATGCAGTGTAACATATGTCCAAAGGAATCTATTAATTATCTACCATTTATATTTGTATTTTTATTGTAAAAATTCTCATCTATATATATAGGTCTCTACTATCAATTTTATTATCAGTGAGAAGCATTGAATAATCAAATCAACTATATTCTTCATTAAGTTTTAAATAGAAATTTAGAAAAATACTATTTAAACTTAATTAAGGTATTAATTTATTTAAAATATTATAGATCATTAAAGTTTTTTAATTAAGATGTTACTCAATTACTTATGGATTTTTTCACTTATTTATAGCTTCAATATTAATTTTCCTTTTTCTATTACATTTTTTGAATCAACAAGCAACTCTTCTTATGTTTTAGCTAATAGTTTAGATTGCTATTTATCTTCTAAATTAAATACAGATATTGTATATTCTAGAATAATTACTATGATAATTCTAATTATCTTATAATTAATATTATTTACTCTTGCTTTTAAGCTTCATTCAATGTTAAAAAAGTCTAATTTTCGAATGAGTCTAATAACTAACACAATTCTATATTTATACCTTTCAAATAATGCAACATTAATTAAACTGTATATTATAATTTAAAAGGTAGGTTCTGTTCATTATTAGCTGNGAATATACAAAAAGTTATACAAATATGCAGTGTAACATATGTCCAAAGGAATCTATTAATTATCTACCATTTATATTTGTATTTTTATTGTAAAAATTCTCATCTATATATATAGGTCTCTACTATCAATTTTATTATCAGTGAGAAGCATTGAATAATCAAATCAACTATATTCTTCATTAAGTTTTAAATAGAAATTTAGAAAAATACTATTTAAACTTAATTAAGGTATTAATTTATTTAAAATATTATAGATCATTAAAGTTTTTTAATTAAGATGTTACTCAATTACTTATGGATTTTTTCACTTATTTATAGCTTCAATATTAATTTTCCTTTTTCTATTACATTTTTTGAATCAACAAGCAACTCTTCTTATGTTTTAGCTAATAGTTTAGATTGCTATTTATCTTCTAAATTAAATACAGATATTGTATATTCTAGAATAATTACTATGATAATTCTAATTATCTTATAATTAATATTATTTACTCTTGCTTTTAAGCTTCATTCAATGTTAAAAAAGTCTAATTTTCGAATGAGTCTAATAACTAACACAATTCTATATTTATACCTTTCAAATAATGCAACATTAATTAAACTGTATATTATAATTTAAAAGGTAGGTTCTGTTCATTATTAGCTGTGAGGAGAATATCTGACATTGACTTTGTTTAAGGAAATGTATCATTATTATTCAATACTTAAACTCATTTTCGATGGATATTTGGATTTATACTTCCAGGTTTAATTTTGGTTGGTGTTGTAATCCCAGTATTTTTGTTTATACTAATATATTTTAAAAGGGATTTAATAGAAAAAGTAAAATTTAGAAGGCACATTTGTTATTTGTTTAATGAATATAACCAAAATTCCTATTTTTGGGAATAAATTAAGATTTGGAAAAAAACACTAATTATTTTGATTATGATATATTTTGAAACTAATATACTATTAAAAGCCTCATTATTAGGATTATGCTTATTATTATATTAAACTTTGGCTTTGAAATATAAACCATTTATCTTAAATAGCTTAAATAATTTGGACATCTCTACATGCTAAATATGTTCAATATCAATATTTTTAGCTTCAGTCTAATATGTGAGTGATTAACAAAACCATATCATTTCGATTATTTTGTAAGTAAATTTACTTCTATTATGGATTAAACTTTGTTAACCTTTTATTGTAAAGATTTTTAGCATTTATTATAAAAGATATAGAATAGAATTTTTAATTTAAATTCAAAATTGTATTAAGAAAATAAAATCAAATTTTTGTTTAGTTTATATATTGAATAAACAAATTCAGAAAATGAAAACGAAGGAGAAACAAATATAAACAAATTATGGAAAATTAAAGTTGTATTTGATCTGCTTTTCTAAAATGTCACTCGAATAACAAAGGTATTTATGAAACTATCTTTAGAAATATGAATTCATAATTAATTCCTTTTTAAACATTAAGAAGTAGATTATCTTTTTAAGAAAACGATACAAAATAGTTTTTTAATTGAAAAAATAATTCATTTATATTTAATCATTTAATGACTATATATATTCATAACTTTATTATAAATTTATTATACTTGTGCATAGAGTTTTTGAACTTTAAATCTCAATATTTGATATATTTTCTAATAATTATTATATAAATAAATAAGAATTAATTAATCAAAAAATAATATATTAATATTTTTAATCTGGAAATTGATAAAATTCTGAATAATAGATTTTGTATATAGTGTTAGTAAAAGTAATTACAAAACCAGTAAGAAATGATAATCATAAATAATTATTTTAGTAATTTAAAATTTAATTTCTTCTTCAAAGTATTAGTTAATTGATATCATATGATATAAATATATTTGGAATGCAGAATCTTAATGAGAAATATCTTTAGAGAGGTATTTCATTTTTGTTTTAAGATATTAAAGACATTTATAAGTAGCAATTAATGGAATATTATCATTATTATTCTTGCATTTCAATATCTAAGAGATTGTTGAGAAGTGGAAAGTTACGATCTACTAAGGCTAAATTTTAAATTTGGAAATATCTTAAGATTAAATATATATCTACCTTCTTCCATACAAAGGGTAAAACATGGACCATAACTATGGCAAATCATTAACCCAATTCATTGAAAAAACTGGTAAATAATAGCAACGTGGTCTATCAAGAGTTGGTGTATAATATGAAAGTGGATTCCATCCTAAACTTGGGATTTCATAGATGAAAATAAATAAGCAAAATGTTCCAAAACATGCATAAGATAATGATAGCATTGCTAGTGAATAGAATCCATAATCTAATATGAATTATTTTGTTAATTTTACTTGTAGATCTAACATACCAAAGGAATAAATAATAATATATGATTGTAAATTTGGGGACAAAGTACAAAGATGACCGTGTTCTTAAAAATAATAAGGAGGCAAATTCATTTACTGTAATTAGACTTAATAATTATAATAAAATGGATACCCAAAAAAATTATCCTCTAAACCAAATGGAACTTAAGCTTTAAATAATAAGTAGCTTCCAATAATTATTGAAGATAAGTAAATGAAATAAATTAAAAATAACATTAAAGTAAAAGCTATAATTAGTTATTTTTTTGATCTTTGTGTTCTATCAAGTATATTTAAATATAATCCAATCCAGGGGAATGCACGTGCCAAAAATATTGGAAATATTTGTCTATTTCCAAAAATATAAGACACTTCTACTAAAATTTATTATGAAAATAAGTGATACACATTATAATAATGATGACTGGAGCACAAATAATTGTAATTTTAATATAAAGTGATGAAATTGCTGATGAGATAAACAATCCTAAAGTAATGACTAAAAATTCCCATAAATTATGAGTTACTTTTCCTAAGTAATTGTGAGGGTCTTTCTTCTATTTCCATATAAATGTTTAATTTGTAGCATTATTCTTAACATAAATATTTGAATTGATTGAATAGGCAACATCATGCAAAAATAATGTTTCTAAATTTATTGTCTAAGAAAGTAACTTTTAAAAACTACTATCAAAATAGCTTTTGTAATCTATAGTAATGTTTATAATTGTGAAATTATGTAATTGCAGTAATTCTGTTTTTAAGTGCAATAATTCTTATGTGCTTGTATATTTCATCATTAATAGTGTAGTATTATTATCTAGAATTGAATAATGATAAATAGAATCTTTAGCATCTTGATCAAATTAAATTTAATTAATAGTCCTATTACTCAATCCCAAAATTAAAAGCAAATTTAATGATGCCATACTTAATAAAATCACACTACAAATATTTGTGAATTTAGGAACATATTAATGAGTCAATATTCGTTCTTGAACTCTATATAATGTTTTTTCTAATTCCATTTAATAATTTAATTTAATTTATCATTCATAATGTATTATAATATTAACACATCATTGAAGTGTTCATAATGAATTGAATTTATCAATGTTCATTTAGTAAATGTAATTTTTTGTGTAAATAAATGAGTAAATAAAAAAATAGCAGAAATCATAAGACTGATAAAAATGAATTGAATTAGTGTATAATAAATTATTAGTAATATATATAACTTATAATATTCTAAATTAAATGAGACAAACTCCTTTTTAAAGTGTTGGTCAGCAAAGCTTCAATAATCCTGCAATGCAAATGGTATCTCCACCATCATAACTTAATTCTTTCATGAATGATTATGATTAATTAGTTAGACCAGGAGAAACAACAAATAGAAGACCAAGATCAAGAGAATTAGATATGATGAATTTATTACTGATTGGAAGTATGAATAAAGGAGATAAAAGAAGTGGATTAGAGAGTCTTGATTAGCTTTTGGGTTCTCCAAATCCAACAACTTCATTAAGTACAACTAATAGTCTAGCAAATTTTGGTTAATAATTATTGGGATAGCCTTATGGAATGAGTCCATTTGATCCTCTTATGCCTAACAATTAGTTGAGAGATTAAAGATCTATGCCTATGTTGCCTGTGCCATAATAATTTCCTATGCAATAACCGTAATTCCCTATGCAATAACCTTAATTCCCTATGCCATAACCATAATACCCATTATAATAACCCTAATTCCCTATGTAATAAGGATAATTTCCATTATAATAACCATTATAATATCCATTCAACTAATAATAATTTAATTCACCTAATTAATAGATTAAAAATTAAGAGAAATTATTAATTAATGGATAGATGGGTGTTACTGTTAATCAAACTACTCAATAAGCTCCTGAATTATAAGAACCACCTAAAAATAGGATAATCGATTATATTGCAAGATAAAATGAAGTATTAGAAAAATTAACAAAAAATATGGCATCATAAAGGGAGAAAGAAAGTTAAGAAGAAAAGTAGAAACTTTTGGAGAGAATGAAAAAATTAGAAGCTTAAAATGCTTAAGATGCTTTTTATAATGATATGTATGATGAAGTACCTCCACATATGAGATAAGGTTAATAATTTAAACCTCCTCCAGGTTATTAGTATCAACCTTATTTTTAATAATAGAATTTATATTAACAATAATTTCCAACAATGCCATATCCAGAAAAATAGAAATCAAAGTAACAAACATTATAAATGTTGAGAATGTTAAAGCAAATTGTAATAAAAACAATTTAAATTTAAGAAAATAGCAAATTAGAGAAAGAAAAATAAAAAACATAAAAAGCAATTAGATTTTGAAGAAATAATTAATGATCAAGCAGAAGTTGATTCATTTACAAGTGAAGAGAGTGATCCTGAACCTAGAATTGTATAAAAGCCAAGAATATTAAAACCAAGACCAATACCACCTCCACCTAATTATGATCCTACAGATGATCAAACAAAATTAAATTAATTAATAAAGTATTTTTTTTATTTCTAAAATATAGATAACGAGGTAAAAAGAAATTAAAATTACAGTTTATAATGATGTTTTTTTTCATTTGGAAACTTAATGATTTAAAGAAAATCATTTAAGCAAAGAAACAATATATTAATAAAGAAGGACCTGAGATTCTACAAAAGTTTATGGAGGATACTCATAGTTTATTTGTTAGAGTATTAAAAAATGTATTTGATGATCTATTATTACCTAATTTGAATATTTAAATAGTTCCAAAACCAAAATAAAAGATTTCACCTAATTAAATGAATCAAAATATTAAAAAATTAAAAGAGATCCTAAAAAAATTGTTTGATGGTGTGACTGATAATGCTAATGAAACAGATTTTACTGAGAATATGTTAATTTATTTAAATAGCATAACATGTGAATATGCATATCTATTAGATAGTTAACATTTGAGATTTGAAATAAATAGATTAAATTTTACATATCATGGATCATTAAAAAATATGGAATAAAAGAAATAATTTATGATGATTGTAATTTCGATGATTGTAAAAGTTTTATTGTATCGACTATTAAGTAAAGCACATATTTAAATAAAAAATGTTAAAGTTACTGATTAACTTAAAATTAATATGAAGACAATTACATCTGCTACTTATGAAATCTTTTTATTATTTATACGTGGAGCAACTGCCATTTAACCTAATAATACAAAGGATTTACCTATTGAAAATTTAGTGAAAGAAAAGAAAGATATGTATTATTTAGTTGATACATTTGATGCAACTGAAGAAGAAATAGCTAAATTAGAAGAAGCTAAATAGAAAGCTAATTCTAAAGATGAGAGAATAGATGAACCTATGTTATATCCTATTTATAGTGGCAGAGAAATGTCAGCTTTGTATCATATATTATATTATATTTATAGTTTTGATACAGAAAGAATATTTGTTACTACTCTTTAATAAATGGTTGAAGGTTGGTGTGAAAAGATTTACAATATTCTATAAAATTATAGAAATGAGAAGGATAATAAAAGGAAAGAGATATATAGAAAGAATAGAGAATAACTTAATAATTCTCTTGCAATTAAAAGAGATAGAGTGAATAAATAAATTTAATTAAATAAAGAGAGAGATTAATAATTATCATAAGAAATAGAAGAACTCAGAATAAAGATTGCTGAAAGTAATGAAAAGGCAAAACGGGATAAAGAAAATTATGATTAAATGTAAAGATAAAGGGAAGAAAGACATAATAATATGTTAATTGGACCTAGAAATACAGGTTAATAAATGCCTATTTCATATGATGGACAATATGGATAACCAATGAGAAGATAGTTTTGATTTATTTTGATAATTTAATATTTATTTATAGTTCATATGATATTTGATTGTCAAGTTATTAGAAAACACTTACTCATAGACAAATATTATTAATTACAATTCTATGAAGATCGAATCTTAATTGGATAAGAAGTATTCATTTACATTAATCTTAAGAATAGACATCCAACTAAATATGAAATAGCTTTAAATCTAACCAATCGAATAAGTTGGAAATTAAATGAAAAACAATAAATTATTGAATTTGGAATCAAATACAATAATAATATTAAATGGTTTACAGGTAAGAATGAGAACTTATAGAGAATTAAGCAATTACTTACTAATAAAATATTTAATCATAGTATATCCACTTTTTATTAGTCATCTGAACTAATAGGTTAAGGAGCTTCTAGCAAAGTCATCACTATATTAGATTAAAATAAATTTAAATATGCTGCTAAATGTATAAGCAAAGATTACATAACAAAAAAGAAGACTCCAGATCGTTTAAATAGACTTATAAGTGAAATTACCATCTTAAGATCTTTGTTAAATCATCAAAATGTGATTTAATTACTAGATATTTTTGAAGGTGAGTCTACTTATTATCTAATTTTTGAATATCTCCAAGGAGACACACTTCATAAATTCCTCAAATAATAATCAAAACCACTCTCTGAAGAAATGATTCGTATTATTTTAGCAGTAATTTATATTTCATATATATAGTAATTACTTTAAGGAATTCATTACATTCATTAAAATAATTATATTCATAGAGATATCAAATTGGAAAATATTGTATTATCCACAAAACAATCTATACAAAATTTGAAGATTATTGATTTTGGATTAGCCATACCCTCTACAGTATTCACACCTTTTGCAATCTGTGGAACACCAGGATATATAGCACCTGAAATACTTTAATATAAAGAATCCAGTTAAGGATAATTTAGATTCACTTCTAAAGTTGACATGTTTGGTATAGGTGTTATGCTTTATAGAATGTATTAAATAATTGTTTATAATTGTTAGGATGACTAGAAAATCACTTTTTGATTCAGAAAACACAAAAGAATTACTTTCTCTTAATCGAAAATGTTAATTACCTAAATTATCTATTTCTGGATATTCCAATGAATTAAATAATTTATTATTTGGATTACTTGAATCAAATCCAATTAAGAGATTATCATCAGAAGAATCATTAATTATTATGAATATTACTTAAATGACTTAAGAATTATAATTATCTTAATTCACAACATTTTAATATGATTAAGATGATTTTGAAGTTGAACATTCAATTGATTATGCAAATGCTCCTTATCAATTTCCTAATAAATTTATGAAATATGAATTAGAAAACAGTTTTCATTATAATGAAGATCATAAACATTCAAGTTTACATAAATCATTCAAACTTTCATTTAGTTTAAGGATAAGTTAAGAAATTCCAAAATAAGATTTTGTTATTGAAGACTTTCAAAATATTCCCTCATGAAATTTCAATTCTATATCATTTTTATTATAAATATATGTTTTTTTGTAAGATTAATTTTTTCTATTATCAAACTAATTGAAAATCATTAATTATATCAAATTTAATTAATATATTTATAAAAATATAATCATTAAATAAATAGAATTTCAAATCATTTAGGAATGTGATCCTAAACTTTATTCTTCTCCAAAATTCTATTGCAGATTGAACTTGCTATTAAAATTGATCCACAGATACTTAAAATTGATATATGAGCACCTCTCAATATATCAAATAAGTATCCATATATTAATTAGGTTTAACCAAGCATTGCCATTTCTGTTAAATTTCCTTTCATATAAGCTCTATTCATTAACAATTATTATAAATAAGAAACTATTCCTATCAAACATAATTTAAGTAACTCTATTATGCTTGGTACTCTCCATATCATATTTGGATTACAAGTTGCCAAAAATGATGAAAATATAATCGAAATTATACTAAAATATTATGGTATTACCATCTAATTAACCTATTATTATAATTTAAAATATTTACACAATGTGATAAATTTTTAATCAAAACTTAAACAAGAGAAAATAATAAAGTAGACATAAGCAAAATAATACAGCCTAATAATTAATTTTGTTTCTCATCATTAATTTGATATTCACCTACTAATTTCCTTAAAAATGGAGGTTGAACCAATAATATAATACCTATAAAGCAAAACAAAAAATTCATAATAAGTCTCAATGATAATTATTCTGTTTTTAAAAAATAAATTGCTATGATTGTAGTCCAAATAGATGTCGTTTGCATAAGTACTTAAGCTTCAGAAATATTAACATAAAACAATCCTGTATAGAATAAAAGAGTGGCAAAAAAACCTAATAGACTTCTCAGAAGTAGCTTCTTATAAATACCAGCATCAAACCCATATAAATTTATATTTTGTTATTATGTAACTAATTTTCCAATTATGCATACTATAATTCCTCTTCCAAATACAACTTGATTGGCATTCATTCCCAAAGTTTTGCTTAACAAAGAATTTATAGAACTAAGCAGTATTCCTGTCATTACATAGACTACAGGAGCACCTCTTTTCCAATTTGATTCAAGATATTTTGTAAAATACTCAATCTAGGTAGCTATAAATTCCATTTTAGTAATCTATCCTGATTGTGATATTTAAAGAAAAAGTGATTTATTTTAATGATTTGGAAAATATCAAATTAAAGATGAATAACAGTTTACAATTAATTCTGATTGATGATTGTAAATAATAATCATTTTTTTTATCAAGCCTCAATATATATGTTATATTTTAATAAACAATATCATAAAATGTATTGCATTTTTTATAAGATATACATTATCATCTTATTAAAAATAGTTTAATTTAACTCTATATATGTAAGATTTTTAAAACCATTACAGATTCATTTCATTATTATAAATAGATGAAAAGGAAAATCTAAATGATAATTTCTTTTATAATTACATAAATTAATAGAAAATTTATCTGTTAATTTATATAAATTATTCTTTTTAAATTATATTATGTTAATCTCTATTTTCTATGTTAAGTAGTAAAATATGATAACATTTAGTTATCTATTATTGATTATAATTAAACAGAATGATTTTTTTAATTACGTAATTATTTCTAAATTTGTGGTTTTTGATGACAAATCATACAGTTAATTATTGGCATTGTAGAATATAAGATATTATTATTTAAATGCTTCATAAAAGATTAGATAATGATATTTATATATATGAACTATATTAAATTAAATTTATATATATGAGTTCTGGGGATAGTGATTCAGAATATTAAGAGTTTGTTACAAACTTTTATGATTTAGTTCAAGATATAAATGAATGTAATGATAATCAATAAAAATTTAGATTATGCTACCAAATCGAAAGAAAATAGAACTGCTAAATTTCTAAAATAAGCAAAAGCGCGAAGAAGTAAAATATTTTACTATATAATATAGAAGTTAATCAAATTACTTTTCGAATGCCAGAAAATCCAGATCAAAATGTTTCTGAAATCATTTCTTACAATAAAAATTAAGCAGAGAAATTAGTAAAACCTATGAGACATCAAACAAAAAATTTAGAAAATTCTCAAGTAGAACCTTACATTTTTAATGTTCATTTAATACTTAGGTAATTATGATTTTCTAATCTAAGGGATCTCAAATTGAAATAGCAAATACTCAGAAATGCTTAGAAATAAGTATATTTGAATTTGATTGAATATCACAAATAAAAGACAAAGAAATCAAAACCTAGAAATTGTTGCTTACATATGTAAACAACCTTATTTAATTTTTTATTATTAGATATTTAGCTGAGAAAATATATTAAGAGAAAATGAAAGAAGCAGCAACATGTAAGAAATTCCAAGAAGGCCCTAAAATAGTTATTCCTCTACTAAAGAATCAAGCATAAACTAGAAAAGGAAGTATGGAATGATAATACAATTTTTATTTACTTGTCTATTTGTAAATTTAGATTTAGTTTTAGAATAAAAAGCATCTTGTTTTAATTGTTAAATTTAAAATTTAATTAGGCTATATAATTTTATGTAAGACAAAAAAATCAATATCCTAAATCTAAACCAATAGCTAATAACATTTCTGTTGCTCTATGAATTTTCTTTTCATTAACAAATATATATTATCTGCCATCTACTTCCCAATCTAATTATCCTACTGCTTTTTAAACTGGTTCATCTTTTCCTTTCTTAACATTTTTTTTATCATCCTTTTTTTTAACATCTTTTCCTTTTCCCTTACTTTATTCTTTCTTTTAATCAATCAAAGCTTATTAAGCTTTCTTTTCCTCTAATTCTGCATCTTTTTCTTTTTATATCATTTCCATCTTTGCCTACACAAGTTCCTATTCATTTTATAAGGGAAACCAATGTTCAGCTGAAGTTTTCGTTTCTTCTTTAAATAATCGATATTTTTTATTTAATTATTTATTGTAACCTCTCAACCAATCACAAGTAATTTTACATACTCCCAAGATTCTTATCTATTATTCAGGTAATTCATCTTAACCTAAAACAGGCTTTTTCTCTCCATCATCTGCCTAAAATAATTAATAACTTATTTTATACAATATACATTTTTGGTTCTTCAACTTATACCTAAACTAAAAATCCCTACTCAACTGCATCCCTTATTTCAACTTCAGGATTATAGAGTTAATCAAAAGAAAATTCAAAATCTATCCTTCCTATTTCATTTTCAATTGTAGCTGTTTCATATAATATTTCTTTAGTTTTTAATTCAACTCCAAATAAATTAGTTGTAATAATATATTTACTTTAAAATAATTTACTATTTTATTCCATTAAAGGATAAGTATATTTATCTAATAGTATTCCTTCTAGATTTTCTAAAGTTAATATTTTTAAAGAAATTTTAAATTATCTTAATTCATTTAAATTGATTTTAGGTTCTTCTATTGGAATTATAACTTAAGGTTATTATACAACAACAGGATCAGGTTATTTACCTGGTTTTCCACCTTTTTTATTTTTATCAGCTAATAATTTTTGTTAAATTTCAAACTCTTCCTATTATTTTCTTAAGGCTTCTTATTTTTTGGCTTATTTTTCTTTTTCTGCTTATTCCAATCTATTTTTAATTTCTAAAAAACTCTATTCATCAAAGTTTCTTAAATTCAATAGGTTATCAACTATATATATAAAATATTAAGGCATTAAAACTAATGGATTACCATAAAGAGATAGCATTTTTAAATTAGAAATCTTTTTACATGCTTCTACTGAATATTCTAAATCACAAAGTTAATTATGAGCTAAATCTAAACCTATTAATTAAGGTAAGAATTTGGAAATAGTTTATATTGCATCATCATTCAATAAACAATATCCTAAACCCAAATACTAAAGATTATGTTTTAATAAATTCAATGCTGTAATGGGATTATTAAATAAATGTAATTCAATTAATTATTAAGGTAAATGTTAGACAATTTCAATTTTGTTATGATTTAATCTTAATAATTACAAATTTTTAAATTGTAATAATTGATTATCCATTAATGTTATATCTTCAGAATCAAATACTATATTAGTATATGTTTCTATCATATATTCTTTATTGCAAATAAAATCAGCAAATCCATTTTCAGAGATGTTTTTATATATCTTTTCATTATCTGGAGACCTACATATTCACTCATTAATTACCATTGTGTAACTTAATCTAAATTGATATTCATTTCATCTTCAGTCAATTCATATAACTTAAATTGCTTCAATGGCTTTTTTTCTAAGAGTATTTCCATTCTCATATCTTCCCTTACTTTTCTCCAAAATACACTTGAAAATTGATTATTTTACATTTGGCTACAAAAATAATAATAATAATAATAATAATTTATATTATTTAAATAAGATAGTATAATTCATTATTATTATTTACGTAATGATGATTATCTATTTGATGAACGAATATAAGCTTAATATATATTTTTGGATGCTTATTCTTATGGTCCAATTGTTTATCCATTATATGCAGATTCTAAATTTTAATATTTGTGTAATAATTCTTAAATTGTATTCTCTTTTTATATTATTATATTGTTTGAATCTTTATTTTCTTATTCAAGAATTCTTATTTAAGTATTAAAGGCTGCTTTTAAATTATCTATTTGATAATGATGTGATTATTCAAGTTTTGCTCTTAATTCATCTCTTTCTTTCAATTTATCTCTTTCCTATAAAACCAATCTAGTCTTTAATTATTCAATTTCTTCAATTAAAGCTTTAAATTCTCTTTCTGGAATCTATTTGATTTAAGAATCAGTTAATTCTTTTTGTTTTCTCAATTCTTAATGCATAATATCAATCTTATTTTCCAAACTTCTAATTTTGTCTTTTAATATATATTCATTTTATTAAGATTTAACTTTCCATTCTTCTTATTCAAATGAAGCAATCTTTTCTAATTCTTTTATTTATTCATTTAAAGTTTAATTTTATTATCTTAAATGTTATAAATCTTCTTCCAATGCTTATTTAATTAATATAAATTATTAAATCTAAGTTTCTACTTCCTTATTCTTTACAATCTCTTTTTCTTATTATAATTATAATTCATTTTCCAATTTTATAACTTATTTCTTATAAATATTTTCAAATTCTATTTATGATTATTTAGTCTATAATAATTCAGATTCAATTTATTATATATCTTTTAATTTTGTTTATTCAAGTTATGCCAATCTTTATTTTAAAATTTCATTATCTTTTTTTAACATATCAAATTATCTTTCATAATTATCTCTTAATTATGTTTTTTCTGTTGTTAAATCTTAGATTTCTTTTGAATAATTTTCATTTTTCTTTTAATAAGTAGCTATCTCTTTTTCTAATGTAAAAATACTTTATTCATAATTCTTACTAAGTGATTATAAACTAAATTTTTATTCATCTAACAATTATTATTATAATTATGCTAATTATTCTCTATGTTAGATTTCTTATTTCTAATATTTAGATTTCTAACCATCAAATTAAGTATTTAATTCATTTATCTAATTTTCATAAGAAACCTTTAATTTCATATTTTATTAAAGTAATGTTTCAATTTCATTATTTTTTATTTCCAACAATCCTCTTAATTTATCTATTTCTGATTCAACTACTGATATTTAACTCTAATGAGTTTTTCTTAAATTATCCAAATTTTAAGAATGAAATGTCTCTATCTTAAATCTCATTTATTCTAACTCTCTATTAAATTATATTTATTATATAATACTTTTATCTTTCTAATTCAATTTAATTTATCTTATGTCTTAAATTATCATTCTCATTAAGAAGTCTTTATGATTCATTCTCATGTTCTAATCTCATCCTCTACAATTTACTCACTAAATCATCAATCTCCAAATCCTTATCTTATAATGTTTCTCTAACTAATTATTTATCATTCAATCTTTTCTCATATTCAAATTAATCTATCTTATCCAATAATCTTTGAACTTCCTTTGATAATTGTTATAATTCTAATTCATAATTATTCCTCATCTACATAGCTTATGATAATTGTTATTCATATTTCTATTTCCATAATTCAGCTTCACTTCTCTTCTATATCATTTATTTAGTCATTTTTTCTAATTCTACATGCAAATCGTTATTAAATTATGTGTCAGCTTTACCACTATGAGTCAAAACATTGCTAAATCGAACATCCATTCTCTACAATTAAGCTTCCAGATCTCGAATTCTTTGTCTATAAGGTTCAACTTCATCATACTATTTATAACCACTCATGTCTGTTAAAATATTTATATTAATAATAAATCCATTATTATTTTTAGATTAGTAAATATCAACATTAATAGTCAAATATCTTGAATATTCCATTCTATCTTATTAGACTAATGGATTCAGTACAGAATTAAAAAAATATATATATATATATTTATGTTTTTATTGATTTTCATAGTTTTATTTTCTTTATATTCACAAATGAAAGTATATTTAAAAAATTATTTAATTATGAATATAATTTAAATTCATAAATTTATGAGTTCTTATAAAAAATTATATAATTCCTATTCGAATTATGAATGCATTTCCGATTAGTTTAGCTATTCCAAAGATTAAACTATTTAAATGATAATTTGGATCATCTTTTTAACAGTTTACAAACTACCTTTAATAAAAGAATGAAAATCAAAGGATTAGAAAGAATCTATTTCATATTCAAATAAGAGCAGATTTTAACAATCTTTTTAAGATATATCATCTAAGTTTATTTTTTTTAGATAGTCACTGATTAATTATGATAGAGAAATATCATTGTTCTCAATACAAATCTTTCGATTTAACTTCTAAAAACTTTATATTCCTGATTAAGTAATTGTGAAGTTGAATCCATCTGTTCTACTCATAATTAAATTTGTTATGAAATTAATTAAATCTAAATAGGAGTTTTCTAATTTAAAGATGCTGTATAAAGAATATTAATTCAATTCTTATTTTTAAATTAGAAATATTTTTATTCCTTTTTGGTTGATAAGAGTCTTATTCATCTCCGATATTGTTGTTTTCTTTATCTCACTTAATTGATTACCATTCCTTTCTAGAGTTATAATAAATAATCTTGGATAACTATTTGATATCTCCTCAATGCTTGTGGACTCTAAATTAATAAAAGTTTCATTACATAATCCTATATCTGAGTAGGATATAATATTTATCATCAATATTATTATTATATAGGTAATAATATAAAGAAGATAAATAATTATAAATATATATTAAAATTCTTTATATGTATTATATTATTATAACAACTTAAATACATTAATAAAAAAAAAATTAAATTATTAGACTCATATTTTATAACTTAAAAGAATTTTTGATTTGACGATGTCTACATATTTCAGATTAAACTTTTGTTATTAATAAAATATAAAGTTATTTCTCACAAAGAAATCTTAAATCAATTGAATTAGGAATGTTGAATCTTAACATAATTTAAAGGGAATTAACAAAGTTTAGATACTTAAGTACTATGGTGTTAAACTAGGAGTGATCTTTTAATCGATAAAATAATGATTTTGCTATATGGAAAATGCTTAGTATAATAAACTAGAAATAGTTTGCCTTTATGAAAATTCAAAATTTTGTTGATGATTTTGCTTTTAATGATATTTATATGTAATTTAAAGTTGAAATAAATGATTATGTTATTTTTTAATGGCAGATTTTGTTAGTTTTAGTTTTTAATGATATATATGTAATAGAATTGCAATATTAAATGTAGAATTTAAATAAATGGTAATTCACCTAAAGTGAATATTAGTGAGATTGAATTCAAAAAATGGAGTTAGAATCTTAAGATGGAGATTGAATCTTGATAATTGAGATTTTATTATGATGATAAGTAATTCAATGAATTTGTTTTAAATATATATATAAATATTTATGAAATTTGGATTTCAAATATAAAGTAAAATTTAATCAAGAGTGTATGTATCTTTCTTTGAATTTAGAAACTAATTAAATTACATATAAGGATTATTAAATTTTTTAGTTCGACTCAAAATTATAATGCAATTAATTATGATATTGAAGAATTATATTATTATTAACTTAGTGAATTTAATGAATTTTTCTATAAAACTTCTATGCGTCTTAAAATATTTTTGATTTATGTTTGCTAATTATTTATTCATTTATTGTATGTTTGTCTAAATTTTGAAAGTAACATTAAATCCATATGTTAGAATAAGTTATGCAAGAAAATAAAAATTATTATAATAAATGGACAAACAGTCTCGTTTAAATTAGGAACAGATTCTAAGATGTATTAGAAATCATAGAGATTTGAATGAAATCTTGACAAAATAAAAAGATCATAGTTCATAAGAATTATTTGATGACATTGACAAAGCAACAATGAATTAATCAAATGAAAGTAAGTAAAGTTAAGAGAGCAAATCTAATAGTGATAAAATAGATAGAGCCATATAAATGTTTACAGGTAAAGCCAATAAGCATGAAATATCAATAGAACCTAAAGTTATATTATATGCAAAAGAAGATAATTTGTCATCAGATCTGATGATGGAATAAATTTCTGAAGTTTTTAAGAATAAATCATTTGACTAAAAAGTTGGTTCAAATCTTTCAACAGAGATTTCAAATGAACCTTGTTTATAATTGGGATCATCTTGTTAAAGTTTGTTTACAAGTGGTTCAGAAACTGAAAGAAGAAAGAGAAAAACCATATCAGAAGAAGAATCACATTATTTTGTAGTAAAGATTGACAAAGTAATGAATTAAACAGATTAAAGAACAACAATAATGATAAAAAACATTCCCAATAAATATACAGTGCAAATGCTTTAAGATTTAATTGATAATAGACACAACAATTATTATGATTTTTTATATCTTCCAATTGATTTTAAGGTAATTAAATAAGATTATTATAAACTTAGAATAAGTGTAATATGGGTTATGCATTTATAAACTTTGTTCATCCATATTATATAATATAATTTTATAAAGATTTTCATGATAATGGATGGCCACACTTTAATAGTGAGAAAGTAAAGTTTATAAATATTAGTAATAGATATGTGAATTAAGATATGCAAGAATATAAGGACGTTAAGCATTAGTGTAGCATTTTTAATTTTCAAGTGTAATGAATTAAAAGGTTCTAATAATATATAAATAATTAAAGGATAAGAAACTCAAACCAGTAATAGTGCCTTAAAGTGAACTATCAAGAATTCATCAATTAATTTAAGTAAATCCCTAAACTATCATTTAAGCGATAAAAATAATGATACAGATGATATCTATATTTTTTTTTACCTTTTTTTGGTGTTTATTATATATAAATTAACTAATCAATAATTGTTTGTTGCTTTTCCTGGATTCAAAATATTAAATGTTTCAATAGATCTAACAGCATTTAATTATTTTGCAAAATCAGCTAAAGTTGGTTTATATTAACTTCCTCTTAACATAAGTACAGATTCCTTTCCACTTCCTACAATACTTTCAGTCATCTTTCCTTTAGCTTTAAGTAATTTATTTAACATAGATTTGATTTCAGTTTTTAGTTCATTTGCTGTTTATAAATTTGTATTTTCAATTTCATTCTAATTTATATATATATATATATTTTACTTTTGTAATTTTTAATTCTTTAGTTAATTATTTCAATTAAATAGCTAAATTTTATCTTTCTTAAGGTGAAACACTTTCTATTTATGTACTATATTCTTTTAAGAAATCAGTATTAATTTCCATAACATTAGAGTTACGACAATTCAATATTTCTGGTTTATTTGAATATTTTGATCTTTATTTGTTTATTTCTCTACTTGTATTCTAACTACAAGTTCTACTTTTCACACTTACAATACATCCAAATTAATTATCACCAACATTTTCTTTATTAGTTTAACATTCAATCTTTTTTTTCAATTCCACAATCTTTTCTTAATGCAATTAGTTTTTTTATTGATAAATGGATTCTAATTATTAGATTTAATATTTCAGTTCGGTATTTTCATTTTCTAATTTCATCATTGCAATAGAACTCTTCTTTTTAGCTTCTATAAGTTCTCTTGAATACTCTTCTAAAGTACTTTAGATTTCTTTGTATACTTTACACTAAAGTATAATTAATTTTATCTAATTACATTAGTTCTTCCTTCCCCTTAACTCCATGCTTACATAATAGTATCATTAAACTTCTTCTAATGTTCTTCTCTTTCTTTAATCTCTTGAATTTGCATATATAGAAATTGATTTCTTTATTCAAGCATTGCTTTTTCATTTTTCCAATCGTTGAGAGACATAATTTTAAAATAATTAACGATATAATCACAATTTCTTAAATTTTAATATTCTTGACCCAGAAAATCCCAACAATCATCCATTTCTCATCAGAATCAATATAGAATAGAATAAACTATAATAAAGAATTATTCAACTGAAGAGTAACATATATTTATCCTAAAATATGAAAAAATATTCTAATTATTATTTCTGCTTTATTAAAGGGTTTAAGTAGAAAAAATAATTATAGATGAAATAGTATATGAATTTGAAAAGTAATTAAAAGAAAACATTTATCATATTATATATTATAAAATTCAAATTGAAAATGAGAAGGTTAAGATATTTTTGATTAATATTGATTAAATATATATATTGTAAATGCTGTTCTTTATTGAAGAAATAATATAATTAATTAAAGAGAAAGATAGGGTAGATATTAAAAATTATGAATTTTCTTGAAATCAGAATCTTGTAAAATATGAATCCAAAATCAATTTATAATTTTGATTTAACAAATATAATGAAATTTAATTACTATTAAATCTATCATTTCTTAAGATTTTTTGGTTTCTATTGGGTATCTAACATTTATTGTGATAAACTAGTTATTTAAGATCCTTGAGTTTTGAGAGGTTTATCTAATTATTGAACATTAGGAGACTTAAAAAATAATGTTTTTAACTTCATTTAATCAAGTTCACTAGGATTTTTACCATGAAATCTTGAAGTCAAGCATTATCTTTATAAAGGTGAATGAACTCTTTATCTTTATAGTTTTAATATTTATTATTTTCTAGAAATTACAATAAGTATTACTATTCTACAACTATATCTGCAAGTTTAGATAATGACAATTCTATATTTTTAATTTTCTCAGTATATTCACAACATTTTTTTAAAGTAATAATTTCAATTTGACTACTCATAACTTTTACTTTATTTCCCATTCTTGTCATCATACTATTGATTTATTCAATATTTTATTTTCTAGTTTCTTTGATAAAAGTCATTAAACCTAATTCTAATTAATCTAATAAAGATCTGACTGATGCTTCTTCTTCTTAAATTGGAATATTAAACTATAATAATAACCCATTTAATTATTCTTTATAACTCTCAATTTCTTGATAAAAACTCTAATTTTATTTTTAAGATTATTCAAACTTTTATTTTAGTTTCATATAATCTTTCTTTAAGTTTTCATTTTATTACTTCAATTAATCCATAGTCTATCTATTATTAATAGTCATATTAGTATTTGTAGTAGTCACATTTTATTATTTTACATCATAATTCGTATTAGTGATATTGCGTTACTTTTATCTTAAAACATCATGAAAAGTAACATATTTACTAGATTTAGGATCATAGAATTATGGTAATTATTTATTTAAAGGAGATAGAGATTTTGTATATTTTTTTGATGTTAATGTTTAAGGTTGAAGATCAGATTATTTTTCATTTGCTTATTCATCAAATAAATCAATATCATCTATTTATTAATTTCTTTTTTTGCATATTTCTGATTAATTATATATTTATTCTGATCTACAATGACAATTTTCTAATTATATAGCATTTGTATTTACTCTCAACTACATTTAATACTTTTAATTGTAATCCTTCAAAAACAGGATTTCCAAATAAATTTATTATATTGATTTTCGATTAAGTTTCTAGATAATGTACTTCAGCTACATTTTTTAAGTCATTACATTCTAAATCAACTTCAATCAACTAGGGTAAGTTTTTAAGTTATTCAATTGTTTTAATCTACAATATCCTTATCTTACTTACTTTATTATTCTTCAAAAATAGATGAGTTAATTGGGTCAAATTACTAAACCAATGAACACTTTGTAATAAATTGTTGGATAAATCAATCTACTTCAAATTTTTGAGATGAGAGATATCTAATAATTATCCTAAATTTTCAATACTTGATAAATTTTGAATTAAATTATTATTGATTTCCAATGTTATAATTGATGAGGGTAATAACCACATTTATTCAATATTATTGAATGACAAATTTAGATGTTAAACCTTGATCTATTAAATATAGGATTACTCTCCCTTGAAATTGTTGCCTTATAAATTTATAATTATCTTTATGAGAATAGGATATGTATTTACATAATTATTTAGATTTAAAGACTAATCTAATATTTCAAGGTTCTTAAAGGATAAATCAATACTCATTAAATGACACCAAATTTAAAATTTAAATAAAAATAAAATATAATCAAAAATTGAAAAGCTCTACTTATTCTTGATTATACTTTACCATTATTACATTAAAAATCAATTCTTTTGAATTATGAATTACAAAAAAATCATTTTACAAAGAGATTTTCAATTATTTGTAAAGATATAAAAATTGTAGTAAATCTATTTGTTTTTTCATCTATTGATTTAAGACATGATGATTTTTTATAGATACCTGAACAATTTTTACATATATTCATTTCTCTTATTTGTATATATATATATATATTCATAATATTGAGTAATGAAATAGTTTTCCTCAGATACAACGTTCATTATTGTTATAATTTTTATTTAAAATATTCTTATAACACTTCTTCATAACGTTTTGGTTTTTCATATTTGGACTATCTATTACTGATACTTCCCTTTAAACCTTCAAGTTTTAATTTGATTCTGGCATTCTCTTTTTTTATATCTTCCCCTTCCTAATTTCTTTTCTTTAATTTTGGTAAAGAAATACTCGTCTTATCAATTGATGGACTACTTTAATGAATTTTCTCGATTGTTTGTTTTATTTTTTAGTTTGAAATTGCCAATTATTGTTTATATTATATTTGTTCAAAATGATTTACTCTTTATTTATACAGTTTCATAGATTATGCTTCAATAAATATAATTGATTACATAATTTGACTAAAACTTTTGATTCTTACATATTTTGATTCTTTCTACCCTTAATTGCTTTTAATGCATTCATATGTCCAAGAAAGTAAGCTTAATACATACTATCATTTAATTAATTTGTTTGTTTCATATATAAGAAATGAATTTTAATATTAATTATTTTAGAATGGGCAAAGTTTTTGATGGAATATACATTTATTAGATTTATTCTGAATCAAAGTATCCTATCAAATCCCTATTTCTACTATCAGTATGCAAAACCAAATTTTTTTTGTNTATCTAATAATTATCCTAAATTTTCAATACTTGATAAATTTTGAATTAAATTATTATTGATTTCCAATGTTATAATTGATGAGGGTAATAACCACATTTATTCAATATTATTGAATGACAAATTTAGATGTTAAACCTTGATCTATTAAATATAGGATTACTCTCCCTTGAAATTGTTGCCTTATAAATTTATAATTATCTTTATGAGAATAGGATATGTATTTACATAATTATTTAGATTTAAAGACTAATCTAATATTTCAAGGTTCTTAAAGGATAAATCAATACTCATTAAATGACACCAAATTTAAAATTTAAATAAAAATAAAATATAATCAAAAATTGAAAAGCTCTACTTATTCTTGATTATACTTTACCATTATTACATTAAAAATCAATTCTTTTGAATTATGAATTACAAAAAAATCATTTTACAAAGAGATTTTCAATTATTTGTAAAGATATAAAAATTGTAGTAAATCTATTTGTTTTTTCATCTATTGATTTAAGACATGATGATTTTTTATAGATACCTGAACAATTTTTACATATATTCATTTCTCTTATTTGTATATATATATATATATTCATAATATTGAGTAATGAAATAGTTTTCCTCAGATACAACGTTCATTATTGTTATAATTTTTATTTAAAATATTCTTATAACACTTCTTCATAACGTTTTGGTTTTTCATATTTGGACTATCTATTACTGATACTTCCCTTTAAACCTTCAAGTTTTAATTTGATTCTGGCATTCTCTTTTTTTATATCTTCCCCTTCCTAATTTCTTTTCTTTAATTTTGGTAAAGAAATACTCGTCTTATCAATTGATGGACTACTTTAATGAATTTTCTCGATTGTTTGTTTTATTTTTTAGTTTGAAATTGCCAATTATTGTTTATATTATATTTGTTCAAAATGATTTACTCTTTATTTATACAGTTTCATAGATTATGCTTCAATAAATATAATTGATTACATAATTTGACTAAAACTTTTGATTCTTACATATTTTGATTCTTTCTACCCTTAATTGCTTTTAATGCATTCATATGTCCAAGAAAGTAAGCTTAATACATACTATCATTTAATTAATTTGTTTGTTTCATATATAAGAAATGAATTTTAATATTAATTATTTTAGAATGGGCAAAGTTTTTGATGGAATATACATTTATTAGATTTATTCTGAATCAAAGTATCCTATCAAATCCCTATTTCTACTATCAGTATGCAAAACCAAATTTTTTTTGTATGGATGTTCATCTTCAGTTTAGATTCTTTCATAATTCCTTCCATATTAAGCACAAATATCACATTCAGATGATTATAATTTAAATGCTAACTTACCTCCAATCATTTTCATTTTGATATAATTTCTTTCCATTTTTTATCTGAAAATCTCCAAATTGAAATCATCTGATGAAGGACTCTTATGTCTTGATTCCTATGTTCTTCTATGATACATAGCAATTTATTATATGCCTATGTTTTTGATATGATCATTCTATTACAATATTCCATCAAGATATCTATTCATAAATATAACAGACATTTCCATATCTTAAATTCCATTGTATCCCTTTGAAATCAAATAGTAAGATTTCGATTCATACTCTTAATCTGAATAATACCAACTTAACTTTAATAACTTTTTACCTATTACTAATAATTTTTCAAATTATTTTAATCTATTTAAAAGTAATCCAATTCTATAATACACCATCATTTTACATTAAAATAATTAATGTTTATTTGCTGTATCATTCATGTATTTATATTATGTCAAAGCTCCTTTAGTATGTCCATAAGTTTCTTGAATTATTGCTATAAGAAAAGTAAATAGCAATCCTAAAGAGACACATTAAGATTTGCATTTATTTTAGAGAACAATTAAATAGATTTCTAATCGATCATAATCAGATCCTAACATATTCATTAAATCAATAGTAAGATTGAGTATATCTTGAGCTTATGTTGAATTATGTTTTAATGCTATAGCTAATTTATCAAGTTCAAAGACAACAGAATTAAGTAAGATTTTAGTTGATTATTTAATAGATTAATTTTCAAGCATATTATTTGGTTATGACATTTTCATAGGTGATCTGTTAAATCGTATTTAATGAGTACTTTTTTTAAGTCTACTTTTAATGAAATAATTAGATTCTAAACGAGGAAGAGTAGCATCAGTTGTAGTATTAATTGTAGTAGAATTTATCGATTTTATTGAAAGATTCGAGATAATTCTTTTCCTATCTGAATCTGTAGAAAATCTTGTATTTTTTCGCATAATTTTTATTATATTTTATATATCAATAATATTTAGTAATAAAGTATATTATTTTCAAGGTGAAAAATTCTCCCAAGGGGAAATATCTACATTGATAGCTTTTTCAAAATTAGTTGTTCTATTTATCTTTTTGTAATTTCTTTGCTTTGGTTTTGCAGTTCTAGATTTTAAATCCATTTTCAATGTTGCACCTTAACAAAGCATAATGTTTTAGGTGAATCGCTCATCTGTAGAATAGAGCATAGAATGCCTACGACCTACTTCTTTTAAACGCTGGCAGTATGGCGAGGCTTTTTTAGTGAAAAGAAAAGTTCGATTCAGGTCCCTTGTAAGAAGTGGGAGCATCATCTATTCGTTACTTTACATATTATTTAAATCAATAATATAGAGTTTCGTTTTTGTTCAAATTGAACTGTACATTGGAGCTTTTTTTCTTACTTTCTTTGCGTGTATCATTTGAGACATTAGCACCCTTGCTATTGAAGATAGTATTATGGTATGTATGTTTGAGTAATTCTTTCTCAGCCTAATCAAAAGTGTGTAACATATCCTAATAAGCAAACACGATTTTTCTCCATATTCTATCCTTTAAGTAGCCTAATCATAACCATACCTATATTGATTCACCAGTTGATGACATTCTCCTTTTCCAATACATCACAAAAACAAAGCACAATGATATAATCAAAATGTATTTAAAGATCGAAGATTGTTCATTGCTCTCCATTTACTGTTAATATTAATGATTTTAATATCTGCTAAACAAAATGATTCTCCTTTAAACTAAAACACTTTCTAATATAACTAAACTTTTTAATAACAAAGAACAATGCAATAATCAAAATCCATAATGATCATTACCTAATGATTAAAAATTAGAAGCCTAAATTTTATTTATTTGCTAAAGTTAGGATTTGTTTGTTCAAAGAAAGTTGAAAATACTTTACAAATGCAAATATATTAGAAAGAAATTTGGATCAGAACAACTAGAATGAAATTTATAGAGAATTTATAATTCTAATATATAATATTGTTAAATTACACATTTCTTGATTTAATAATAATAATGTACTAATAAATTATAATTAGTTTTTAGTTATTATTTTATTCAGCTCCATCTTAATCTTTAGCTCATTTCCAAAAAATAAGTAGATACAGAACTACAAAATTCAATATATTCATTACAAAATAGATGGATATCTTTTAGGGATAACATATTGTAACAAATTCTATCCCAAATAGTTATAATTGATATTTTATTTGCAATTCAGACCTACAAATTCTTATAAAATTTAATGAAGAACTTCTAATAAAATATCTTTAGAGTTGCAAATTAAATAATCATAATATCTTTTAAGGCATACAGGCTCTTATTATATTAACTATATATTTGAGATATCCCAAAAAACAATAACTAATCGAATTCCATCATTGAACCATTATATATATACTCAATTAGAATGCGAAAAAGAATATGTATTGCTTACAAAGAATAAAGATTAATACAATTACTTATTATTGAATATTTATTTATTAATATAATTATATATAAAATAAATATGAATCTTCTCTTTAGATAGGTTGTCAATCCAAACAATCCAAAAATAGTGGCCATTGCAAAAAACTATGTTAAACATGTAAAAGAAATGGGTGGTGATGAACCACCAAAAGAGCCTGTCATATTTTAAAAACCTTTTACTTCTTTATTATACCTTCCAGATGGAAATGGCATTCTCTAATTGCCTAAACATAATCATGAAATTCATCATGAAATTGAAGTATTTCTATTTATATTTGTTAGCTTGGATTTATGGTTGCTAAGAATGGCAAGAATATATAAAAAGAGAAATGGTAAGAATATATTGGTGGTTATTTTTTGGCATTAGATTTGACTGATAGAGAGATGCAAGCTCATTTTAAGAAGCAAGGATTTCCATGGGATTTAGCTAAGGGTTAAGACAATTTTTTCCCAATTACAGATTTAATTACAAAAGACAAGGTTAAAGATCCTAATAATCTTTAATTGGAATTGAAAATAAACTAAAAAGTTGTATAAAATGATTCTACTTCTTCAATGTATTACAAAATTCCAGATTTATTGGCTTACATTTCATAATTTATGACTTTGAGACCAGGAGATTTAGTATTGACTGGTACACCTCATGGAGTAGGTCCAATTAGAGCTAAAGATAATTTACATGGTACATTAAAATAAGGAGATGAAACTTTGGCAAAACTTAATTTAATAGTGGAATGAGGATTTCTTGAAATTCATTTACAACTATGAGTTAAATAAAAATATTAAATGAAATAAGATTAGTTTTCTTCAACAAGAGTTCAATTTGTGCATTCTAACAAATTATGTACTGCTTAAGTTCTAGAGCATTTTCATAATAGTCCATTTCCAAAGGATCAAGATTAAGTTACACAATTTATATAAAACTATAAGGTAAATGTTTTTTATTTATTCAGACAGCCATAAATTCTAGAAAATTATCAAGAGCTATAAAATAATCCTTTATTTTCAGTCTAATTTGATGAAACATAATTATATTTTGGATTGATTGTAAATGATTTGAAATAAGGAGTTGGTGTTTATTATAAAAAAGGAAAATACATATTTGAAGGAGATTGGCAATAGAATTAAAAAAATGGAAGGGGAATTGAATTATTTATTAATGGATCCTATTATGAAGGATAATATATCAATGGTAAACCTTCTGGAATGGGAAGATTTTATTGGAGTAATGGAGAATTTTATGAAGGTTAATGGTTTAACGGTAAAAAACATGGTTCTGGAATTTGGAAAGGTTCTAAAGGAGATTCTTATATAGGAGAATGGAAAATGGGTGTTCCTGATGGATATGGAGTTCATTTATGGATTAATGGTGATCGATATGAAGGAGAATTTAAGAATTGTTTAAAGGATGGACGAGGAACTGAGAAATTTGCAAATGGAGATACTTACATTGGAGAATATTTAGCAGGAAAACCTAATGGAATGGGAGAATACTATTGGGCTAATGGTGCTGTGTATAAAGGAGAATTTAGAGATAGTTTAAGACATGGAAAAGGAGTTTGGAAGAGAGGGAATGGACTTGGAGATTCATATAATGGAGAATATGAAAATGATTTGAAATAAGGTTATGGTGTATATAGTTGGGCAGATGGTAATAAATATGAAGGATACTTTAAAAATGATTTGAGAGATGGATTTGGTACAATGTATTGGCATGATGGTACATTTTATAAAGGGTAATGGAAATAGGGAATATAAGATGGAGAAGGAATATTATCAGTTAATTAGGAAGTAATTAAGGGAGTATTTTATGGAACAAAAGCTTTGGAAGTGATTGAGAATTCAAATTTTCGAAAAACTCATTTTAGAAATAATACATATTCAGTGGATTAATCAAGTCGATAAACAGGAAGAGATTAATCAAGAATTGATTAAATTTACTAACAAAGGAAGAATTCAACAGAAATAAGTACTAAAATGAATTCATTTACTCAGACTTAAAGAGAATATGATTCTTCTCATAAAATAATAGTTAATAATAATTCAGAACCAAAGAGAATTGGTCGTATTACTTAATCTAAGTTATTACATAATAAATATAAGCCAATATTCCCAAAAATGCAATAAATTTAACAATAAAAGAATTCAAATCAAACTGATAAAAAAATTTAAGAATAAAAATAATTATGGAAGCCAAGTGGTGTAGTGAAAAATGTTAAATTTTGATCAATTATATAATCATCACTTTTTAGACTATTGTAATTTTTTATCTTCTAAAATCTTCTTTAAGAATTATGGAATGCGTTATTAATTTTGCTCCAAAGTTCTTAACATTATGTACTTAATACTTTTTGAATTCAATAATCATTTTCTATCCTCTTAATAAATCTCTTAATATTTCTGATCTCTGTTTATATTCAATACTTCTTTAAACATCTTATGGTAATTTACTTTCAAATGGGTTATATTAAGCAGTTCCTTTATGCATGTTTTTGTAGAAGTGTAATGGATCTAATTTAAAAGACTCATATAACCTGTATAAGATTCTTAAGTCATAGTAACTTTTGGAATATATCTCTAATCATAAGGAATATACCATTTATCATAATACTGTTTATCATCTAATTTAAGATAAGGAAGAGATGGCTACTTAGTTCGAATAACTTTTGGACGTACTTTAATGTTCTGCTTTTATTCTTATTAAATGTATACTAGAATTACTTAAGGTAGGTTTTTAATCTGGCTCTGTCATTTATAATTCACTTTGTTACATTCTTCTTTGAATAGATCTTTAAGCATTAAGATCCAACTAAGTTAAAAAATCTGGTCCTTCTGATTTCAAACGTTTTGATAAAAGAAAAGGAGGAGATATTGATTAGAAATGACTTGAGATAGTTGATTTTTACATTATCAATTATATAAATAGATTAATAATAATCAATAATTCAATAATAAATCAACGTGGTATAATTTAACTATTGTTGGATAAGTAAATACACATTTCAATACTTTATTCCTATCCTTAACATATTTCTTCCAAACTCTTTCCTTTTGTTTCTGGAATTAGAAATGTAAATCCCAAACCAATCAACATAAAAAAAGCAAATGTTAACATAATAGCTTTAAAATTTTCTGCTCCTAATCCCAAAAACCAAACTTAAGAGATAATTGCTCCTAATTTACCAGCAGCAGCTGATATTCCATGACAAGTAGAACGATATCTAGTTGGAAATACTTCTCCTGGTATAATAAATGTAGTAGCATTTGGACCAAAATTATTGAAAAGATTTGCTAATGTATATAGAGTAATAAATAAAAATTAACCTAAAATATCTTTACATAAACCCATTATTAAAAATAAAATTGTTAATGCTACAAATCCCATTATTTATATTGTCTTTCTTCCCCATTTATCAACAAAAAGAACTGTCAACCAATATCCAGGAACTGTTCCTAAAGCTGAAGTAATCAAATTTCCATAAATTGCCTATTTCAAAATCTCATATTAACTTAAATTAGATCCTCCTCCAAATCCTATCTATTTTAAAATTGTTGATTAATTTAAATTTATTCCATAAAATCCAACATCCAAAGCAAACCAAGCCATAGCAGTTCCTAATAACACTTTTCCATGATCCCATTTTGTTAGATAATATTTTAATTCTCTAAATGTTGGCTTCTATTCTTTTTATTTTTTTTCATCTTAATTTGAATCAATATATAATGTATCATCTTACTTCAAAATTTATTCAATATTTCTAGCTCCTTTTTCTACATCTCCTTTTATTTCCATAGTAAATCTTGGAGTTTCAGGAATAGTCATACGAAAATATATTGCAACTAAACCTGGAATTGCTCCAACTCCTATTATTATCCTCCAAATATGATCAATCTAAAGATAATTTAATGGATCTCCATTATTTAATTTACTACTAAATGATAATAGTACTATTAAGGAAACTATACTCCCTGTCAAAATACCAAAACCTTACATTGCAAATACAGCTGCAATCATTGCTCCTCTATTTTTAGTATTTGCAAATTCAGATGTTATTATTGCAGATAATGGATAGTCTCCTCCAATACCTATACCTAAGAAAAATCTCCAAATAATAAGCATTCCTACTACAGTCAATCCATTAGGTGAAGCAGTGTTTGATGCAAATGCAGAAGTAATTGTTGTAAAAACTATAATTAACAATTCTGTTCCATACATTTTCTTCCTTCCTAATATATCTGCTAAATATCCAAATAATAACTATCCAATCAAAGTTCCAATCAAGGCAGATTGCTTCAATAGAGTTTCAGATACAGGATATAACTTATCAGCTTTTTTTATTATTGTATCTCCATCTCGTATTTCTTCATGATAATAAACCATTCCTATCATTATTACAGCTAATTGTATTATGAATAAATCATAAGCATCTGTAAAAAATCCTATTCCAGAAACCAAACATGCTTTTATATGGAACCCTCCAAATTTTGCGTTATTTAATGCATCTAAAGCTCCATATTTTTCTAACAAACGATCCTTCTACATTGCAATTATTTTAAAAACTCATTCTTGAATATATTTTAATTCTAATTTGATAATATGTCATATGACTCAAATTTGATTATCGTATTGATATTTCATCTTATAAATCTCTTATTAATTATTTAGTATTTAAAATACTATTAAGTATTTCTAAATTTAGATTGTTTAATAACATATCCAATATTCATGTAGAATTGAATAATTAAAATAAATTTAATAAGATTAAAATAATAAAAATTTATTCTGAATATCATTAAAATAATTGTAAAGTATAATTATAACAATAGGAATAATGAATTAATGGATTAAATTAAATTAATGTATGATTAAAAATTACTATATCCTCATCATTTGAGGAATGTATGAAATTCATTATGAAAATGAGAGAGAAGTTATGTAAGAAGGATAGCTAAATAATATTCGCTAAATCTTATATTTTCTCATTTATTTAAGTTAAGAATGCAAAAATAATTATTAATCATATAAATATTTTTAAATTATCTTTAAACATCAGCAATAATGAGAAATTTTCTTTTTCAAGTTAAAGACTTTTACATTCAACAATTTCTCACTGTCAAAGGAATATGGAGGAAATCTCTTGAACTCTCAATAGGGTTTTTGATTATCGAAAACATCTAGTTGTTATCCTTGATTACTCAAACATTACCTATCATTAATAAAGCCGAATATTTAGACTTCATCCATTATATTTTGAATATATTTCGGTTTAATACTTAATTTATATTCATAGATTCTATAGTGTTTTTGGAGAGTATATTGAGACTCACATTTTTTACATGTTAATAGGATTCACAATGACCTTTTTAACCTTTATTTGCTTAGTAATATTGATCTTAAATACTTCAGTTAGAATCAATTAAAATGGATAAATAATTGAGATGACACTTGAAATTGTATTATTTTCCTAAATTTAATTTAGAAAAGATAAAAAGAAATAGAGTAAAATATTATAATCAAATAATTCATCTCAGTTTATATGCAAATTTATTAAATGTTAATGAGAATTCCTTTATTATATTCTCACTTTCACATTGTGAATTTTTATTAAAAAACAAGTATTAATTGTTTATATTAGATTCACTTAACTAGTTCTTGCTATTTGGTGTTAGTATTTGCATGTTTTCAATAGCTCTTCAATTAATTTTTAGTTTAGTTATTGATTTACATTGTTTTGAATTTAAAATGAAAAATCAAGATTATTTAGGAAGATTTAATTAACAAAAAGTTCATTTAGTTTTTGCATTTTAAACAATTATAGTCATATTAATAGGATTAGAAATAAACACTATAATAGTTCAAGTGTTTTATATGATATATTTATTGATGAGTGTTATTATGAGTTACCATTAACTTATTTATGTAGAAGTTTAAATATCACAATTATAATTTCATATATCAAGCTATTTGCTATTATATTAAATAACACTTTTAGTAGTTCAACTTACTGATGTAATAGAAAATTTAAATGTTTTGGGATTTCTATTGTTCTTTTATCCATTCATTGCTTATATTCTTAAAATAATAACCGAAAGATAAAAGATATCTTAATTAAAATCTTCTGGAAATTCATTAGAAAAATAAATTAGATTTATATATCATTTATTTAAAAAATAGATTAAATTAAAGAAAGAGTAGAGATCTTTGGATCCAATGGAATCATTGTTTATGTACTCGTTTATAACAAATCACTTGAGATATTGTTCATTAAATAGAGAAAGAAAATTATAAAAGTAAATAAAAATGAAATTCAAATGTTTTTGTGAAGAATTTTCAGAAAAGGAAAACTTTTAGTTTAATTCTATAACATAGATGAAGATATTTGCTAAAGAATTAATATCATAGACATTAGAAGATGAGATTATAGAAACTTCAAATACATACTTAGCATTGATTTACATATACTTTTTAGTATAAGTTAAGAAATTACCTACTTAAGCAATATATGAAGTAATTAGATTGTCAATATAAACATAAGTATATATTTATTATTAATAAAGGGAATGGCACTTAAAGAATAAGCAATTATTTATAAATTAAAATATGATGCTTTGGAAGAATTTGATCAATTAGTAAAAAAGAATGATCTAAAAAATTAAAAGTACATTTTTAAAAGAGTATATTAATATGAAGAATCCCTTTCAATAATCAAATAAAATATGTGTTTAATTGCAAAATAATTTAAAGTAATAGTATTTTTTATTAATCCTTAGGAATGGTATGGATTGATTTTAACATCTATAATTGATATTGATTAGTTGATAACAATTGGATTTGAGATTTTAAGAAATATTAAAGCTGTTGAGTCTCAATTACAATAAGCATTTACTATAAATCCACTTTCTAATGAATGTGACACCATCTATAATCTGTTCACTAAATATATATAATATAACAAGAGCAGACCTAAACTATATCGATTGGAAGGAAAATTGGTGACATTATTTATGTAATCAATTGAAAAAACAATATTTGATCCTGGTAGTTGTGTGATTTAGATCACTTTATTGTAGCCTAGAGGAAATGTACTAAGATACACAAGATCATTTTAGTAAGCAATTGGTTTTAGGGATGAAGAGATTAAAGATTAGAATATACATAGATTCATGCCTCAAATAATAGCTGATGATCATGATATGTATTTAGATAATTTTGTAGAAAGAGGAAGAATTATAGTGGTAAGATCTGAAGTTAGAGTTATTTTGGGTAAAAATAAAGGATAATTTCTTGTACCTATTAATACTAGATTAAGAATTGAAACAAGTCCAACTGAATTTGGTGCTACTGCACTTATTACACCTGTTAATCTAACTTTTGGATATATGATTTTAAATGATAAAGGATAAATTGAAGAAATTACTTAAAATATTTTTGAAGAAATGTTTTAAAAGCATTTAGGAATATAAATATCATAAGTAAGAGGATTGGATTGCTTATTTTTTGTACCTGAATTAGCTAAAATTTGGGAAGATATTTATGATTAACATTTTGATAAATTAGATAGAAAATTTGAATGTTAATTCATTATTCCATTACTTAATTAAAATAAAAGCATGTCATAATCATAATTATCAAAGAGTTTGTCCAAATTATATTTTTAGAAATAAATTTATAAGAATTTTGAAAATCAACCTACTGAAAATGTTATTTTTCTTGTTTAATTACATGTTATGAGTTTAGTTACTATCAATTTAAGGTATTAATACAATTTTATTATTTAGATTAGTGATTTTAGAATTATAAGATTATAGATTGATGCCAAATTAAAAGATTTCAAGTAAATAAATAATATAGTTAAGGGTGAGAACATCAAAATAATTTAATGTTTAATAATTACAAAACTCTACAAGTTATAGAGAATAAGCAAGTTTATTAAATTCCCCTTGGGTATTAGATTGTGATTTAGATCATGGTTTACTACAAGAGGAAGAAAGGATGATTGATGAGGTTAAAAATTAATTAGCTACAGTTAATATAACTAATACAACTCATCATTAATAAGTTTAACTAATATAATATGCTGAAGAGGAAATTGAAAGTCTTTAAGAATAAAATTAAAATATTCCTAAAGAAGCTTAACCTTCAATCAAGATTGATGAAAAAAAGAGGAGTTAATTAAATAAAGTTGATAATTAAAATAATATGTCAGTTGGTAGTAGATCATCATAAAATAATCAATCATAACTTAAAAGATAAATGCGAGATTGCTTAAGTGAAAATTAAACAATAAATAAAAAACAAGCATTTGTTTTACTGATATTTTATTTATTGATAATAGGAGCTTACATTCTTAATTGCTTACTTTTCTCTTCAAATTATTAGAAGATTTAGGAAAATCAATCTAGTCAGAATTTGCCTTATTAATTATCTTATTTTTACAATGAATTTGTGATCTCCTCCTTTTATTTAAAATATAGTTTATTATTTCCATTTTCAGATTTACAATAAATTAGTTTAGATTTTTATTAAAATTAAATAAAAAATATAGATGATGCTTTGAAGAATATTCCAGAAATAGAAATTAATGTTGATAATTCATTAAAACAACAATCAATACATATTATATAGTAGATGATAAATTAGAAAACCAATTAATTATTTAATTACGATGCCTTTTTGAATAATACATAATATTTTGAAAATATACTTTAAACTTTATATGAAGCAGATACAACTAGAAATATTACAAATATCTAATATATGTAAATCATTTATTATATTTATGAATATTATTTTTAGAGTTATAGCTGAAGAATTAGTTCTAGTTTTATTTATCTGTTGGTATGCATACAAGTGCATCATACTTATACAGATGAAATAAAAAGTATACAAATTGTTTTGCACATTCACTACTGATGTGATATAAGAACAATATGTAACCTTTTCTTCATTATATTCACTTATGAGCACAACCAAATTCAAAAAGGAAGAAACAAATGAGGAAAAATTTGAAATGATTATGGGATAAGCTTTTCATAAATAGACTAACAATTCTATTTTAGAAAAATATTAGAAAGTAGGAAAAAGAATTAGATAAAATAGTATATCTTTTATTTTATTTTAAATTAGAAAATAATTCAACTCAAATAATCTTTTTCTTATTTGTTTTGATAATGATAATAGTTTGCTCAATATATTTTATAGGGAGCAATTTAATGCATTAAGCAACTATAAATAAGATAATCATCTAATTTAATGATAAGATATTGTTTTAATAGGCATATTATGAGATTACTTTAGCATATGCATAATCATCTGTTTTCATTCAAAGATAAATTACCAGTGAAATTTTAGAAATTTAAAATAAAACTGTTAATGAATTGAATGATCTAAGAAAGAAATTGTCTTTATATCAATAGGATTAAACAATATATAAAATTGTAACAAAATCGGCATGTAATATTTTCAATAATTCGTTGTAATTAATTTATTTTTTATAATCATTAGAACGAGTTTTTAGTAATATGATGAATTATTTTCATATGAGCAATGTATGAGTTACCCCATTTTATAGGGAGGATTAAGTGTAATTTTTGCAGATTTATGTGATTAACAATTGAGATTTTTGTAGGATTTAGAAAATAATGCATCTTAGGAATATCTGTAGTAAAATTATTATTCTGCTACATCTTAAATTGAACGACTTTATGATTCTATGGGGTTTTTTGTTATTGTCTCAACCCTAACTAATTAGATATAGAAATCAGTTTAAGACAATATTACAATAGATATAATTTTGGTAATATTTTCAGCTGTACTGATGACAATTTCAATGATAACAATGGTTATTTCAATGAGAAATATTCGATTGCATTATTAAACAAGCAAATAATTGCTAACTCTAGTTCCTTTAGAAAGATTACTCGAAAATGCTTATATTTTAAGCTTTATTTAATAAGATATTAAACTTCAAAATTGATCATGTAATATATTTATATATCTTTTTATTTGCGAATATTCAATTTTATTTAATCAATACTTTCTTGTAATTAAATATTCAATGTTCCTAGCAATTTATGGTTCCCATTTATCACCATTCTCTAAAAGTTTAAATTTGTCATAGAATAAATCTTCATGTTGATATGTAGTATATTCATAATTTGGACCCTTTTTTAGAATAATAATAATTACTTCCACAATAGCATCAACTGGACATGCTTCTTGACAAAATCCACAATATATGCACTTTGTCATATCAATATCATATCTCACAGTACGTCTGAAACATAAATGAATAAATATACCTTGAATTATCAGGTCTTGGTTCTGTTTCTATTGTAATAGCTCTTGCTGGACAAGCACTCTAACATAATTTGCATGCTATGCATCTAAATTTTAGAATATATCTGTAAATACCTTTCTTCTCCTGTTGGATATCTTCTTAAAGCATGTTCTCCTCTAAACAATGGTGAAAGAGGACCCTTTTCATATGGATAATTGATGGTCCATTCAGGCTCGAAACAATAAAGAACACCACAAAACCAAAAATGATATAGGTATTCTGGTTATGTAAAATTTTAATATGCTGTTTCCCATACATCTGTCCAATCCAATTCATCTGGCATAAATTTGCCTAAACAATTTCACACTACTAACATACCTTGATAGTAGTGCATTTAAACATTGTTTTCTTAATCCTTATCAAAATCAAGAATGCTTGAATTGAATTAGGGAGTAGCAAATTTGCTATTTGGATCTTATGAATTAGCAACATGATAGTTTACAGAATTCTTAATATAAACTAATTATTCAACTTTTTTCCTTACCACAAAATCGTGCTTATCTTGATTTCAAAAGCAATTTAGTCAGCATTAATTATTATATAAAATAATTTTTTTTTATAAAACCTTTATTTATTGATCATCTATTTGAAAACACTATCAATATGTTATACCTTCTAATCTTTTGATCATATTGACTCAAATTTAAGATTCTATGAGGGATATATAGGATTTTAAGTTGGGGGCATTATTTATCTACAGATAGAAAATATAAATTATTTTTAAGGTATTATAATTATTATTAAATGATTTAAAATTCAAGGTTTATGAGGATTCAAGCAGCTAAGTAGGGAAATATGACTTATCAGAATTTATGATATATAATTATTTTATATAAAGTTCTAGAATCTTCTTTGAATATTTAACTTCCTCTCTGGTTTTAAATTAATATAATAATCCATAAATACACAATCATGTCAAAAAAAGAACAAGACTATTATGAGGTTTTGGGAGTTAGTAAAACAGCTACTGATGATGAAATCAAAAAGGCTTATAGAAAATTAGCCATCAAATGGCATCCAGTATATTTTTCGAATAATATTTTAAGGATAAAAACCCCAATAATAAAGAAGAAGCTTAAGAAAAGTTTAAAAAAATTGGAGAAGCTTATTCTGTATTATCTGATAAAGATAAAAGAGCTATTTATGATAGATATGGTCATGAAGGGTATGCCAATATAAATTAATTTTGTTAGTTTAAAAAATGGAGGTGGTGCTAATCAATTTTAGGGATTTCAAGGTTTTGGCAGTTTTGGAGAGGGATTCGATCCCTTCAAATAATTTGAAAGTTTCTTTTAAAATTTTGGAATGGACGATGATGATTTTGGGTTTTTCTTTGGAAGAAGTGGAAGCAAAAAAAATAGTAACAATTCTTAAAGAAGTCCGTTTGGATTTGGAGGTTTTGGAGGATTTGGAGGCTTTGGAGGCTTTGGTGATGATGACTTCATGGGGATGGGAGGTGGTTAATTCTAATCATTTTCATCTTCAAATTTCGGAGGTGGATTTGGAGGATCTACATCAATGTCTACTTCAACAACAATACAGTATGAATTAATCATTTATAAAATAGAAATGGTCGTAAAGTTACAGTAACAAGAAGGACAACAACAAAAGCAGATGGAACCACCGAAGTAGTTGAAACTATTGATAATGGAGGAAGAAAAGAAGAGAAAAGATATTCATTAGAAAATGGATAGAAAACTAATGGATCCAAATATATCAAACATCAATGACTTATAAATTTTATATTCTCGTATCATTTAATTATTTTCTATTAAGTATTAAATAATTTATATAATCGATTGATAAAATAACATATAGTATTTTTTTTAGGATTTTATGTTAATACCTCACATTATAATATGAAATGGAGATAATATGAAAAATAGAGAAAAAACAGTTAAATTAAATTATCTTATAATTAAATATTTTCTTCGTACTTTAGTAAATACATTGAATGAATATTCATAGATATATAGATTTATTCTATTTAATTATTATTAAGGATAATCAATGATTAATTTAAGTAGAAATAGAAAAGTTATATGATCGAAATTAGAATATATACTATTTATAATAATTATTATTATTAATTTCTTTATTCTCTAATAATCCTCAATCAATAAAGTGTTGAAATTCTAAATAATATTATTTTTTGTTAAGTAATTGATAATTTGAATTTTCAATAATTAACAAATATAGTTTATAATATAAATTATATGCAATAAAAAACTCAAAGCGATTCAGAATAGTCACATAAAGTTTAGTAATTCATGATTACAGATGAGCAGATAGGTGAAATTCATGATTTTGTCAATAATTCTCTATCTGATGCCTACTATCCTATTTCACAATAAAGAGGTTAAAAATAATCAGAGCCAACTCCTTTGTCAAATGAAGAATTGAGAAGCTAACGAATGAGTATTGATAGTCCGGAAGCCCGATTAATTTTGTAATCATCTAGTAGGCAATAAAAAGATGAAACTTAGCATTAATTAACATTATTTTAATCTTGGAATGCAATCAAATTTATAAGAAGAATTAGTGAACGAAAAAGAATAAACACAAAATTTAGTCAATATTAATACGATTTATTAAATGATAAAGGATCATCATTCGATTTAAAATTATTTAAGGAAAGTAGTTTACATTTTAAGCCAATGCACAGAGGTTTAAGAAGATCAAATTAAGTAGAGCAGATCTAAAAGCCTTCAGCAATATAATAAGTAAAAAGCTACCTCATTAATTAAAAATAAAATATTAAACAATTCTTTAACAGAATCGAACAATAACTTTCAAAAATTCCATTAATAACCCCTGAATCAAGATGGAAATTGATTTGGGATTGTTTTGTAGCATGTTCCAGATTATATTTCATGTATGTAATTCCAATAGATTTGGGTTGGACAGAAATTCCAGTGATTTATGGTTAGTTATATCCAGTTTCAGTTTTTGCACTAATAATTTTATTATTAGATTATCTCATAAGCTTTAACAATTCTTTTTATTAATTTGGTTAAATAGCAAATTAAAGAGCAATAATAGCTAAACACGTAATTACAAAAAGTTATGGCTTGGAATCCATATCCTTATTAATTCTAAGTATTTATCTATTTAATTCTAATTCCAATTCAATCAATGTATTAGATAATTGGGCAGATGTTTTTATTTCTCTATTTTATGTATAAAGTAGAAATATTCCTAAATTGATTGCCTAAATAGAAGAAGTGCTCAATTTGTCTAAGCCTGTTTCATCTATGTTAGAGTTATTAAAATTGATATTGGTATTGTTTTTTGTTTTGCATTGTTACTCCTGTTTGTGGTTTTTTGTAAGTAATAAGAATAACTATATAATTTAGGTTGGAGAATATAGCCACAATCACTCAGTCTAGGGAAGTTGGTTAGAACTATATCATATTGAACATGAAACCTTTGCTGTTTAGTATTTGTTTTCATTTTATTATTCTACAGTGACAATGTTCACAGTGGGATATGGAGATATTACACCAGTTAGTTACATAGAAAGAATTATATCTATATTCTATATGATGTTTTGCAGCATATAATTAAGTTATAGTGTAAGTACAGTAGGCACAATCTTAGATAAGATATCAGCATATGAATAGGAAAAAATGAAAAAGGTTCATACAATAAATACTTATATGCAAAATAAAAAGATTGGATATGAACTATAATATCAAGTAAGAGAATATTTGAATTACTATTGGTAATCACAAAGTCAGGTAGAATCACAAGATGAATAAAATATTATCAATTAACTATCTTAAAATCTTAGAGAATAATTAATGTTACAGGCAAACTCTATCATTTTAAATGAGTGTCCTTTATTTAAAAATCATTTTAGCGATCAATTAAAAAATAAATTAGTAAGATAGATTAAATAAACAGTCATTTAACCTGAAAATATAGTGGAATTCGACCAAATATTTCCAACTCTTCCTAATGGTTAAATCTTTATGTGTTTTATTGAACATGGAGAAGTTTAGATCTTAATTCAAAATGATTAGAAGGATTCAATTTATTCACATCAATAAGTATCTGTAATTAGTAAAGTGGGAAAGGGAAGTAGTTTGGGCATTTACAGTTTTATTAGTGGTCAAAAATCTAGAGAGAAATTTAGAAGTTTAGGTTTCACAAAATTGTTATTGTTATCCAGAGATGATTTTTTAAGAATTTTGCCTGATTATCCAGAAGATTATGAAAGATTTAGAAACATTCATGATGGGCTTCTATTTAATCAAGATTATATTTAACATATGAAATGTTTCTCATGTTAATCCTCAACTCACAGAGTCATGAATTGTCCTCTTTTGCATTATGTTAGTGATAGAGAATTTATCATTAAAAAGCATTTATTTACAAAAGATCATGATAGATAAAATTTTAAAAGGAATATGAAAAGATTTATAAATTAATTTCATGCATTGGTTGATTAAGAAGAGATCTCTGATATTGCTCAATTTTATAGTAGTTGCAATTCGAAGTGGACTGAATTTTATGATGAACCTCCTGAAGAAGAAGATGAACCCAAAAGTTCTTAAATTAAAAAAATTGATGTTATAGTTGCATCTCCAGATTTAACTTAATCTCCAATTTAATATCATAGACCTTAACCAAGATTCAGTATTTTGAACAAAAGAGGGAGCACAATTGATGCACTTGAATCTGAAGAGAATAAACAAAAGTTGCCAATGATAGCTAGGGGAACTAAAAGAAGATAATCAAATATTCAATAACTCAAACCATTAGAAGCTAAATCATGTACTTCAAACACTAATTCAAGAAGATTAAGACCATCATGTACAATAGAATTTAGTCGATTTAGGCAAATTTAAGTCTTGTAAAGATTTCGCAAAATTGTTTAAATGGTTATTAAACTTAATGTTATGAAAAAAAAGAAATCTAGTAAGAAATCTTTGGCAAATAAATTCTTAGATATTCAATAATAGAATCAATAATTAAAATTAATCTTGGAAAAAGTGATTATCAGAATCAATTAAATTGATTAAGGAAAAAAGGAAATCCTGACTGATATAGATATTTAAAATGCCTTTTTGTTATCTACGAAAATTAATATGCTCATAACTTTGCAAGAGGAATACTTTGTAAATAAATCTAAGATATAATAAATGGATGCTTGCAAGGAGTTTTAATATTATTAGCCTTAAAATAACTTCACTAGAGTTCTTGAGAAAGAGGAATTTTATTATTAGCAAAGAAAAATTTAACCTAATTTAGTTTAGCTTAGGAAAAAATTAGTGTAATATTTAATGTTCCCTTAGATGTATTTAGAAAAATATAAATATGTGAAATTATAATTAGTGAATTTGCTTACACAAAGATAATTTAGAGATGAAAATAATAAATCTTAAATTATGACTATGAGCAAAAGAAACAAATTTAGAGGTAAGACTTTTAGAGCACCAAAAGTTAATTAAATTCTTCCTAAATGATATATCTATCATTTGTAATATAAAAAATTTTCAATAATTTTGATTTGCATATTCAATTCTTATATCATCAATTGGATGGGTTTCTGGAGTAGCTGTTTCATCTTCTTTATACATCTTAATAGATTTGTCACATTCTCCAGTCAAAAATCTACAATTAAAAAAGATATTACCTCATTTAACTTTGATCAAATGTACAACAAAATATACCATTTTCTGCAGCAATAGAACCAGGTTAAGCGATAGTATTAATTTATTAGAAATTATATCCTGATTTCCAATCCCAAAAATATAATGATCCATTGTCTGCAGCACTTGCCAAAACATTATTCCTATTAATAGCTATCGAATTGATCATAGCATTATGACCAGATATATTCCTTAAAAATGTACCTTCAGGACATTTCCAAACTTTGAGATTATCAGATGCTGCTGAACAAAATGTATATTCTAATGGATGAAAAGCCATAGCTCTCACTGATTTTTTATGATTAGTTAAAGTGGATATGCATTTTCCTGAAGTCATGTCCCATAGTTTAATCATTGAATCTTAAGATCCACTTACTATTTAAGGTTCAAATTCTTAACAAATGATTGAATCAATAGTATTAGTGTGTCCTTCTAAAACATGAATTTATTGTCTGGCTCTAATGTCCCATACTCTACAGACGGAATCTCTTCCACCACTTACTAACACATCCAATGTTGGGTGTAAAGCCAAACTATAAACACCAGACAAATGTCCATGATAATCTCTGATCATCTTATTTTATTCTAAATCCCAGCATTTTACTGTTTTATCTTCTGCACAACTAAATAAATAAGGATGTCTTGCACTTACTATTACAGATCTTATTGTTGAAATATGACCTGTAAAAGTTAATTTTAAATTTCCTGTTGCCAAATCCCAAAACTTAATGGTTCGATCACTTGAACCGGTTACAAAAAATTAATTTCCAGGATCAACCGCTATACATCTAACCCATCCATGATGTCCACTTATAACTCTCATTAATTTCCAAGGGGCATGCCATTCTGGTTTTATTATTTTCTTTATTTTTTAAACCATTACTGTTCCTAATCGAGCTGGTTCAATCACAGATAATTGATGTTCATTTGGTTTCACAGCAACTAAAGATTTATTTTATGCAATTTATTTTTCATTTTGAATATAAGTATTAGTGGTTTGAGTGGCTGATGTTTTTTCATCAAATTTTAAAAATTATTGCGGTAATTTCGATAATTTAGTTTCTTTCTACTTATCTTTTTAATAATCTTCAATGATTTTGTCTATTTACCTTTTATTTTCAGGCTTTTTCTAATCTTTTATTTCAGTTTGTATATTCTCAAAATCCTAATGCAAAGAATCAGCCAACTCATTACTTTTAGTAACATTTGAGTATTCATAATTTACTTTTGTGTTTATTTTAAGTTTTAAAGTTTCATAAAATTCTGGCACTCCTTTACCTTATTAAGCTTAAAATAATTTTTTAGAACTCAAAACCAAATCTTCACAATTAGATTCCAAAGTTGGATAAAGAGTCCCTAATTCTTCAGTCATTATTTATCTAATAATTAAATATAATTAAAAAAATATAAATATAAGCAGATTATTGGAAATTTTATGTTTCGATAAGTTAAAAAGTATATAAGGATGTGTATTAGAATCAAATTTTCTTATGTTATCTATGTCATTTCTTGATGTTTCATAGAGAAAATGTAATTGAAAACAAATAGTTATTTGAATAAAAACCATTAAATTGTAAATTGATAAATTCGGATTGCAAGAACTCATTTACTAAATTCAAGTTTATTTGCTCATCTATATTCATTTTATTACAATAAAATAATATAATAAATTATTTCTTGTTAATCTCATCAATAAAGTGCGCATGCAAGGATTTTTGGATATCTCTGGAATTCATTCTAAAGAAAAGACTATGCTACTTGATATTTCAGCAATACCCTTAAAGGAGGATCACTTAGATGATGAACTAACACATTAATAGTTAATGATTTTACAATCTTAAGAGGCTATTAGAGAAAAAGACAATGATAAAGATATTACAAAAAATGCCAGATAACTGAAAAAAAAAGTAATTAGTTCTTTAGAAAATTATTCATTAATGTTAACTATCAAGGATAGTTCAATAAAGAAAGTCATTAAGAATGATTTATAGATAATCAATTAAGAATATTAAGAATTATTATCCATTGTTGATGAGGTCGAATCTATTTCCAAAGAAGTTCAGATGATAATTAAGTTGGTAAGAGAGTTTTTAGAGAAAATTAGTGTTAAATCAAATGAAAAAAGAGAAATATAGTACTCTAAAACTATGTCAGAAAAATTTTAGAGATGTCCCGTAAGAGCTAATACTATATAAGGTCATTCTTATTATTGGAACCAAAAATAAAGATTATTTCCATCATAACAATTAGAATAATAATAACAACTAAGCAATAACTCTTATGAATCAGATGAAAGCACAGCTGTCTCAAATAAAAAATTAAGTGCTTTAAATAATAAGATATATACTTTGATTTAAAAATTATATTAGAATGACCAGTATTAAAGAATAACTCATTATGCTTAAGAAATACTGAATAACTCTGAAAATATGGAAACTTTGAAATTGCTACGATAATTATCTAAATAGTTTGAAGAACCAGAAGTTAAAAAAATAGTCAAAGCTTGTTATTTGAAATCTCTCATTTAGGAGTAACCTTAGAATAATACTTCTAAAAGAGAATTCTATGATTTAGTGATTAAAATTAAAAGTTCAGTCCCAAAAAATAATAAAATACATTCAATGATGATAAGCTCTTTATATGATGATTTAATACAAAAAGGAGTGCCAAATACTGAATGGGAAGCCTATATGAAATAATTATGCAATTGAATATAATACTTTTATTAATAATATCAAGATTCTTAATTTGTTACAGCTGATTAGATAATCATTCATTTCATTATTATTTTTCAATCTTTTAATTATCAAGTTTGATCTAGAATAAAATAATTAAAGTTGTTTATACATACATACTTAATAGATGATATTTATTAAATATTTAAATCAATATAGCCTAAGAATAAGGTTGATCAAAAATAATGCTACAATTAATAAAATTTTGATTGCTTATTATTAATTAAAAATATTAATTATTAAAATTATGGCATCTGTCAATTATTTAACTTTAAGGCCTGAATAAGCTTATAAAATTTATAATGGTATACTAACTCCATGAATAAATTTAAACTACGTTAAGGAAGGAAAGAATAATGATGCTTTATTGATCCTATTTCGATATTTATCTAGTTTTGGTTAAAGAACCAGAAAAACTACAACTTCCTATCAATATTAAGGAGACGTGAGGGTGGCAAGCAATAGTTAATATCTTTATAAATTGATGGTAAAATTAATTAAGAATTCTTTAGCAAGCATATATTGATTTAAGATTATTTGTTGGAGTCAATTAACCTGATGAATGAATAAAAAGAAGATTTTAAGGCTTATAGGCAAATGACTTAACATAATCACTTTGATGCTTTCGCTGATATTTTGAAAGAATATCTAGTAAAAGTAGAAAAGATTTTTAGCGATAAAGTTAAATAATATGATGTTGAAGAATTATCAAATTTATAGATTTTTATAGCTTAAGAAATTACCATTTGTTGGACAATTATCCTATGAAGAGCCAGCTGAAGAGTTGCTCTATCTATCATTCGATCCTGAAACAAAATAACAGAAGGATCATTAAAAGTCCAGCTTAAGGCTTTATGGGAAACTTATAGAACAGTGATGGAAATTGTAAAGTAGAATGAGAAATTAGAAGATGTGTATTTTGAAATATTAAAGAAAGTGAGCGAATTTTGTTTGAAATATAAACGTAAGACTGAATTTTAATGGTTCTGCGATTAAACAAACAGGTTATATATATTTTTGATAGTTTTCTAGATTTTTTTAGATTTAAACTAAAGAGAATTAAACATAAAACGAAATCCTACTCATGTAGACTTGACAAAACCAGCTACTATGACAAACTTGTAAATGCCATTTTTGATATTGTTAAAACAGCTATGGCCTTAGACATGCAATCAGAAGCATCCTAAACCTTAGAAACTGTTATGGTGCTCAAGTCAATGAGAAGAGGTAATTTCAAAGCATCATATCTAATGCCCTATTATGATTTACTTTCTTAGATTTTTTAGAAATCTGGGAACAGTTTATTTTAAGCTTTTGCCTATTATAATAATTATTTGGCATTTAAAAAAAAGCCAGTTTAAACATAAGAAGAAATTAAGCGTAAAAATGTTGAAATTAATGAAAAATTATCTCATTTGGTTTTGTCTGTATTGGTCATACCATTATTAAGTGCTGATTTCAATCAAAGAGATAGAACAACTTCTTTGTTTGAAAAAGGAATAAAAATACAAAGAAGAGAAGATTTATTAAAAATTCTAGGAGAGATGAATGCTGTCAAATTTGTTTAACCAATAATTTAAAAGGTTTATCTCTTATTAAAAAATCAATAAGATTTATTGACAGTATCTGTTTAGGCCAATCGAGTTTTTACTGACTTGAGGCAAAAAGAAAAATATTTATTATTTATCCCTCTACTTGAAGAAAACCTTGTTGGATAAGTATTGAAAAGCATATCAAGAATTTATAGAACTATTAAGTTAGATCAATTAAAAGACTTATTGAAGTTTACTGATTCAGAAACTATATTTCAAACTTTGATATATATTTCAATTCAATTAAGTTAATTAATTGCAAAGTTGATTTTTAATCATAAATTGTATCTTTAAATTTAAATCAAAATATCAAATGATTAATAAATATTGCCATCAGAATTATAAAATTTGTAGCCTTCAAGAACAGTTCAAGATCCAATTGAACAAGCTAAAAAACAACTGGATTCTTCCAATCTTGTCATTTTAACTAGATAATAGACTCTGAAAAATTTGAATAGATTGGCAGATCCAGATCTTGTTAAAAAGAAATTGGATGAGGATAAGTAAAAAGTTATTTAAGAAATGAAGGAGTAAAGAAGATAAGATGAGTAAAGAAAAAAATTTGAATAAGAGAAAATAGCTGATATGGAAGCAAAGAAGGCTTAAGAAATGGCTATTAGATAAAAGTTATTGCAAGATATGATTAAATTAAAAGGAGGAAAATATGTCACATTTGAAATTAATGGAGAAAGAAAGAAAATTGAATTGCTAAAAGTTTACCATTTATTAAATATAGATACAGGAATACTTTAGGATATAAATAAAAAATTTGAGGAAGAAGCAAAGAAAGGAGCTGATGATAAATATTTGAGAACTTTTAAAAAGAACGATTATATTGAAAGAGAGAATCCAAGATCATAATTAGCTGGCCTGAAGATAATATTGAAGTAGCCTAAAAAAAGCATTAAGAATAATAGTATCAAGCAAACCTAAAATTAAAAGAAAGCTTAACTGATGCATTTAAATATCATGATAATTTTAGAAATAAGTTGAATAATTTAAAGTAGAATTAACTTAGAAATTTAAAAAGCAAATATAAGAGAGAGGATTGAAATTATTAAAGTAGGATGAAGAAAAGAAATTAAGAGAGGAGGAAGAAAGAAAGAAAGAATAAGAAGAAAAGGAAAAATAATTAAAAACAGTATGGGCTGAAAAATAGACAGCTTTTGAAAGTAAATTTACTAATAATTAAATCAAATAACACTTATATTTTATCTTCTATATTGAAATACACTCATATATATGAGTAATCTATGTAGTAAAGAATAATTAAATTATTATACAATTCATATATATATTTATATTAAACTACCTCTTTA